GCGCTTATGCTGGTTTCATGAGAATGCTTTTGACTCCGGAGGAGCGCCAAGAATGCTACAGAGGGTCAGCCTTGCCCAAGGAGGAACTCCTGGGTGACACTGTGGAGCTGGCGCTCGGGCTTCTTACAATTGCAATGAGACACCCAAGTCATTTTCCGAATTGGGGTGGCCTTGAGGGAGCAAATGCGTGCGTGAGGGGAATCGAAAGATCATTCTTCCGCTACGCGTCGGCCGAAGCTATCGAGCTGATCACGGTTGACTCCCCACGCAAAAGGACACCGCCCAAGAAGAATGAAGCAGTCGCTGAGATCGTCAACAACATGTCCGCTGACCTCGTGATTGATTTCACAGTGATCGTCGATGGTGATATCTACCCCGTAGAGATTGCGAGAACCGACGAGACACAGGCCGCTGACAACGTCACGGACGATCCAGGGTTCTCCGTTGCTCCACCAATACCTGCACAGGATGTAGATGTGGATGCGCAACCCGAAGAAGAACAAGGTGCAGAAGGCCCTGATCCCAGGCAGGCGATTCGTGAAGGATTTGTCGCACAGCTTCAGGACTATGTGGGAGTACTCGCTCAGGGCGAAATGTCGGTCGGAAGTGACCGCCTCACGTTCTGTATCGCTTGTGGCAGTGATCTACACACTCTGTCCAATTGCACGGAAAATGCTGCAACCCGGGATCTGGTACTTCGAGGCATCCAGATCATCAAGGAAAGCCTTCTTCGATATCCACGTCGAGTACCTCCACAAGAGGCTGAGCCAATGGACGTTGACACCACAGACCATGTGAGTGTTGCATCCTCGGACCGACGACCCAAGGCCAAAGCCCGACCGCGACGCGGAGGCGAAGCCGTACGGGGTGATGTGGTCTTGATCCGTTATGAGAACAAAACACAATCTCTGCACGGATGTGGAGAACCGTCGGGGCCTACATGATGCTTGTGGCGTACCACTGCAGGAATCAGGACCAGAGAATAGCCAGCGGGTGGTGGACCTCATTGAGCAGCTTTCGGACCATCGCGACCGACGCCTACCTCAACGAGGAGACCGTCCTAGCTTTGCTTATGATGATACCACTCAGGGCTACACCAATGCAGGCTACGAATGCATCGGCGGCGGAAGGCCAATCCGGTGCGGGATTCTCGACCTGATCCCAACCAAGGGTGCAAGCTTCATCAACAATCGATGGGACATCGTGAATGAAGTTGTCCTTCGCAACATCACCCGTCAGCGCAGAATAAACGCGGATTGGGCGCTATCATGCATCCAATCTGACCTGCGTCACAGAATCGCCAGGCGCCCAGGCTCGGAATGGCTTGACAACAGGTGCCAGGTGGCATTCAGCAGCGTCATTCGATGTGATGAAGGAGGGTGGGTGCTGATCGAAGACTTGGTGAGGCATGAGCAACTATGGACCCATGAAAGCAGACGCATCACCGAAGCGGTCTCAAGGACCGATGAGCAACAGAGGAAGAGAGTGTACAATGAAAGACTTCAGCTATTGTTCCAAGGGAACATGCTCGCAGCCACGAAACGCCACAAGGCCAAGATTCGGTTGCAGTTCCTGGGAGTGAGAGTGAAGGACCCCGGCGTGGAAACTCTTGGATCCGCAGGTTCGAACATGTTGGTATCGGTTCCTGACCAGATCACGGAGATCCAGAACAATGATCGTTGCCGGCACAACCAGAGGTACCTGAACGTTTGCAACGGCTGGGTGAAGCCATGGGCAGTTCGGGCTACAAGTGGTCACTCTGCGCACTCAGATCCCCAGAACAATTTGCTTCAGTTGGACAAGAACAGGTTCGCAATATCTCCATCTATGACCCTCTTGCAACGTCTTGGAGGCGCGTTCCACGCTACGGCATGCCGCAACTTGGATTCCATTGTCACGCAAGGCATCATGCCTGGTTCGGAGGACCCCGACGGGGACTTCGACCATAGGCGCCAATTTCGAGGCAACCAAGGCGGCAGACTCCACAGCTATTGGGGGGTGTTTGCACCGTTCGATCACCGGAATGCGACAACCAAGATGCGGGTACATGGACGAGATGCCAAGCACATGCCACTGGCGGTCCTCCATGTCCCATCGCAGGACCTTGCACGAGAAGATGGACGTATCACAGACAGCGGCATCATGATCGTTGGCCGAACGATACCGTTCCAGTTCGTCAAGGAGGTATGGTTTTGCGTCCCGGATCCTCAAGATACACACTCTTTCGCTCTGGTGGAAAAGATCTACGATGAACGGTTGGAGAAAGAGCTGGTGTTGGACTACAATGCATCACCGTTGCTCCCTGAGTTCGAGAGATACCGAACGCCGAGCAAGATCATGGAATTGCTTTGCGAGATGCCTCCTGGACCCCACGACACCAGCAAGGAGCAGATCATTCGAGACCTTACGACTGTCCTGGAGTCCCACAGGGAGAACACGGTTCGGCATCACTACATGGACAAAGGGATCAAGTTTGTCATCAAGAATTGGCGACCCGAAGACCTACGCAGAGACGAGGATGGAAGGAGAATGATGGTGTGCCCGGCATGCTACAACATCGTTCCAGCATGTTTCTCCCGATGCACGTCTTGCTGGTCACAGTTCGTTTCTAGCGGATATTACCAAGGTTCTCCACAACGGGAGACTCCTACGGAGATCCCCAGTGACTTCATTGCTCAGACAATGGAAGCCGCGGCAGCAGCAGTGCCTGAGGCGCCCGAAGAGGAGCAGGAAGCCATGGAGGTAGAGACCGTTGCGGAACCTGAGGAAATCCCCGAACCATCTGTCATCGCGGAGGACGATCCAGAACAGGAACCTGATGAAGAAATGGACATAGAGCCAGGAGAGGACTTTGATGACGCAGTACCAGATGCAGTTGCACAGGAACGCCGTCCTGTCTTCATTACCGGCCAGTCTTTGAACATCGATCCTGAGCTACAACTCGCACGTACCGCCATGCAGCCATCCTACTACTCAGGGAAGCGAAATGCCCATTGCATCGACGCCAACATGGTCGCTCTTTCGTATATGGCTTTCGTGGTGTGCAGGACCATCTACAAGGCTTGGTCAGGCTTCGCGAAGTGGGCTACTATGCCGTTGTTTCAGATGAAGGAGAATTTCGCACTTGGCCAACGCTATGATGTGCTTGGAAAGTGGGGATCATTGGCTGTAGTGGACAGAGAGACTGGTGTGAGCAGGGATGTGACTGATGAGGAGATCATTCGCTTTGCCAAGGAACCTGAGAACCTCAAGCAGTACGATCCCAACGGGACTTACACTTTGAAGCGCTTCCGGACGAATCAGATGCTTTCTTTGATTACGCGAGGAGCCAACATGATGGGAATTGGCAGGGACAACTTCAACCCTACTACGTACTTGAAGAGCAACAGGGATGAAGATGTGAAGGCTATGCACTTTTGTTGCCTGAATGTCCTGTGCGAGGTGATTCCGATGGTGACAGGACACCAACAATTCTCAGTGCTACGACCAACGCCAACTGGACCGGTGGACTTCTTGTACACCGACCCCGTCGGTATCCTGCTGACTCATGCCGATCATTCCGTCCAGACCATTGGATTGCTGGTGGACCACAATGTGCAAATGCCTGCGCATTTCATGGACAGATTGAACAGATCCAAGGCTGAGAGACAGCAAAACCCGACGACCAAGCGTACTGAAGCCCTACACCATATTTCGGCCGCTGACTATCTCCCTCCAGGTGGTACTTCCATTCTGGACACGCCTGTCACAACGGAGGAACGTGCAAGCGCTTCTTCGGCCAAGGGACCTTCAAAAGGGCGTGAGAGAACCGGAGGTGAACAGCATGGAGGATGGAACGCCAACACCTACTATGACTACACCGCCGGCAAAGGCCGAAACAAAGGCAAGGACAAAGGAAAGCAAAGGGAACAGTATCCAGAGGAGAACCTCCGGCCCTGGGACCGCGATCCTGCGACCACGCGAAGATGGAGATGAATCAACGCTTGGTCCTCCTCGCCTATCAGTTCGTGACCTCTGAGCTTCGCCCATGGAATGCCATCGCGAATGCTTCTTTCTTCGGTGACGCCTGATTCGTTTGTCATTTCAGGGGATCGTTACTGACGTAGATGAGTGTCACAACGTTTCTAATTGGGATGCAAAGCTCTGATTTTCAATGTCAACGTTGCGGCGGAACATTTTCTGTTGTCCTATCGTGCCATCTTCCGGGTGAGCAGCGTCGGAGACGCAACTCATGGGGGTGCGAACGGACTGCGATGCCTTGTCAAGTTCTAAGGTGTCACTATAAGAGCTGTGAGCAAGACCGTGTAAAGTGCAAGAGAAGGGGGCACGCTACGCGTCCCTCGACTCTAAGGGGGCACGCTACGCTTCCCTCATCTTTACCTTTCTATGTGACCGCCCACGCAACGTTTGGCTCAAGTCAATGCCCATAGCTAAGTGCTATAAGTGTCTTCTATCCTGAGCAATCAGAGCTATCCCGTTGCACAGACGACCCGCCGCCGGCAGTGAGTGCAAAAGGAACGGCCGCCGGTTCTGCCTGCATAGGATTGCACGTGTGGAAGTGTGAGAGAAACAGGGTCCAGTCTGTGGAGAGTGCAAGCCAGCCACACCTACATTCATTACAGCTCTGGTGGGGAGAGCAGCAACCTAGTCGAGATCAATCCCCCACGCACATATTGACATACGCTTTATGAACGACAGCGGCATTGCGCATGCGTTTTGGCTGCTGAAACGGTTGAAGTCTATAGTGAGGCCCGTTGAAGGAAAGCTCCGGTGGTTTGCCTGTTCTTGGTTTCCGTCGAGTCGAGTATGGGTGTGGGATAAGGGCTTTCGGGTTGGACTGTATGCTTTATTAGTGCATCCTCAGCCGCTAATCGGCTTCTTTTGTGTACCGCAGCTCGCGAACCGACAAAGTCGAACACCCTAAACTTTCTCCTCAGACATTGGCGCCCCGAGCCCGAACATCCCAGAACCTAGATGCCTGGACCGAGACGAACCCCGAGGATCGAAGCTCCACCGGCAGCGGTCCCTGCCACGGTGCGACGCCCTTGCATTTCTTTGCTCTTTGGGGCAGCTTAGGGTTGAGCGTGTAGGTGTCAGGGGTAAAAAAGGACTCCAGTCAAGTTCAGTTCTTCAGGGTTCTTGACTTCCATAGACTCGACGGTGCACGCGGTCGTAAACGGGTATTTGTTTTATTTTCATCTGAGTCCACCCACTGCCGGTCAGCGGACAAAGGCAGAACAACATCATTGTTGTCCAAGTGCTGCATGTCCACATCATTCACGAGCCCGTGTGGGACAAGAGGCTGGACGTGAGGCCCTAGTTGCGGTTGCAAAGCGGCACAAGCTCGACCAGAATCCACACATCAACTACACGATCGCAGGCATAAACAGCCCTGGACCCTAAACCACCACTGGAACCGACTTCCGAAGTTGGGAGTAAGGGGTTGGGGACTTGGAGAGAATGACCTGGTTGTTTAGGTCTGCAACACAAGCGACCTTGAGCCAGTGGGAAACCACAAATAAGTGTTAACTCTTTAAGACCCCAACCCATGAGCGCGCCACTGACATCTTTTGCCCCAAAGTCTTACACCACAAGTCACTGATGACCCACACTAAGAGCGCGACAGTCTTAACGACGGCAACATCGTACACCCTCATCCTGAAATCTTGAAGCCTGGGGACAGTTAACATTCAACTCGCAATCAAGGGCCCTAACTCGATCCCTTCGGCTTACGCCGGAGGCTCCGGCCAAGCAGTTTCAGGTTCCAACACGGTCATTTTGCAGGGTGCCGGAATTGTCCTTGTTTTCGATTGTTGCTGCCAAGGTGCCACAGCCGGCTCAGACAGCCCAGCCGGAACCTCTGTCACTGGAGGCTTTTTGCCGGAAAGTCATGTGGAAACTCGAAGCCCAGGAGCTTCCGCTTTAGATACGTGGTTGAAGCTTCCTGTGTGACTGAAATATGAAATCAACAGCTTCAGGCTGTATGTTGTCAATACAATGTATTCTGTCATTTTCATATTGCATTATGTTATGTCTTGTAATCCTTGGAAGACTGTTCATGAGAGGGCGCCGTACAATAGGTATACCGTGCTACACTATCTTAAACTGTATTACATTGCATTAGTTGTATTTTGCCGCAGTGTATTGGTGTACCTTACCTCTGTTTTCTTACCGTCTCTCATCATCACTAGTCGTATTTGTTCGTATCATATTATCTTACCCTATCTAACATTATGTCAGGCTGCATGCAACAATTGTATTGTTTGATGTCGTGCTATACAACACCAGGCCATGTTACATGAGCGCATAGCTGTCATAATATGTTTATACATAGATGTATACATGTTTTGGTTATGCTATGCACTATATTTGCATATTGCATCAACTTCACATTATGCTTTATCATAATATTGTACCATCTTGAAATGCTACAGAACATAGTTGATTATATTGCACTAGGAGAATCACATTAATGTTATGTTTTACAATATGATACGATGTCATGCTACATCATGTCTCGCTGTTTGACCATGTAATGAGTCAGACCATTTCATGTCATATCAGACTACATTACATTCTGTCATGCCATAGTACAGCGTACGTACTCATTTCAAGCCGTGGTATGTTGTGTAATGTCGAACCATCTTTCGATAGACCATGTGCATATTATAGAATATTGCAATAGATGTGTTTTAGTTAGAGTGTGTCATCTTGTATCATGGGTCACTGTATTGGGGTATGTTGGGCTTTATCATCTTATGTGACACTTTCAACACGTCATCATGTTTTGGTGTATGTAATTTGTTAATTTTTTGTTCCAGAGCCTGGTGATTTTGATATCGTGCTATATTGCCCGATAGTTTCATCTGCGATTTCACACGTTTTCTCATTCATTTTTTACATATTATACCATCTCTTCTATGCGTTTTATTGTATGGTGTTTTACTAGAATGTATTGTGTCATGTTACTGTTTCTTCCTAAGTTGTGTTAGAATCTAATCAGTCCGCTATGTAGTGTTGTTTTAGTTTTACATGGTTTGTTGTTCGATACATCATATTATGTGATACAAAACAGAAAACTTGCATGTTAACCAATGTGATGCCGTTGCATATGTTGTTTCATCGTTCCATTTTTTGTATAATGCTGCAGCAATACCGTATCACATCATATGTTATCATATGGTGTACTTTTTCTCCTTTGTATTACATTATGATGTTCTGAAATCTATTATCTATTTTACTATAGCATACATAGTACATGGCATCAAAATTTTGATACCACATTCTTTTGTATATTAGCATAACGTGCGACATTGCGTTATCATATCTTGTATTCCACTCTACTAGGTATGCTACCTTATAGGCTCTTGTGCTCAGCTGCGTGCTCTCGTATGTTATGTCGTGTTGTGCTCTGTAATGTAGTGTTCTAGAATGCAAGGATTCTTTATGTTTTGCTATATATTTTTATCGATTGTGCCTGACTGTGCGATAACATGTTGTTCTATGTCACCTATACTGAGATACCATATATTGTGCTGTACTACTTGTCATTGCACTGGATCCGATAATGCTCTGCACTTTTCTGTTTCATGAAAATGTACTATACGGATGTTAAACTATATTGGGCTATGCTGTGTGATGTTAGATTTGTTTTGTTATGTTACATGATGTTATTTGATGCCAAGTTGTCTTAAGCTATGCTGTGGTGTATTATGTCATTCTATGCTGTGTTGTGTTATGCCAAGTCACTTTGTATAATGTGTATGCTTTGGTGTATATTTTTATGCCACGTCATGTAATGCAATCTCGGGTTTTGCTGTGCTATCTTATGATATATGTATATATATACACACATATATATATATATATATGTATATATATATATATATATATATCATTTCGTGTTACGTTCCATGATAGTCATTCTGCTATACCGTTTAAGCTTTTTGTTGTGTTCTATTGCGCTATACTCTGTTGGGTTGTTTGTGAATATGTTCTATCATGTTAGATTACAGGCTCCGGAGCCGGAGTTGCCAAAGCCAGCGCTCGTTGGGATGCCGATCCCCTCGGCCACTGGGCAGTTCGTCTAGGGCCAGTTCCTCTGCTTTGTGCTGAGCAGCAGCAGGATAATTAGGCTCCAAATGTCTGCCAGTTACTGCAGGAGTCCTCGAGCTTGCAGGAAGGTTTCGGTGGGGGCTAGGGTGTTCCGGTGTTTATAGTTGTTCACGAGGGCTGGCAATGATTACAAAAAGTTTCTGTAGGGTTGCTGAAGGGTTTCATGCATGGGAGTCGCGATAAGGGATTTGGAAAGTTTGGGATTGAAGGCTTCCGCTTTAGTGTTTGGGATGTATGGTTTGGTGGTCCAGGCTTTAGGCCACAGTGTTGGGATTGATCCGAGAGGTTCACATTTGATCAGGTTCCCTGTCTTCAAACTTCAGGACCTTTGGGTGCTGAGGTGACGATACGAGCTTCTTTATTCAAAGAGTGCTGAGCCAACCTGCAACAAGGACCACAGAAATCTCAAGAATGCGGGAAGCATCGACAGAGACAGTCTCGCCAAATGCGAAACGGTAGACCCGAAAAACCCTCTGCACGCGAAGCGCCGAACAGCAGCCCCAAACACGCGAGCTCAAAAGAGCCATATGCGAACCCGAGCGAACACCCTGCTGGGTGCTTCTGTGCAGTAACCCAGTTTATATGCCATACTTCGAGGTGAAACCCTCAAGCCCCAAACCGGAGGTTCAAGTCCTACACTCAGTGAAACGGTGCAGCAACTACACTGTTGCTACGGTGTATCTTTCGCTCGTAGTTGAAACCCAAACCACCAGCCTCGATCTACACCCCTAAACTCGAGGAAGGTTTCCTTAGCTTCCACGCTCCTGTGGCGGAGATCCTGGGTGATCCCACCGCAGCTCTTCTGCGGTGGAAATTAACAAAAAGGCTGGGGGTATCTGAAGGTTTAGAGTCCAGTGTGTCCAGTGTTTGGGGGTTCAGGGCTTTGGGTGGAGAGATTTTATGGCTCAAGATACATCCTAAGTCCGAGTTCCGTTACAGGGTCTTGATGCCTCTTGACTGCCATCCGCACGTGAGGTGGAAATCGCTGCATTTGCTTTCAGACCGAAAAACCACAAATCTAGAGGCACACACAGTTTCTGATGCTCGAAACCCCAAGGTCCTAATGCTTTAAATCCCAAAGCTTCGCGCCGTGGATCGTAGCGCACGAGATTCATCCACGAGCGAGATGTTCCAAGGTAGTGGAGAGAACTCCAAGCACACAGCAGCAGATCAGGCACGGAGACTGTCGCAACGGCTTGATCGTGGGTTTGACATCTAGGTTCCGGGTTTTACGTTTTGGTCGGCTTGGGTCTAGGGTTTAGGGCAAAGAGGACTTTGTACGGGCTTTTTTGCCTTTGGGCTTGGAGTTCCGGGGTTTCGTGGCACTCAAATTGAATCCCTACACGGTGTAAGAGTTTGTCCATCTGGCAGACCGGTGGCCGCCGCGAAACCTCTGGAGCAGCCTCCAGAACCTCCAGTTGAGCCGCCGCTTGGGCTCCAAAGGAAAAGGTGAAGGGCAAACAAAGGGTGGCGCTTGTGGGTTGAGGGGGGTGCATGGGGTTTGAGAATTTTGTGTTTCTGGGTGTAGGATGTAGGGAGGCTCGATCTTTGAAGTTTCCGCGAACGTGGCCGGGCAATCTCCCAATTACCAGTGAGGTTTTCTACTGCTCTGCCACAGTCTTGTATCGTAAACCGATACGACGCAGGACTTTCGCCTGAGCCATAGAATCTTTCGGGAAGTAGGGGCCTGAGAACTGTAAACCCGACAGCCCTGAGCTCAGCTTTTTTAAAGGCTGATGGTTAGTTGTCAGCATGGTTGGAAGCAGGGCACAACAGCCCTAAGCGCAGCTGCTTATCATACGAGCAGCCCTACTTCTTGCTTAGCCATGAACCTCAAAGTGCTACTCGTGCATTTGGGTTCTTTCAGGGCTTTTCGGATTTTTCAATGCTGCCTCTCCCCCGGGCCTAGCAGCTGATCGGGCTGAGGGATTACAAGGGTGGGTGTGGACCCTGGGGCGGTACTAAGGGATTTGATCCCGACGAGCACCCCCCACCCTCGCCAGTCCCCTGCTGGGGCGACAGTACCGATACCTCCTCTGGGGATCTCTGGGACCTGCATGTGCTTCTAAAATTTTCCTTCGTGGTGCATGTACACAACACTTCATTGATAGGCAGACTTGCGGAACGCACACCGGGTTGCAGATTCGAGACTGCTCCTTGTGACAACGCCAATGTCGGGTTGCAGCGGCTGGCTCCCTTGTCCCTGCATCTGGGACTCACCTCTATGCCACTGTAAATTTTTCCGAATTGCAAAGCCGGGATCGGAAAATTTCTATTGCTATTGATTTTCAATCCAGGTTGCAGCAGTGGGGCTCCCTGGTCCAGGACATCGTATGTCTATCCCAGGTTGCAGCAGTAGGGCGGGGGGGCCGAGGGGGGGGTCTGAGAGGGGGGGGTCCGCCAAAAAATGTGTCAATTAGAAACTATTCCTGTTTGCGGTGAGGCTCCCTGGCATAGAGCTACAATGGGCGCGGATGATGGAGAAGACCATGGACTCATAAATTGCACATGCAGCTTGCTTGCTTGCCTGCCTGCCGTGCACGGGGCCATGACGCTTTCGGAGCTCCGTGCCCCGCTCTCTTTCTTTCTCTCTCTCTCTCTCTCTCTCTCTCTCTCTCAAAGCTGTCTCAGGCCTGCTGAAGTTGTTGTAGGCTGCAAGTCCAGGGTCGCAACAGGGGGCCTGGCAGTAAGAAGGTCCCATACAGATGTAGCAGCTTGCACTCTACGGTTTAAGATGGACATTTTTGTTCAAGCCTTTCACTTTTGGCTGTGAAGACCGCAACTCGTTGCCCTGATGTCTCTTGGCCATTGAGGCGCAGGTCTACTGCCGAGGAGATGATGGCAAGGCAGGGCGAAAACCCGTTGTGGGCGCTTTTTCTGAACAGGAATGTCGGAAGGTACAGGACCTCATAGTCACACTGGAAGTTTGGACAGTTTGCAAACTGACTTCTTGAAGGATGGCCTTCCGTGTCGATAATTGTCGCGCGGACTGGACCCGTGAGCGACGTAGCGACAGCGTTGGTGCATACACAGGAAGACAGGCACACGGACACACATGCACTCTTGCACATTGTTAAACCCAAGTGTTTATCACAACACATTTTCTTTGATACAAAATCGGGTGTTTATGAAAAGCAGCCCACAAAGCATATCTTTCTCATCGACAGAAGCGCTGTAGATGCCAGAGTTCTTATAACTTTCTCACAAAGGGTCTTGGGGTGAGTGAGACGCTGGTGTAAGCCACGTAAAGCTGACACATGGAAAAATCCAACGGGTCAGTGTGCAAGATTTGCAGTAAGGCAAGTTCGTGATCGCGGTAAGTGGCGGCACGGGCTGCGCGCCTCTGCGATGGTGGATGGTGGTGCTGGCGGGGGCTGGTTGAGGAGGGGCAGGGGGTGGCAGGGTCTTGGAACGCACCCTTGCAAGCTTAAGCCTAAGCTCATGGATTCGTGTTCATGGGCAAAACCCCGTGCTCATGAACACGATGGGCCCAGCCGGGAACACACGCCAGGAAATTGACACATGCATCAATCAACGTCCAGTGACCGTTCGAAACAGTGCTTGCAAACTACACATGTTTGTATTGTTGCTGTTCTTCACAATACTATGTCCCGACTGGTCTGAGCGTCGTTCAGGTGCATGGCCTTTGCCGAGGAGAAGGCCAAAGCGTCTTCTAAGGCGGACACGTGGGTTTAACGAAAGTGCGAGAGGTTTAGGGCTTTCGGTTCAAGGCTAGTGTCGAAAAATCGTTCGTCACTACCACTCCAACACCGCCATTGCCACAACCATCATAATCTCCTTGCCAACAGTGAGGTCACCGAACCCCTTGCACCTTGCCCCCCAATGACCTGAGTGATTCTTGTTTTAACTTCGCGTCCCAAGTGTCTCAGCTTGAACTGAAGCATTGAGCGTCCCTGAGCCCCAGATCCGGAAACTCAAGACTTTTAAAAGCTGCAAACCCAAAACCTAAAGCTCCAAGCCCTAAGCTCATCAATGTTGCTTTCAGCCTGTCGGCAGTAAACATTAGGGCATTATTGCCGATCTGATGTCGGAAGTTTAGTGTTTAGGGATTCGATGGCAATTGCAGGTTACGTATGTTGCGATCCCCCTATCTGCGATACACGCCATGGGCTTCGTTGCAGGGATCCTGCAACCCGCGACAAGCCCGTAGCCATCCGCCTGAAGCTCCATCAACTCTTGCCTGCCTCCCTTTACAGACAGCGACGCTTCCGGAGTGGACCGAGCCTCCACCGCCACCTGAGGCGGATAGGGGTTTCGGGGGGTTTTCAATGTTGAGAGGTTTCGGCTTTGCTTGATTTTGGCGGCTAAAAGGTTGGAGATTCACGTTCGAGAGCGGCCTCGTGGAAAAACTGAATGTTTGCCTACGTAATCACAACCAGGAGCTGCCGTAGGGCATTTCCTCTGATTCAACACTTCCTGTCACCGCAGCCGTCAAGCAGGCCCAGTCAAGCTGCTGTAAGCTCTAAGCTGTGAGCTGCAAATCCGAATCTTGAGCCCCACGAGTTCCAAGTCCGACATTTCACCCCAAGCCGGAACCTTGAATCCCAATTGCCACCTCAAATCCCTAACACTCTGAACACTCAACCACCCTTGAACTTAAACCCAAAACCCTAAGAAGCCCCAAACCTCAAAAACTTAAATGAAACCTGCAGGAGCCACCCGAGATGGAGACGACGGAGCCTCCTCCGCGTCCACAGGAGCCCGCAGAGGCGCCCGTTTAGGAGCTGAAAGGGTCGCCGACTTTTATGAATAAAGTTTCGGGAGTGAGTCAAGCAATTCGGGTGGAAGCTGTTAGGCGATTAGTGTTGGGCTTAGGCTCCAGAACTTGCAAATCCTTTGCTGACATATGGGCTTCGAGGTCATCTTGACACCGGATGTGCAACAGTGCAATTGGGAGATGTGAACTTCCATCAAGGGCAGGGTCGAATGCGAGGTGTTTGGACCTTTCTCAGCACAAGTGTCTAAGCCAGACGATCGTGCCTCAGTGGAAAGCTTCAACAAAGCAGGAGAGCCTTGTGCTCGGGCCATCTAGCCGGAGAGTCCTGAACCTCCCAACCGAAGCCGAAGTTTTAGGCTTGAAGCCTTGCAGGCCCTTAGCCGCAAAATACAACCTAAGTGCTAAACCTTACTCGGAGCGGAATGTCTGCAAAAGATGTGGAGGCCAACGTTGGCATTGCTGTCCCAGAGAGTTATGCTGAGGTGAAAATTTCAGAAGAGTCTACAGCCTTGAGGGCCTCCGTACTAAAACAGCATACCATAGGATTTCCTGTCTCGAACTTTTCGGATGTACGCATACTTTTCCGAGAGACTGTCAGAGAGAGATTCGGCTTTCAGGAGTTTGTAGGCCCAAGTCTTCAGTTCACATGATGCCGAATGCGTCATGTCACAGATGCAATCAGGTTCGCACCTGGGGGTGGACAGGTCGCCACCTGAACCCTGCATCGTTATTCCTAGACCCCAAGCCTCACGCGGATTAGTTTGGGTATCAGACTCAGGTTAAACTTGTTCGAATGGAGGTTCGGCCTTTTCAGGGAGCGACTCCTGGGACTTGAGTGTTTCATCCTACAATCTCTAGAGTTCTACAAGTGAGCCAAGGAACAAAGGTGGAATTCTATCAAGTGAGGTTTCGCGTCTCATCAATCAAGGCTAGTTCCGACAAGCTCGCCCAAGGGGGGCACGAAGAGTTTCCAAAGCCGACATTACGCATTAGGTGTAGCAACTAAGAAAACCTGAGGCGGAGCCCGCACCGATGCCACTGCCAATGCCGGCATCGATACTTGAGCCGAAGCCCACACCGGCGGTTGTGTCGCTGGGACGATACCATGATTGCGCCTGCATCACTTAGATTTGCTCATCATCGTGGTCATGTGTCCGGTTGTAGTCATTATCGTTACTATTGAATTGGGTGGGGCTCTCGGTTTGTGGCACTTTGGGTAACCTGAGTGATCAGTTGTAAGATTCCCTTCAACGCCTTTGCAGAAACCCAAACCCGAGTCCGACTTGTTGGAACCAGCAGAGCTCAACTCTTAACCCGACTGTCTTCTGGCACCTTCGGTGTGAACGTTCAGACGGTGGACGAGGGTTGGAGCTTCCAAACACCGAGACCCCGGCCTAGACTTGGCATCCTGCACTGCGACTCGCGGCGGACGAGTTCTCACGAGTTCTTTAAAATTAGTGTTCTGGCTAGGGTTCAAACGCACAGGGTCGCAGAAAAAGTCCTAGTCGGACGGATGAGGTTTTGGAACTTGGCACCGCAAATTCCTGGTGCAGGAATCAAGGAATGCTTGCCGAATTTGGAGCCGGCTACAGATCCTATGCTCCAGCCCTGGGAAACAAAGTTTTCATGGTGGATTGTCGGATGGGTTCGGTCAGGCTTAACAACAAAAAACCTCAAGCCGTCTGTTTCTCTTTCGCCTTTCACTTCTCAGTTTCCACAACGCCGAATCCCAAATCCTTTCATCGCTAGTGCGTAATTCAGGTGAGCTCACCTGGAAGCTGAACAGGTCGGATGCAATAATAATGTGTAGTGTGGTTCAAAGTAGGAAACCCAATCGTCAAAAGTCATTTTGCCTAAACCCTCGGCAAATGCCCTCCACCTACATCCTGAACCTTAAATCCTCAACACCCCAGCAATCCCAGCATCTGAGCCTCAAGCGAATTTGCAAGGCCGGCACGAAGCCGCACGACACCAGCGCCAAAACCTGACCCGGAGCCTTCGGCGGCGCTGCCGAAGGAGCTGAGTCGAGTCGGGTACAGTAGGGTGTCCAGATCGGGATGTAGCTGGGCTTTAGGGCTCGGGTTCCTGTTCGAAGTTGTAATATGCTATGGGTTCCGGCAGTAAAGTCGAAGCCATAGCCTGAACCCTGAAGGCTTCACGCTGGAGTCTAAGAAGCCTGAGTTTTCACTATTGTTATCCCTATAGTTCTAAAAACGTAAATTATCCATAACCCTATTCTAACTAGTGAGGCCCTCATAGTAGTCAGGCCGTTCCGGTGTCTGCACCCACAGCAGCCGCAGCGCCTCCAGTGGTGGCCCCACGGGTTAAGCCGGCCGAGAATGTGGCGGCTGGGCGAACTACGTCAGGGTTTTAGTGTTTGCTGTTTCGCTGCCAGGAGCCAGAATGGTAGGCCAAATAATCGTCGCAACAAATAAGACCAGTCGCGAACACATACAGATATTCGTTTCGGATTCTCAGAGTGGGAATTTGGGACTTAAGGATTCAGACTTGGTGACAGCCGACAGAAGGACCCAAAACAAAATCCAGACATCTTAGGATTTGCAGGGATGCTTGCAAGCCCTGACAGCTATTTGCCTCCGGATCTGGGAGGGAGCTTCGGGTGGCTAGATGGCGAAGTGGCTACGAGATCGGTGTCACTACGAGATGTCATGCCGGGTGGGTTTGGGACTTCAGGTTCGGTCAGAAGGTCGTGGGGCTGTACAGCTTCGGTCTGCTTCGGTTCTGTCCACAGGGCTTTAGGCGGTTGGTGTTGGTAGTCTTAGGGGTTTGCGTATTGGCTGTCAAGGATGCAGGACTTTCCTCGTAGGGCTTCGGGGGTGTGTGGCGGCGTCGTCGACAAGCCCCCCAGCTCGAACACAAGACTCTTCGAAGTACTGTCCCCACAACTCCTGAAGACCAAAACCCTCTGCCCCGAACCCCAAGATCCAGGAACTGCAAAGCCCTAAACCCCGCAACCCCATATAGACCGCTGAGCCCAAATTCCGGAAAAGCCTCAACCTTTGCTATCCTGGAACCCAAAGTGCCCTGCAAAGGAGCCCAGCCGAACGACAGCGACTGTAAAGCGGCCGGTCGTAGTGCCTCCTCCGTCGAAGCCTCCGGTGCCGGAAGCAGAAGCAGGAGGTTTAACGTTGTGGGGCTCTGGGGGCTTTGGCTACGAGTTGAGAGAGCCCTGAATCTCAACAGCTGAAGGTGCAATCCAAGGCCGCCATGGCGCTGAAGCGCCAAAAAGGCAGGGCTGGCAGCTTCTGGGTTTCGGAGGTGTGAAGATTGCAAGAGTGAAGGTTGAGAGACGTTGAGAGTTCAGAATTCAGGGTTTCTCGGGTTCTTCTAGTTTGGGCTTATGACTTTGAGATGTGGGGTTCCAGACTGTTAGTTTGGGTCTTGCGGTTCGTGGTTCTTGGAGTGAACAATTACGAAAGTTCCGAGTATATATAAAAAACAACTGAGGGTGTAGCCGCATGCCGTGTGTCAAGTTCAGAGCAAGTTGCCTCAGAGTCGCTGGCACTCTGAGGCTTTCGATTGTTCATACGTTTGTGCAATGCCCAGAGCCCGAAATCCAATCCGAAGGTCCCTACGCTAAATCGCAGGTCCCAAACCTCGGGCCGTGGCTCCTGCAAATCCAGAGGTCCCGTGCAGGTGGCCCCAATTCAAATCCCAAAGCCTTATTTTTTTGGTTAAACTGCCCGTCTCCCGCAAGTCGTTGTTGATCCAGGCATCGATCCCAAACCCTCAGCACCCGACAGGTGCACCGGACTTGACTCCGCCGCCGCCATTGGCCTCGAATAACACCTTGTCGCTCGGCGAGGCTTAATCGGTAACCCTCAAAGACTCATCAGAGTGGATTCAGTGTGCAAGAGCAGTGGCCTTGGAAATTGGGGTCGTCGACATGTTTTGGATCAGGTGGGCTTTCAGGCATGGTGGTTCGGTGTCCAGGCCAGGCACACTTTAAAGCGCTGGGTTTGTGGTTTCGGGCTGGGGTTTCAGAGAGTCCTTTGGACTCTCGATCTTCCGTGCTCAGTGATCAGGCTTGTTTGGTGCATCTGTCCAACCTTCCCCAGGCTTCAGGCTTTCACATCTGTGTTTTGGGAGTCGGCGGGAAGCATTGTTCAGGCTTGGCCTCAGGAATTTTCGATTCGAGTTGAGGCACCCGGGGGACACGATGTGATCTGGCACGCAGTCTTGGGATTGGGGCGTGATTAAGTCGTTGCTGTTCAGGCTGCGCAGGGCTTACTGGCGACGGGACTGCAGGGTTGGTACACATGCTGGCCCCGGCTTTGTACAAGCCCAAAGAGCCAGGCATGACGGTGACTTGAGGGTGGGCTGGGGTTCGTAACCTGGTAATATCAGATGATGTCTTCCTACATCCTACAGTTCTTGTACTTACATGAGAAAAGGGTAATCTACATCTCTATTAGCACTTCTGGCGTGACAGGCCCGGCTGAGCTTGTCCATTTTGCGTGTGGTGTTCGTGATTAGGACAATCTTCTTGCATGAGTCGCTGTTTATGTTGCTATGTTGCCAGTCAATCAAAATAAGGTCGTTTTGTTGCGTTGGCAGTTTTCGCGGTACGACGGGTAGTCAGATTTGTGCGCCCTGCGTTCGCAAAAAGCTGAAAGAGCTGTCTAGAACGTTCCCCACAAGCCCTTGTAGCCTTCAACTCAGGACGTTTCCAGTGACAATGTCCCCAAACTAGTCGCCCTTGCAGTCCTTGTTTACATCACGCGGGTTCTCCTCCGCATGTTGAACAGCTGGCCGGGGAACGGGCTCTGAGCTGTTCCCCGCCGTCCTGCCTCATCAGGATGTTGTCTGCTAGCACAGGCTGGTAGCCATGGTAAGCACCCGCTTGGTCGCGGTAGTTCATGCATCTTGATGAGCTGGCCGCAATGACGGCCTATTTCTCGTGTGGCCTGCTCTCAGACTTGTGCTGCTTTGTCATCATGCGAGCTTCAACCTTTGACATGTTTCATCCCCGGACGTGTTGTAGGAGCGGGTAGCGTTCTAGCTACACTTTTCTGTTTGGCATGCCTTTGAGCCCTGAAACCTTGGATGCCGCGACACAAGATTCACAAGAACTCTATGTTGCCAACACCTCGAATTCTATGGGCCGTGAACCCTGGAACGATAGACTTTTCGCTTTGGGAGGCAGCGGACACATTTCGCATCTTGGTGTTTCGGGTTCTAACCATATGGCCGTCGCTAGTTGCGATGGAGGGTTGCAGGACAAAGTGGTGGGGTTCAGCCGAAATCTGGTTACTACACACTACCCTATAGGGGTGTTAGGGATAAGCTCGAGGCTTCTGATCCAATACGTTTTAGCAGGCTTGGGGTGTCTGTGCTGGGTTGAAATTAGGGAGCATATACGCACGTTCAATCACACAACTGCAATGCTTCCATAATGTTGATAGCCCCATTGGTGCAGCACGTCCAAGACCATGAAGCAGTGTGCAGGTCAAGATCTTGTTCAGCTGCCCGCGTGCAAATTTTGCAAGCAAAATGTGCCGAGCCCATGGAGCCTTTCGCAACTCCTGCAACCGAGCCTCAACGCAGAGCTGGGCCACCATTCGTCCAAGATTTGACATCTAAGTTGGTGACGCAAGGGATGGTGTTCAGGGTTTCAAGTCGGGGTGTAGAAAATCTTTTTCCCCAAATTCCCTTCCTGCTTCAAGTTTGGGCCCCAAGAGTTTCTAACTTGGTCCGACTCTGTCTAGGATTACGTGAGCGGGTGGGGGATGCTGTCGGGATTGCGGTGCAATGGTGTCGGGGATTTTAGGTGAGTTGTGGTCGTGCAAGTTCCTTCCGCTCCTTTTCATGCATTTGGCAGCAACTGCCCAGGCATATTCGTCTGAAGTTGGTACGTCCATCGCATAAGCGTGAGCAAAGTGTGCACGATGTATGTTTCGGCGGCGGAAAGCTTAATTCGGAATCGAGCCCCGAGCATATAGAAGATTTGCACCACATGGGCTAGTGTGAACCTAGGCTAGGGCCTAGCTGCCTAGCTTGGTAGGGGTAGGCCCAAGGGTAAGCCGGGGTGCCAGCCGTGCTTCTGCAGAGTTCGTCCTGTTGGGAAAGACTGACTTGCACAGCAGCTGGCCACGTCAGTCATTTGGCGGTTCCGGTTCATCGGATATCGAAAATTATGCCCCCCTGATGTGGCGTTTTCAGTCCATCATATATCTTGAACACGCCCCCTCATTTGGCGATGCCCTCTGATTTGGCGATTCCGGTTCATTATATATCTTGGACACGCCCGTTCCCCTCCTTTGGCGATCCCGGTTGAGCAGATGTCTCAAATCGCCCCACTCATGTCGCGACCCAAGGTTCATCATATATCTTAAACATGCGCCCCTCATAGGTTCACCATATGTCTTAAAGACGCCTCCTCATTGAGCGTTTGCGGCGACACATCAAAGATTTCAAACACGCCCCGTGATTTGGCGATTCCGGTCATCATATATCCCGAACACGTCCCCTCATTTGGCGATTTCCGCTCCGGCCCGCCGTTTTGCGATTCCGGTTCATCACATGTCTTGAACATGCCCCTCATTTGGCGATTCCGGTCATCCTATAGGTCCTATATCTTAAACATGCCGCCTCATTCGACCATTGCGATTCATCATACATCTTGAATGCGCCCTCTGTGGCAATTCCGGTTCAGTATATATCTTAGACACACCCGCTCCCCTCCGTTGGCGATCACGGTTGATCACATTTCTCAAAGCCGCATAGCATTTTGCGATCGAACTCATCACATTTCCAGAAAAGCGCCTTCCTTTGTCCATTCCCACTCATGACTTGTCTCAACACCCCTACATTTGGCATTCCCGGTTGATCACATTTCTGAACCCGCCCGTCATATGGCGCTCCCGGTTCATCACACACCTACGCCCTTCCGTTTCGGCCTCATCACATATCTTAAATGCACCCTCCTTTGGCGATTCCGCTTCATCACGCGTTTGAGACACGCCTGCATGTGCCGATCCCGGGTGATCGCATTTCTTAGCCCTGCCCCCTCATCTTGCGAAGTCGGTTCATGAGATATTTTAACATGGCTGCTACTTTCATCATGTGGCGATTCCCGTTCATTATAAATCTTAAACACGTCCCCAGTTTGGCGATTCCTGTTGATCACATATCTTGGTCCTGCCCCCCTCCTTTGGCGATTCCGATTCGTCACATGCCCAAAACGTGCCCTCTCATTTGGCGATCCCGGATGATCACAGATCTGAATCCCGCCCATTCCTTTGGCTATCCCGGTAGATCACACGTCACTTATCCTCCATTTGGCGCTTCGGCAGGCAATCCCAGTTCCTCGCATGTCTAATAGGTGTGCCCGTCCTCACATATCCAAATCCTCACACCCGTCAGGCGACTCCAATCCTTCACATGTGCTAAGCCCACCCCCAGCTTTGCACTTGTCCTATATCCTACACAAGCCCCTTTATTTGGCGATTCCGGACTCGTTAGTGGAATACAACTTATAGAAACAAGAGCAATCATGCTAAGTAATTTCCGTGGCCGAACTACCACGAGTTTTATAGAACACTTGCATTTGTTTAACCAGTATTGTTTACAAAAACTCTACCACTGCCCTTTTTAGACTTGGAGGAACACAGCTGCAAATAACAGTCGAGTCATGCTGAGTATTTGCTGCAGCCCAGCCCCTCTGCTGCAAATCATGCTACATCCGCGCTACAACCCATAGCAACAGGAATAGTCGTTTTAATCATTGTCCATGGCCCCGCTACTGAAAGACTGCTCATGCTGAGTGTTGCAAATAGTCCTGCTACAGGTCATCCCAGAAAGCCTGGAAGACAACTCAATAATCAAGCTGAGTGCTGTCTCTGGCCCCGCTAGGATTGAGCCGGCTAGGTCTGGAATACAATTTAAACATAAAAATAATCTTGCTTAGTTTTGTTTACGGCCCCGCTACTGCTAACCGTACCAGACTTAATCGTACGACCCACTAAAACAAGGATAATCAGGCAAAGTATGGGCTATAGGTGCTAATACGACTCCCATGAAACGTGGCATACAACCTATCAGAACAAGAACCGCGATTGCGAGTATGGTCTTTAGGCCCTCCACTACTAATCCTACCAGATGTGGAATACAACCCATCAGAACAAGGATAATCATGTTGAGTATTGCCTGTAGCCCCTGAGCTACTACTCATGCTAAATTTAGCTGCTCTAGCAGAGACACGGGACTGGAGACCGCTAGAAATCCAGACCATGCGAGTCCTTGCCCGTCCTGCCTGCACGCCCAGCCAGCAAAGCGGATGGTCCTGCGACTTGGTTTTATAAGTGAAGAATTTTATCCTCCTACAGCGGTTTTGCAAGACCGCACCTTGGAGTTTGTACGCCCCGAGACACTGAAACTTAGCACACGTCAGACTTGACTGTCTGTTGCGATTTTCGGCCACTCTTGCTTGCCCCGGCAAGCTGGGCATGGTATTGCAAGATCCTAGCTGATTTGCTCGTTTTACAGATCAACTCAGCCTGAGCACCTAGGTTGAGCTCGAAGCTGTAAGGCTCCGAAAAAGTTTTGCGTGATGATGAAAGTGGTGCCCAAGCTCTTAAATGCAGCAGCACCAGCAGCTGCCAAGGAGCTGGAAGCTTCGATGCCCATAGACTGCGGGGTGGCATGGCCCTGAAGCCAAAATTTTTGCTATGCAGGACCGCAGCCGTGCTGTGATCGACTGCCTCTCGGAGGTCGAGGCTAAACTGGGCTTGCTTGCCTAGACAAGGATTCTTCTTGGATATGCTAGCTTTTGGAATTTTAGACTTCGGTTTTTCGCAGTGGTCACGATTGGGGTTTGGAGCTTCGAGAGCTGGTATCTCATAGTCATACATTCGAGCTTGTAGCAATCTGGATTGCATTTCTGATTTGCCTGCCTGTTGCAGGAAGTACATGTCTGACCCATGTTGGACCTGCGCAATGTCCCAGGTTTGAATTATAGGTTTTTGACTTCACATCCTTGCTTGTCTGGAACTGTTGCTCAGTTTTGTGATCCTAATGATCGCACGGAATGCTTGAGGCATATGAACAACTGCCGTGGCCATGTGCTGCTCAAGGCTTTTTGCTGGCACCACGTGTGCAAAGCTCTTGCCTTTACCGTGTAAATGCCTCGGACACTCATGCCTGAACTAGCGGGTAACAGACCCAATAAATCACCGAGCTGGCCAGCCCCGCCACATGCAGGATCTTGAACCGTCTCTCACATGCGCTCCAACCGTGTTGCGAATCAGAAGCAACGAAGTCATTTCGCCCACCTGCACTCAGTGGGCCAGACGATGCCAGCATACATGTCGTTATGCCCAGCGCACCAATTTCCAATCGTTTCCTTGCTGGTTGTTGTAAGTTTATGTTGCCAGCGAAGCATCCTGGTTTCAAACTGGGAAGCCTGGCGGCTTTGCCCTGCATCCCACAACCTGCGCCCGAAACCTTCGAGACTAAGCTCCACATGTGTCCAGTTTGATCAGTATGACCATAACAACCTTCAGCCATAAGCGCGAGAACATGAGAATCCGCGCTAGTCAAGACGACAGCTTCGGTTCCAGATGCAAGAAGGAGCCGCAGCATCCCAACGTGTGTGGCACTCCTTGCACATGCTTCAATCTGGTCACATTACACAAGCAGCCTCCTGCAACTGAGGCCCGCAAGCTTTGATTTCTCCGTGCAGGCATGCGGCTTCGGCTTGCGATCTGCAGTCCGCTCTTCGTGCTTCTGGGATAATACGTGGTTGGACCACGGGAGGCCTGTAGGCATCAAGGCTGCATTCCGCAAACTGTGACCTTGCACCCAGTACCCCACAGCTTCATGGTGTACGCAAACAACCGAGTCCGGCTTTGAGGCGACCCGGACTTTGACCGTTGCCGCTCTTGCAGCTCCCAAAGCTTGCAGTGATGCTTGTAAGTTTCAGGCCAACCGTGTTCCGGGAGGTCGGAGCTTCCACAACGGGTCTCGTGCTGTCGTTCCATTGGGGGAAACAGTGTAACACTCGAGTACGTTTACTATTCAAGTGTTGCTGGAACTCATTCAGCGACTGGGAGGACTGCTGAACATTCGTCGCCGTTTGTGAGGATTGCTTTATTGAGTGCCATGCATTGTTTAATCGAGAAAAGCAGTATGCCAGCATACTATTGGAGATGCCTTAAGTGGCTTCCTTCATCCGCACATATGCTGTGTTTGGCAAATTTATTACCCGCAGAAGGCAACCCTGGTTTTGAAGGTAGCAGGTCGGGTATGCGCGCGGCTTTATTGGTTCATGTCGTGATGGTGCCATAGTTTTCTCGTTTGGAGCGTGCCAAAATCAGCACATACACCTGGATCTTGATGCAACATCTGTGTATGAACGCTTCCCGATGCAGTTGCATCAAGTTTGCACCGGTGCATGCAATAGGAAATAAACAATGCTCGGTCTTTATTGTCTTGTGTCATCCGTATCGGCACAGAGATTTTGTGGCTTATCGTCGGTTTTGTAGTTTCGAGAGCTGATCGACTTTATTTTGAAAGACGTCGCAATCGTACCAGGCCTGCATTCGCCTTGAGAAGCCACAAACACCCCAAGCCATGAATCTTAAATCCTAAACCCCGCTAAAAACACGAGAGTTCAACAAAAGAAGCTGTAGACCCTAAACCAAAATAAGCCAAAGCTGAAAGCTCAAGCCCCCAAGCCATGTAGTCAGTCATTGTGGAGATAGCTAAGCGGCTAAGCGGGGATGCGGGCTTCCATGTGTTGCGGGAACGCTGGCAGGGTTAACGTCGAAAGTTTTGGACATGCCCGGAAAATCCCGACAATGTCACAACTCCTGAAACCCGGGCACCCCTGCACGCTTTGAGCATCCGAAGGTTTGCGTCGTGGATGCAGCAGATGCACGCAGCACAGACCCGGCAAAACGCCGAGATTGCCGCCGAGAAGGCCCGACCATCCAAAATCCGAACTTGTGGATTATCGCAAGGCAGTGTGGGAGAAATGGGGTGGGAGAGATCATAATCATATTTGATGTTGCAAGGTGGCTGGGGCCGCCTTGGACTTTCCGGAACCTCCCGGACCAAGCTGCACCCCAAAGCCAACAAAACATCGAAACCGATGTAAACTACATTACACTAGGACAATATGTGACCATAGGTGCTATGCTTGCTAGTGGTATCAAACGGAACAGGAGCAGTGGAACCGTCAGAAGCCGTGGAAGCCAAAGTACAGTCGCACTTGATGCAGGCCGAAGCTTCCCGTGGCTCAGAACCAACCAAAGATCCGGAACAGGCCTTGGGGTTGAGGGCTCAGTGGTGCAGGGTTTGGTATTTGAGCGTCGCGGTTGTCGGGGTTTGGGGCATGTGTGGGGATTCACAGTATAGGGGTTGACCGTTGAGGTATACCGAGGTGTGACGTTGTTGGCCGTTTCAAAACAAACATCTTGTTTGCCAATCTACATTACTGCACCTTTTACGTTTCGAGACAGTTTCGAGTACAAAAGACCCCATATAAGCCAAGAACTTTGAAGTCTTCACTTTAAAACATTGAAATGATGGGCAGAGCCGGTGCCAACCATTTGAGCCATCAGCATCTATCCGGAATGCTCCGAAGCCCTATTTGTACATGTCAGCCAACCACGATGCAGAGCTGAAAGAACCATGCGGAGCTCCTACTATAGGCCCCAACACAAGGACCCATGAAGAAGGAGACAACCCTCAATTTGACGACAAACCACCCCACCTTGTAGAGCCTGGGAGCGAAAGCTTCTCGTCACGCCTTCAAATCCAGGAAACATGATGTCCTGGAGTGGCACAAAGCCCAAACCGTCAAAGCTTTGCAAACCGATTGCAAACCTCTACAACCCAGCTTGATGTAATCTAGAAGGATGTGGGCCGCCTTGCCAACTTGTGTCAGCTCTCTCCATGTTCTGACAGAGTGATGCTTCGGAAACCCACGATGAGCATCGGGGGTTGTTCCAGCTCATCCTCCTTTGTGACAAGGACTGCGTCGCAACTGTAGGAAAACACGCCGGGAAGGGAACACTGATACTTCATCGAGCCCAGATCCCCGAACTTCTACATCAACTTCCAAGCCTTAAACCCTGAATCCTAAACGCTGAAACCTACCCTAAACCCAAGACTAAGTTCGGTGATGCTAGGTGTCGGTTCCGGCCACAGAACCGCAGCCTGTGGAGGTGGTGCTTTGGGGCGGAAGCGAAGCTTCAGGGCGTTAAGATTTCGGGTCGCGTTTCGAGTTCAGGGCTGACGGGCTTAGGAGGTTTCTTCGTTTTGGTTGTCATGAGGCTTTGTAGGACAAGGTCGACTCAGTGGGATTCATGGGGTAGGACTAGAAGCAACGCGTTGTTACGTGTATCTACATAGAGTCCCAATTGTTTTGCCTTGCTCACCAATGGCCGCATTCCCAAGTATATGGGAGCTAGCCCCAAGTGGGATCTAGGGGTCTTCGCGTTTCGGTTCGATTCAGGACTTTGGTTTCGCGAGCTAGAGTTCGAGGTTTACGATTTTGGGGACGAGTTGTAGAGAGAAATGATATTCATCGTTGTAGTGACAGCAGTCGTTGTGAGGTGGTGCTGGTGGTGCTGGTGGAGGTGTGGGTAGTGGCGGTGGTGGTGGCGGTGGTGGTGGTGGTGGTAATGGTCGTAGCAGCAGTAGGTGGTCACGGGGTAAGGTAACAGTACTTGTAGTAGTTGCAGTACAATTAATACTTAGCGGCTGTCGCAGTCCGCTAGAAGTAGACAGTACAAGGGCAGACATACAGATAGTGATGTTGGTGATGGTGATATGCTACGAGCATACAGACTGAAAATCAACAGCAGCCATGACTACTTCTGTAAAAGCTGACGCGTTCCTCACAGTCATGAAGGCTTCGGTGGAGCAATGCGCGGATGATCCACAGCTGCTTCTCGCCCGCAAAACCGCGGAAACTATGAAGGGCACGATTTCGGGTGTGCGCATTTGGCTCTTAGACCCTGAACCTGCAACCCGGCTCGGGATCCAAGGTTCCCAAACCCCAAAACGCTCAATCCCCACACCTGCACGAATTTCTTGCATCCAGAATCTGACGAGAATCTCGTCGAAGCTGCTAGCGAAGATTTGGCGACCACGTAAACGATGCTTTGTGGGTCTTGCATGAGGCCTGTTTGGGTCAATTCATGGCCGAGGAGTAGCAGTGAAGGAGCCGATGTGTCGTGAAAAACGCAATGAAACACCCAGTCACTGGCCCGGTTGTTGTATGGAAACTGGGGGTAGGTTCCCAGTTTGTTGACATGCAGGAAGCATCAACCTCATCCCGCCTCGAGTCCTGGACGTGGGTGGCAGTTTTGAGTGCATTAAGCCCCTCATGTGCAGAGTTCCGTTCCAGACGGAGAAGAAATGAATGACGCCGTGTTCGTTTCGGCAGTTGTAGCTTCCTATCCGTGGAACTGACTTATTCTTAGTCTATTGGCACAGTTTTGCCTGTTTTTGCCTTCCAGTCCTCACGTCACCTTAAAGCAACCAAGACCAACAGCGCTTTGGGTTTGTTCTTGGAGTTTGTTGCTCGTTCTGTCATGTGTTACAGATCCAGTTCGTCTTCAGTGGCATGCTGCAAGCCCGAAGGCTGGATCCCCAACATGCGAAGCACCACAATGGTAGGCATCCGGAACCCCCCATACCAAATCGCAATGTCTCCTTGAAGCTGCGGCCCCAAGGCACCCCAAACCCTAAACCCTTAAACTCTAAACTCCTCGCACAACGCCGATTGCCGCCTAGGCTACCTGATGATTTCGAGCGGACGATTCTCGGTAATGATCTTGGCCACAGACAGCGTGAAGTAGTTAATTCCATTCTATGAGGGGTTGCTACAAGGCGCATTATTCGGGTCGGGGCTGACGCTGTTGCAATTGCTAATATCCTTCCTTTGAACTCCTTCGTACAACTATGTTGCAAATGCCTAAAACTCTATTCGAATCATTCGGACCCATATCACCCGGCAAAGTTTGGGAAGGGTGCATGCAGTTGGTTTAGATTTGCAGGCAACTGCAGCTTCGGTTTAGAGCGTAAACCTGCAACCCTTATATGGCTAGCACTTTGGGGGAGCCTCAAATTTTGAGATAGATTCCTAGATCCCAGACTCCAGAACACCACCCCTCTGATTAACTTGGGTAGGCTTTCAGGAAAGCCCTTAAAGCCTACGTTGAGGGGCTAGGTCGGCCCCGGTGTTGTGCGTCAGGAAGCAGCTGCTCGCAGAAGAACTGCTGCTTGGCAAACTTCGACAGAAAAGAGCTTACATTGTTGTTGAGTGTTCCTAGGTTTGCATTGTCTGCTCAAAACACTGCATGTGCCCAACGTGCAAGTTCGACTTAGCCTCAACCCCCCTCGACCCTGGAGACCTCAACTCACTGTTCCTTCAGGTCGTGCGTGCCTGAACTCTGCATCATGTTGAGGGTTAATGGCACGGTGAGCAGACTTAATTCGGCCTGTTGGCTCGGCCGAAGACAGCACATCGCGATCATCCCCATCGTCATCATCCGCACAGTTATCTTCTTCATTGCAAACATGGTGGACATGTCTGAGACAGCCCAGGGAGCTGGCAGTCTTGGCGGCGAAGGCTAAGGAGGCAGGTTGTTCTTCGTGAAGCTCTCGGAATCGGGTTTAGGGTTTTGTGTCTAGAGTCTAAAGGGCTTTCAGCTTAGATGAGAAGGCCCTTCTGGTCTTTGGGAAGCTGAAACCCATGCCTGTCTCTGTGTATCTTTCGAAAGGGACCAGCCGAGGCCTGGTTCATGTTGAGGTTTCCCGGTCCCGGCAATGCACTGCAACCGATTGTCTTGCAAGCTTCTGTTCGACTGAGAATGTCTGTTGTTCTGATTCTTCTGATGACCTGGCTGATGTTGCGCTGTTGGGGAGCTAATGTGGTCGCTGAGTCTGAGGGGGTTGCGGATGAGTAGAGCGGGGGGGCCTCCCGTCAAACCCCAGCTCGAAAAATGACTGATCAAAGGCAGCGATTTTTGGGCTTTCGGGATTTGGTGCGTTATGGCTTCAGAGATTGTGTGTAGTCTAGGGAACAGAAGATCCCGGAGCAAAGCCTAGTGGTTGGTGGTGTGGCTTGGCCGGAACAGTCTTCAATGTCATTACAGATCCAAAGGCTCCCGAGTCCCTCCGCACACGAAACGAAACCCTAACTTACAGCCCGATGGTGTCTCCCTACACCCTCCAACCCCAGGAACCCAGCCCCGAACCGTAAACCCCAGTGCCCTAATCGCATTTCAAAAGCCTATGGTACTGTGGAGAGGATCCAAGACAGGAAGGACCAGGAAGGAGTTTCACAAAAAACATCCCGAACTTGCCAGGCAGAGCAGCTTTCGCGGGGTCAGGAGGTCACCAAGGCACAGGTCTCAGCTGCACGGCTCTAGTACTTGATGTTGAGACATTTTCCCGGCTTGGGGTTTCTGAAAACACGCGAAAACGGCAGCTCTCCCATCAAGATTTTCAGTGCGAGGATTGGCAGGACTGATACGAATAATCATCCTCCGGCTGCTTCTCTCTATTTCTCTCCTCATATCTGCTTTCTTATTGTGATGATCATGTAGCTGGGGGCTCAACTCTGAAGCGCTTCACTAACCTACTAGTTTCGGTGAAAGCCATTTGGGTGTGTAAGGTTGGTTTTAAAGAATGAGGCTTTGCGACCCAGAGCTTGCCTACCGGCTTGATCCGACTGAAGCCTGAAAAGACACCAAAGCAGCAAGCAACTCAGCGCCAGAAGCGAATGTTTTGGTCAGATGAGGATGATGATACAGAAGCCAGCCGCAGCCGCAGCCGAAGTGCGAAAGCCAGCAGGAGCCAGGACTCTGTGCCTCTCGGCCGTCATGTGAGGTTTCTCCACTGCCGGCAGTTTAGGAACTCTAGCCCGTCGTCTAAACTCCATATAAGCCCGTGGCATTCAGCCATGAACTTGCAGGTGCAAAGCCCCGACGACGCGAATCCAAAGCTTTCAAGTCAGGGGTTATGGGCTTGCTGGTGTGAGCTTTGGGGCTTTGGGGCTTGATTCGTTGGAGGGAAAACTAGGCTTCAAGGTCTCTGGCTCTTAACGCTCAAAGGTTCAATGAGAGATTGGCCCAAGAGCCGAAACCGGCCGAATCCACGCTGGTAAGAAAGCCTTTGACGCCCGAAGTGTCACAATCTTCCAAGATTTCCAGGTTTAGAGTCCTGTAGAAGCCCAAACTGCGTAGCGATGTATCCCGAACCCCACCGGCGAGCCGACATTTCATGAGCTTCTCCCCAAGCCAAAACGCTTGGCTTTGTCGAGGCCTGAACGTCAACAGAAGATCCCGATGAAGGCCAGGACCTATGGTTTAGGACATACCTGGCAGATGGTAGCAGCACCGATTCAGGCTTCGGCACACTTAGCTTTACTCAGCTCCTGAGCTTGCATGCTCGCATCCAAACCCTAAGCCTAAGCTCCCAAGTCGCAAAAGTGCCGAGCCCCTGAGTTCCAAGCAGCACATGCCTTAACCCGATCTCTAAATCCAAAGCTCCGAACCCAGACTCCTACCACTCTAAAGCTCAACCCCCAATCCAATGCAGTCCCACGTACGCCCCCAGTCCCGAATCCATCAAGTTTAAAGAGAGGCGGTTTGGAATTGGGATTCTAGGCTTCGGGGCCCGCAACTTAAGGGCAGGATTCTTGGTCGAGGTCAGGTTGTTTAGGGTCTGGCCGGGCGGTTGTAGGGTAGCTTGGGCTCTCAACGTGGGGGAGGGTTTCGGACGCGTTTGAAGGTCTAGCAGCTTAGCATTCGGGCATTCGCGGGGTTCAAAATGCAGAACTTTGTGTAGTAAGACGTTTTTCGAACACTGTTTCAGCCGTGTCTTATTTTGTTCTATCATTTTTGGAATTTCCCAACACCGCGAACATTGAAACCCAGCCAAAGCCTTACATCCCCTAGACCCTAAGCCGTAAATCAATAACATTCAAAACCTAAGAATTGAAAGGACTTGCTTATGGACAAGCCTGCATTGCCTTGACATCAGCAGGGCTCGACCACAAGCAGTGGACCTGTTTTCTGGAGGCGGAAAACCTTGAAACCCATCAGACGAGCACCCAGAAAGCCTGTGCACCAGTCTGCAGTCCGCGAAAAGTCCGCCGGAGTCACCGACCTCTGATCCCTCGACGAAGGGACAAACAGATCAGAATAGAGTATTGAGTTTGTGTCACTTAGGGATGAAGTCACCATTGAATCAAGCTTTCCAGCCGGAAGAAAGCCAGAAGCAGAGTCAGTCAGAGCTCGTGAATGCCACGGTGCAACCTGCCAGAGCACCACAGACATCTGCAGTCGACCAGAACGTGCCTGCGCTCCATACTCTATATAGGACTCTAGCCTTTAAGACTCAAGACCCTGAGTGGAGGCATTCCGTAAGCTCTGAACTTAGGTCTCGAACTGCACCAATGCCTGAAATCCGAAATCGGATCCCCTAAAGCCCTACACCCTCAAGTGTTACCCGAGGACCTGAAGACAGTCAGAGAGATTGCGAGGCCCTCCTCATGGGGTTTTGGTTGGGACCAACAGAGCTCCCGACCTCTGCCCAGCCCTAAGGTAGCTTCCAACCCTACATCCTACTTCCCCAAAACCTGAAAGCCCGAACGGTCACCGCCGGGAGGTGCGTAGAAGCTCCTCAGAGAGTCGGTCTCGCAGCCGCTCGCGGAAGCCGAAGGCTTCCGGGGTTTGGGTTTAAAGCTGCAGGGCTGTGGGCTTTGGGGTCTAGGAGCACGGCAAGAAAGAGGAGCTTGAAGGGTGAAAGTGCATCAAGAGATGGAGGTGCATAAAGATCTACATCCTACGATCATGCTCCGTGAACCCCAGATCGAAGCCCCAAAGCAAGAAAGCCCTACTCAATTCTGACCCGAAACTTAAGATGTTTCCTTGTCCTTTCCATCGTAACAACTTTCGAGCGGAGCGTGCGACGCCAGTACATGTATTCCAACACATACTGTCCGCAGCACATGAGAGGTGGTACTTCTGCAGTGTCCATTCGGAGTCTCGGGTTGTCTTGATGGGTTTGAGCTTCGACCTAAAGTGTAGGAGTCGGAGATTCACGGGGTGTAGAGAGGGCCTGGGAGCTCCTTAAAATCCCGACGTTGGTAGCTTCGAAACCATTGAAACAGCCTTTCAGGCACGGTCCAAAAGCCGGCGGAGGCATTCGCAGGACCCAGAAGCCTCCTGCGTTCAGATGTGGTTTGAGCCTTCTGAGGTTTTGCGGAAGGCTTTGGGGTTTCAGGGTACTCGCGCTGTTCAGGTTCCGACATGTGCGCTCGCCTGTGTGACGATAATGATGTGAACCATGATCACACAGACAAGCAACAAGTGTCTTGTGCATTGCAGCAGCATAAAGCATAAAGGGAAACATATCCTTGAAGAGGATGGTTCTTGCTTCTCGGAGCCGCGAAGCAGAAGCCACACCATGTCAAATGCAGTCCGCGGTTTATCGTACTCATCGTGGTTCCTTTGGGTTCAGACCTTACGGTCTAGCGTGCAGGCTCTTCCACCGTTGAACCCAACTTGTAGCTGTGTCATATCTCCTTACCAGGAGTCAGAAGATTCCCGGGACAGGGACCGGCACCTCCACTTGGAAAGGGACGGGTCTCTTCCATGTTCGTCTCGCGTCTTGGGGTTTCGGGATTGAGGTGTTAGAGTCGTCCCAGTCGTCGAAGCAGCAGCAGGAGCAGGACACAGGAGGAGGAGTAGTGGCAGTAGTCGTCGTGGTCGTCGTAGCAGTAGCAAGCAGTAGCAGTAGCAGTAGCAGTAGCAGTAGCAGTAGCAGTAGCAGTAGCAATAGCAGCAGCAGCAGCAGTACCTTCTACAGCTGTATCGAAGACGACGATGACTACTGCAACTGCGCTTCTTCTTCTTCTACTACTACTACTACTACTACTACTACTACTACTACTTCTACTACTACTACTACTACTACTACTACTACTACTACTACTACTACTACTACTACGACTCCTACTCCTACACTACTGCCACAGGCGGAGGAGGAGGAAGTACTGCAGCTGTCGTCATCGTCATCGTCGTCGTGACGGTCACAGAGTCTGTAGTGGCCCATTCGTTGTGTAGGACGCAACAACGGGTCGACTGCTACTGATACGATGATGTTCGTAATGATGACGATGATGATGATCATGATGACGACTACGATGATGATGATGGTGTGTAAAGTTTACGAGTTGAGGGCTGAAGACTTGCATGAACCTCACAGGGAAGCTACCCGTGGGTGCCCAAACTGCCTCGGCTTAGCTGCTGAGCCGCAGGCTCCAGAACATGAACATGAAGCCCACAAGCAAAGCAGACGTGAAAATTCCAAAGTCCTGGCCCCAAACACTGAATCCTGAAAGCAGAGGCACAAGTACCGGGACCGAGCCCGCTCCAGCCGGGACCGAGCTAATTGGCTTGCAAAGTCTCTAGGACTCTCAGGGTCGTGTAGGGTTGGGCTGGCGCCCTTCAAGGTGTCTCGCGATTTAAGCGTATATGCTCTGAGGGTTCATGGTTAAGGATTTGGAGGTCCTTCAATATGTCTTGAGGGTGATATGCTTCACGGGCCTGGGGTGGAGGCTTTAGGATTCAACTTTAGGATCCAGGGTGTAGCCTATCTAGGACACTTACATTTCAGGGCATGTACGGTCTGGTATGCAGGAGATCTGGGGCATTTACGACATAGGATTTGGAGTGTAGGCTTGAGGACGTGGTGTGGACGAGCTTAGAATCTCCAACTCATCCAGGACATTGAGGGCATTTAGCACTGCAGCTCTGGGACTGACTGAGGGTTAGGGCAAGGGTGCATCTCAGGTATGTTGGGGTTTATCTGGATTTTGTCTAGGGGTCTAGGGCGTTTAGGTCATGTAGAACTTCGGGGTAGGATTGAAAACAGGGCAAAAGAAGTATGGCTGGCTGGCCACTCGCGTGCGTAAAGATAGGCCCAGACCTAGTCGCCGCGACAGTGCGATGCACAGGTCAAGAATCGCTATGTAGCGCAATCCGGTATCCATCAAACAGCAGATGCTGAACAAGCTGAAAATAGTGCTTTGCCGGATGGCGACGCATTCTATCGACGGCGACGACAATCTCAAAGAAGATTCGAGGTGCAGCAGGTCGCGCACCGACGCCACTTCGAGCATCATTGCCAGCTGACCCCTGACGACCTAGCGCCGTGTGTAACTTCAACGCTCCGTCCAACTACCTCGGCTTTTTTTGAGCTGCCGGACGGTTTCGTTTGTCACAGAACACGTGTAATCCGGTGTACTTCGCACGGACTGCGCAGGGGCCTTTACAGATTCTCGCCTCGCGATGCCTTCACTGGAGGATCGTGCACTGGTTTCTCGTTTTCCCATCTTCCTCGCAAGTGGGTAGCGTGTACGACGTGTGCACTACAAAGGGACCTGTCCTCGAGACGGGTGGGTCATGTTCGCCACAGGATTCCGTGGAAGTGTCTCTTCAAACAAAATGCGCAAAAAGTGTGAGTTGCTTTGGTGGGCTTCCTTACACGTGTGCTCCCCGCACACACATTTAGATCCTGATTCGCCGTGAAGGCCTACCTGATGCTGATGTTCGCTGTAAAGTCATTTTGCATGGAACAAAAAACATGGCACTTCAAGTCAAGCTCCGGAAGCTCTCTGAGCAACTTCTTTTTCGATATCCGGCATCTAAACGCCAAAGGCACGGCATCAGTAGAACTTGATGGCACCTTGCAGACGCATGAGGCGTCGTCATAATGTCAGTCAGACAGACCGCAAGAGCTTTTTGCAGAGACCGTGCGCAGCTACTCTATGACGGCATCAATCATAGTACCTGGATACGTTTTTGGAAACGGTGCAGTATCGTGGGTTCCTGTGGATAAAGAGCTTCACTAGTGTGAGTAGATCCGACAAGGCTTTTCTCTAACACCCGAGAACAAAAGCCCGAAAGAAAGCCTTACTTAGGATTGAAGGCGCCGAGCCATGAACAAAAGCATGGGCTTGTGACGTTGGAAGGCTTTTCCTGTACTGCAACTCTTAAGCAGGCGATCCCATATGGGTTTCTTCATTAGGGTATGCAACGACCCTGGCTTCCAACCCCAAGCCCTGAACTTCTAAATCCGACACACACACACACACACACACACACTCTAAAGCTGAACTCATAGGGGTCAGCTCAGGAGAAGTCTCGGGAGCGAGAACGACAAAGGGACAGGGGTCGCGATCGCGACTCCCGGGAAAGGAGGCTGGGGTTCGGACTTCTGGTCGCCTAGGATTTGCGGCTAAGTTTGAGGGCGCAGCATCTACTCTAGCTTCAAGGTCAACATCAGAGTCAGACCCGCTAGTCGTTCCATCAGGTTAGCACCCGAAGACCTTAAGCCCCAATCCCAACATCCTGTCCTAAACCACCTTCCTTCGGCTTTGAGAGTGGCCCCCGTGTTGAGCCCTGAAGCACCCCGAGCGCACGCTGAATGAGAAAAGCTTGTCTTACCAGGAGAGAGAAGGACCGTGAGAAGGACCGGGACACCCGGCCGCCTTCGGATTACACTGTTCTGAGTTTAAAGCTTTCAATGCTGGACCTTGTAGAGTTGAACGAAGGTCTTTCACAGACTGCCGAGTTGCACAGGACTTGGAAGACTTGAGGTGGTTTCCATAGGATGACAATGGCAGATTCCATAGATAGCTCTCAGCCTCTAAGCCCTTTCTCCAAGGAATACCGGCGCTTGAAGCTGGTCTAGTTCATGGATGGTTTCTAAATCAATGTGTATATTGTATACAGCGCTTTGTCGACTTCATCGGTGCGTTTCCAACCATCCGCCGATTGCCATTATGAATCATGTTCTTAGCATTTTTGGACACCGTTTCGGCAACACTAGCAGCTAGCAACAGCCAAGGACAGAAATCGTGACAGGGACCGCGAGCGAGACCGGGAACGAGAACGAGAGCGCGAACGCGAACGAGAGCGCCAGCGTGAACGAGACCGTGAACGAGACCGGCGAGATCGGGAAAGCCGCGGGGCTTCGACAATTCCCAAAGAGTTCAAAGCCCTTCAACATACTGGCTAGCACTTTCGGGTTTCCTTATTTCAAGGCTCAGGAATCGGCCCTGTCGCCCAAAGCACCGCTACAGCTTTTTACCGAAATCGAGCTCCGCAGCTCAAAACTTCTGGCTCTAAGCCCGTGAACCTTGACCAGGCCCGCAAAATACCTTGCTCTCACAGCTTGCAACCAGAACCTGAAGCCCAGAGCCCAGCGCTTGAAAGCCAAGCCCTCGTCGGCTGACCCTCGCGGAACCCACAGCACTGCATACTCCATGCTGAACCTTCGTCGGCATACCCAGGGCAGGACCGCGATCGCTCAGAGGCTTCCAAGAAGCCCCGGCCCCGCGGAGAGCGCTCGCGAGAAAGATCCCGGGAGCGAAGGGCGGCGGCTGGGCTTTCGTTAACCTCCAAAAGGAAGCCGAAGGGAGGTTTCTGAAAGACTTCAGGGTTTGGTTTGTTCTGTTTGGTTTAGGCGTAGGGTTTGGAAACTTAAGGATTAGGGGTTTCATTGTGCGTAAGTTGATGGGTTTTGGGCTTCGGAGGCGGGGTTTAGGTGAGTTTTAGTGTATAACATTTTAGGGATCTTGGCCTTCCGGCTTGTATCACAGTTTTCGTGGCATGTATGTGTTTGTAGGGGTTGTAATTATGGGCGTTTGTTGTGGCTGAAAGTTTTCAGGAGTCTAGAGGCTTTGCTTGTAGTTTTCGTACGGGATTGGGTTTAGGCGTTAGGTTCTAGGCATGAGGGTTTAGGTGTTGGGCTTGGGTCTTGCTTGCTTCAGAGCTTTGAGGGTTGACTCAGGAACCTGCGACTTTCAGCTCCGTGCTGTAAGGGTGCAGGGTTCTGGAGCTTCAAGATGTGGTCAACATCCTGGACCCTCTACCCTAGACCTTCGAACAAACCAACCTGTCTCGGAAACTTCCTGGCCCAAGACGCCCAAGACCCCACGGCTCAACCCCATCCCACGCTTGCCCGAGGAGACATCCTTTTCTGACACAGGTCCTTGGTGCCGTGCCCGCAAGTTGCCAGGGTCTTGGGTTTGGGGAGTTCTGGAAGACTTCCAGGATCTTGGAAGGGTGGAGCTCGGGTATGTCAGCCTATCCCTTCAGGCACTTTCCTGTAAATTTCCCTGTATCGCGCTTAGGCTTAGTCAGGCCGCTGTATGTGAGTGCTTGGAAGTTGGTTGGTGGTTTCGCGTTTCTGGCCAAAAGCCCAAGGCTCTTCAGGCGCTTGATGGTTTATGGTTTTGGATCCGGATCTTGTTACGCAGTCCGGTCTACGGCCTACATGGATGCCCTGAACCGTTTGCAAGCCCCAAAGCATTCGACAGCAGGGCGAAAATTTCCTGGAACAGCCCGCAAACTCCAAAGCCCTACGCAGACCGAAGGAAGCCACCGGCTCTGCAGACACCTCCCTCCACGACCTCCTTCTCGTCTTCGGCTCCAGTGCCTCAGGTGGACGCCAAGGCGAGGAATTGTGGTTTTGATTTAGGGCCTTTAGGGTTTGGTGGTGGCGAGTACGGCGACTATACAGCGACCATAGCTAGAAGTGCCCCTACTCGTGCTACTAATCACAGTTACTCGGATGACGTTAGTCGGTGCAGCATTTACATGTGTTCTTCTGCCAAACGCCGAAGGGTTATCCATAGGCCCAGTAAGTTCCTGGATTCGGCCTTACATGTAGCCCGCTAATGATGCTTGCTTTGCTTACTGGGGAATTGGACGTGTGCCCTGGCCAGCCAGAGATTCCTGTGCTCGAAACCCAAGGATCCAGCTCCAAAGCCTCTCCAAAGAATCAGTCCGGGAGGCGTCTCTATAAACTTTTCGAAGCCCCTTAGCCACGCTCGGGTGACTGCCGCTGTTTAGGCCCCCAGGCTCAGGGATCTGCAAGTTCCACGCCGAACCTTGCCGCGTTCGGTTGCCTAAACCTCTGAATCCCAAAACCTGCACTTTACACAGCCTCCAAACCGGGAGCCAACAGAGCTCAGCAAGCAACCGTGATTCAAGGACTTTGTACTAAGATGTGTTGAACAGGACAAGGCGTCTATCGGTTCTCGCTTTATTAGGATCTTTTTGGGGATCTCCAGTGGTCATCACTGCTTAGAGAATTTGTTGCTTTGCCTAAAGAAATGGTCAAAGCACGGGATTTCTAGGGTGTAGGGTTTCGGGTTTCGGGTGAGGATCTTCGGGTTCAGCTGTGTGCAGGACCCTGGAAGGCGATCCCTGTGCATGTTCATCCTCGGTGTCGAGGTTGCTTTGGGTCGAAGCTTGTAGTCTCGGTAACTTACGGGTGTGGGTTTCGAAAGGCGCGTGAATCTGAAGCAACCCTTCAAGCCTTCAGCCCTCAGCTGAGTTGTCGTCAAAGCCTCAAACGTAAAGTGTCAACGCCGAAAACATCCGGATTCGCAAACCCTGCATCGTAAGAGCTCAAGAATCGTTGAGATCCAACATAGTAGAGAAAGCAGCGTGTGCCCTGAGGATGCAGCCCAACCCAAGGCCGCGACCCTTCAACAGCCCTTTGGCAGGGTATTGAAGTTCAGTTTTGCAGCCCTAGGGTTTAGGGGTTCCTCTTTTCGTGAAGGCTGAAGGCTTGAAAGGTGGCCAAAGGAGCTGTGAGGAATTCTTTATTCGATTCTCACGGCTGTACAACTTGTGTTTGGCTCGTCAAATCCATGTACAGAAGGTGCAGGAATTAAGAGTGAGAGGCAACGAATTATCAGGATTTTGACGTGGGTTTTGATTCTACGCATGCCGTCTCGAGGTTGGTATCAGGATGGTGCAGGGATGCGGCTGGACATCTTCCAAGGAACATTTCAAGCCACAGACGTTGTGGATGATTTTCAGGGGCGTCACTGAGTGTTCACGACGTGCGCACAGGATGTAAGCTTCTTTGCACTGGGAACATGATATTATGCAGATGTTTCGATTGCCCGGACCCCAAATCCAGAAACCTTCGCAAAAAGGGCTGAGAATCCCAAACTTTAGACTGGTATGATCCTTTAGCCCCTAAGCGCTTAACCCTAAGGCCATACAGCTGCAGGATCTAGGCTTCCCTCAAGCATGCAACGGCCAAATCAGTAATCACCGGAGGGCTTCAGTTAAAGGCTCAATCTTTTGCGTTTGGGGGTTAGGATCTCAGGTTTGCGTTGTAGGCGTTTGGTCTTAGGGTGTTTATGATTCGAGGTTTCAGAACTCGGCATGAAGGCACGAGGTTGAGGTCAGATTGTTTGCATCAGCCTTGTATTGTTAATAGTTCAGGATGAAGCTGTGTGGTTCTTGGTCTGCAGCTCAGTCCTGAGGCTCATGCATGCAGCTCCTGCGCTCCTTGGTCGCACTGGAATTGAGGACTCAGGCTCCGACCTCTAGTGCAAATCTCGAAGTGTGAAAAACCTTCCATTCGAAACCCCTACCCGTACAGTATCATGTCGACCTTGTTCGTACGCTGGTCATGGGACGCCTACTCCCTAAGTTGAACATTGGAACACACGAAAGAAGCCTGAGAGAAGGAAATCCTTCTCAGGATTTGTGATTCAGTCTAGCATCTAGGATTCACCACGTTAAAACGGTGGGCCTGGAGTTTAGGATTTTGTTGGATTAGGGTCTCTTATGCTGATTGAGTTCCGAACATAGGCTTGCCATCACTCTTCTGTCGCCGCCGCACCCAACATTAGGAGTACCAGTGCTAGCTACCAGCCCCCTCTATGACCCAATAAGCTTCGAGACCATGTAGCCTGGTAAAGGCAAGATTGCAGCTCTAAAGTCTAACCAGAACATTCCACAACCTGTCCAACTTGGTGGCAGAGAAAGAGGTAGCATCTTGAAGCCCAGATTCTCAAGAGAATGTGGAAGCAAGAACCTGAGGAGATTATGCAGCAACAAGCTGAGCCAGATCGGCTCAACACAAGAAATCCTGCAACCAATTTTGAGAGTAGTACCCTATCCGACAGGCAAACCCTGTCACAGGAAAATTATCCACAACAGGTGGCACTGCAAGCCCACACGCGCAACTCCAACTTTGAACCTCAAGCGCCAGCAGCCACAGGCCGGCTCTTCCAAAGCAGATGCCTCACCAGGAGAGGGCTGCCCGTCGCTTGAAGATAGCTTATGCAGGGACTGACAGCCGCTTACAGTCCAGGTTCTCCGGTCCGTTTTTTGCAGGCCTAGGCGCAGAGTCCTGGTAGGCCCGAATCTCCAAACCCCAAATCACTGGCACCGTTGAACTGTGAATCGCAGCTCTCAAGGCGGGACCCTAAAACCTGCCAGATCTAAACGACACCAAAGCCACAGTAGGATTGAAACTCCAGGTCCCCAAATCCTGCAGCCAGAGCTGGCTCTTGACATGAGGATGCAGGGGGGTTGCTAAATGCACCCCAGCGGATGCACGAGAAAACTGCACAATACCTTGCCCAGCCCAAGAAAGCCTAAAATCCTAGTTGCAATCCGAAGCCCGGAATCATGTTAACCGCGGTCCCTTTGCGCCTTACACAAAGTCGCCAACACGTCGACCGGACACTAGACTTTCGCGCACGGTCACATGTATTTCCGAGCAAAGAGCATTTCGGCGTTGGCTTTGACACTTTCTCGATTTTCTGCAAGGTTTCCGAAACAACCGAAGTGTGAGTTCTGGTCTGCGGTTTGGCTTACGGGTTGCTTTGATTCAAGGTTTGCCGCCTTAAGCCCCAAACTCTCATTGAGGGTTGAGGGCATAAGTTCCTGAAGCTTGATTCCTGGGCCGATTGACGGCTCAGGCTTTAGAGCTTCGGGTTCGGGATTTGGGGTGACGGCTTCAAGGCTCATCAACCTTGGAACTGGTATCCAGGGATAGACCGAAGCCTAAGGGCCTAAACCTCAAAGGGTTGAAGGTTCGCTTCGTGATTTTCTGCACACCGTCACAGCTCTCCAGGATTTGCCGCAGCAGTTTCAGACGACGGGCCACTGGTCCCGAGCCCAGGACCCCAGCGTTCAATCCTTCAGGTCAGGGAAGGGTTGAGTAGCTCAAACCATACACCGCTAACGACGCCGTCGAGGCAGTGGGTTCACTGGCGTACGGCCGAGTGGGGCTTGGGAGTTCACGAAATCAGAGTCTGGAGGTTCAGATTTTCGCACACATAGTTCGAGTCTCTCCCAGAGAGAGGTCGCACTGGAAGCGGCAACGGTGGGTTTAGATTTGAAGTGTTTGGAGGTGCGGAATGCAAGTGTTTGAATAGATTCTGTGGAGCCGTGAAACTCAACATGTACCACAAAACCCGCACTAATGGATAAGTTAGAAGCCGTCCTGCACTCCTGAACAAAGGGACCGGTTCTGCCCTTGAAAGGACGGGGAGCACGAAGCTTCGATGCAGTTCAAGCCGCAAACAGCGGCCGTGGGCTGGCAACAAAGCTCAGAGGCAGGTTCATCACTCCAAACTTAATCCGAAACCCTCGCAAACCAAAAGGAAACCCTGATCCTTTAGCCCTAGACCCGAACCCACCTAGGCGCGTGTTGGAGAGCACCTGCATGATGGGGTGTGGTGCAGGGCAGAATGAAATCCGACTCTCTGAGACCTAGCCCCTGCCCTATGCCCAAGCCTCCAAATCCCAAACCCAAAGCGCGTGTTGAAGTCTGCCGCGTTGGGGCGCATGACCTTGTGACCTTTTGCTTTTCATGAGTAGACATAGAGCAGGGTTGCAAGAGATGACCTTACGCTCTAAAGACTCGAGCGAAACGAGCACGGGGTCGATCTTGCATCAAAAGCCAGAGGCTTCCTGCCGACTTCAGACCGAGAATCTAACTAATGATTGGTGATGATGATTCTCATTCTTGCTGGTATCGCTAATCGTGACATTGTCGCTTGCATGAGCCAACTAAGCGTCGTGGTATCACGACATGGTTACAGGGAAGACAAGCAGTATCAGGACCAGCAAGACTTGAATGGTCAAGAGTAGTGCTCATACTTGCCTTCACGCAAGCAGTCTGTGATAACAAGACTGTTCTATAAACTATCAACCGCCTTCAATCCAGAACCGTAAACGCTCAACCCTGAAAGCCCCAAAACCCGTGTCAGGCTCCGCCGCAGGCTTCAGGTCCTTCTACAGTGGCTGCCAGGGCGGCATTCCAGGAGCTATCTTATGATTTGTAGGGGGTCTCCTGGTTTAGGATGGGTGTAAGGGCTAGATCTTATCACAGAGCTTCAGCGTTTGCAAGGATGAAATTTGAAAGTTGTTGTCGTGCTGCCTTTATTATTCTGTCGTGTTGAGGCGATGTGTGAGTTTCAGATGAACCGACTGCACAATTTCTGGGCAAATGTAAACCAGAAGATGGTAAATAGTTATCATGTAGCTAGTGTGGTAAGGTAGCAACACAAGATGTACGGCTCGCACATCTTACTTACGATTGAATTTCCCAAATCATTGACGAAGCAACTTTTGTGTTGACTTTGTAGGTAACTCAGCAAAATGAGAACATACAAGTGTTTCTACACACGCAGCTCACGTCAGTCCCAGTCCCAGGATACCTGGGAGTCGAGCTCTGCCTGGAAAGACAGCTCCCAGGCCGGCATGAGGATGAGGGGGAGGATCATCGACGAAGCCGTGTTCCAGAAGTCTGAAATCTGGGGGTTAGAGTCCGAGCATCAAGGATCCTGCTGCATCAGCGGGGCAACGCCTGCACCCGCACTTTCGAAGTCGATCTGAGGCCGAACCACGACTGCTCGAACAGCAGTTGTAGCAAGAAGGCAACATCGCATCATCTTTGTCACAGGAGTGGTATGCGGGCCTTTGTACCCCACGTCATTTCACACAGTGTGGGCCGCGTTGCATTGCATTGCTTTGCACCGTCGATCGTACCGCCTTCCAGGTCCATTGGCTTTGTTGCACGGGCGAGTTCTGAGCCCTCAGCCGGCATCGTCCACATACCGAAACGACCGACAACAGACTCGAACCCTTTCGGCCCCGAGTTAGATGCTGATTTCTACATCCGACCCCTCCCCCAACGCTGCTAAAAAAGAAATCACTAGACTATGAACCCCAAGCAATCTGAACAAAAGCCCAAATTTAATTGCTCAACCTTGAATCAACAGAAAACTGAATCCAATCTGATAGGAAAGTTGGGGCCAGAAGGGATCTGCAGCTTGGAAGGACCAGCTGGGTCTTGCTCTTGCCTGTTCAGGGTTCACGGTTTTAGTCTTTGGGATTGTATGGTTTGGGTCTCGTGTTCGGGTTTCCATGTCTGGAGCCGTTTTGATGGTGTGGAAGGTCCAGGGCTCAGGCGTTGAGCGGCAACGTTCTTGCGCGATTCGAGCTTCAGGAAGGGTCTAAGTCTAAGTTTGTACGACTCTTTCTTCCACGCTGGAATCGCACAGGTCTGGGACATTCGAGGCTTCAGCTTTTAGAGTTCAGGGTGCCCTGGAATCTTGGAGTCGTCAGACCTTGTCGGCCTTTTAAATTGTTCATGTTGTGGTTTTTGTAGCGTCGAAGATCTTGAAGCAACTGTAGCCAGAAGCACGACAACAAGGCTCTACAAGCAAGAGTCCAAAGGCCAAGACCTCTTCTGCACCGAAGTTTCGGTAAGTACATCCCCCAATGAAAAACAGCCAAAGCCCTGTACCAGGAGACCTGGGATGAGGCGGGTCCTTCTGCATGGAAGGACAGCTCTCAGGCGGGCATTGATTCGTTTGGCTTTTAGGTTGTGATTTTCACAGCCGCCGCTCTTTCCACCTGTACAGCAGCTGCTAGCATTGAGTTTTGCCACCGCGCTGTAGGCTCGAGGGGTGGAGATATTGTGATCTCTAGCTCTAACGGTTCAGCCTTCAACCTAAAACCCTGAACTGTAAAGCCTGAACTCCACACTTGGTTCCTCCAACTGCAAGTAGCCTGAAGCCGGGGCCCTGGGCACATGCAGAGCCTTCATCAGGGTGAAGGCTTGAGTTCGAGTTTGGGGCCTAACTGTGCGCTTGTCAGGAGACCTGGGACCAGGCGGGACCTTCTTCCTGGAACGATGGCTCGAAGGTAAGCTCTCCACTGTTGTCCTTTTTTGTGGGGAGCGCGACAGGGAGGTTTAGCCGGTAGGCCCATCCCCAAACCACTGCAAAATCGAAAGTCGACTGCGGCAAAGAGAAGCAAATCTGCTTGAGGGTCTCGCCACACATCTTGTGGAGTCGCACTATACTGCGCGGCTTGGGTTTTAAGTCTTGAGTCTTCCTCTCGTTTCCGGTGCTTCTTTCGTACTTGCTTTTGCTTTCATCACGTTCATTCCTCTTTAATTGGGAGCTCGGGGACTTGCTGTCTGGACGGTCTGACCTGGACATTGAGGTCGTCTTGAATCGGGAACTTCTGAGCGTTTGAGGCTCGCCTTGCCATCCTTGCCCCTGAGGCCCGAAGGCCCTCCACGAGTGCCCTACAACACAAACTAAACTCTCTAGAACCTACGGCTTATTCAGTGTAGAGGGGATATCTTCATGTCCACGGATTGTATCGCCATTACCTGCAACTTGCCAGGAGATGCCTCAGCAAGATGCTGCTCCTGCGTGCCCTTCTCAAGCCTGTTTGGGGCTTGCGTGGGCTAGCGCTCTCGGAACGTCTGTCAGGAGATTGAGGGATTGCAGGTTTTGGCTTCAGGGCTCAGGGCTTGGCTCGTAGTTTCTGCAGCTTTTCCATGAGGACTTGTTTCACACTACCCCAGATTATTGCCACGTGGCTATGTCTTCACAAAAGCAGTACGACTTTCCGCAGCATCATTGGGGTGATAAGTATTGCCAAGGCGCCCGAACTTTATCCAGGCCCCCCCGAAGTCCCAACACACCCTAAACTTCCCCCCTCTACCTCCGAACCCGAAGTCATACCATAGCCGCCGTAACCCCTCACTTGACGCAAACCCTAGCCTTAAGATGCCTCGAGCACCAAGTCCAGCTCTCCAAGGGCTGCCGTACCTCCCCGGTGGCCGCAGGGCACGCAGGCAGGTCCCTTCTCCACAGATGTTCTTCTTTAAGAGATTTGCGATTAGCACTTATCCAAAATACTACACTCCAAAACCCCAGCTGTTATAGACCGAGCCTGAGCATAAGTGATTTCTCTTGTAAAGATCTACATGCATTTCCATGCTTGTGAGCTTCTTGACCCTTTATGGATCAAGAAGCCCCAAACGCCCAAATCGTGCTCAAATCCCTGGATGCCAAAGATGGGAGCTCTCGCCGACCCTGCAGCCCCCAGGGTTGAAATTTCACCCGCCGCGATGTGTAGCCGAACCCCTACGCCTCAAACCCGCAAGCGCTGAATCCCTGGCCTGAGCAGAGCCCACAGCCTGAAATGCCAAAGCCCTTGAGCCCAAGCTCTTATACCCAAGGCTGCAGCCGAAAACCTTTCAACCCTGAGCCGTAAGTAAACCCCTTACCCGATATCCAAGGCTTAATCTGGATCATCCCCCAAGCACGGCAGCCTTCAAGCCCTGTGACCGTTGATGGCTGAAGCCCTCAAGCCCTAAGTCCAAAAAGCGTCCGCTGAGTTCGGCCAAAGCATGCGGCCACCCGAACCGAAGGCCTGTCGACTCTGCTGTTTTCTGAGGGCTTGCTTATCGAGTTCGGGGTCCAGGAATCAGAATCTAGAAGGCAATGAGGGTGGGGGTGTATTTTACTTTACATGTTTGGGTTCAGGCTGGACATGGACTACCACAGGCACGAAGCATTCCATACATCACCAGCAGTGGGTTGAATGTAAAAGAAACAGCCGTATCACAACGGCATCAATATCAACAGCAGCAAGGAAACAAGCACAACATCACCCCCAAGAGCAGTCCCTGCAAAATTCACCTCTGCAACCACCACCATCACTACCATCACTACCATCACCACCATCACCACAATCACCAGCATCACCAGCATCACCACCATCACCACCATCACCACCATCACCACCATCACCACCATCACCACCATCACCACCATCACCACCATCACCACAATCACCAGCATCACCAGCATCACCAGCATCACCACCATCACCACCATCACCACCATCACCACACCCGAAGAACCAACAGCAGCGCATGCATCTCTAAGAGACCCTTGAATCCTAGTATCTAGCGTAGTGTGAAGCGCTAAACCTCTACAGGCGCCGAAGCCTGAACCCTCTCAACTCCCAGTTGCCATCGCTGCCTCCTCTGAACTTGGCCTGTGCCTGAGCCCGTGGCTGTGGTGGCTTAGGGCTAAGGGCTCGGATTGTTGTGGCTTTGCTGTTTTGCTTGCGGCATACTGTTTCCGGTTGGGTTGGAGGTCTTAGGAATGTGTAGGCTTCACAACCTGTTTTCAGGCTCCCAAGTTGGGGTTCAGGTTCCACGCTGCTTTTGCCAGGATTCACGCCCCAAGCACTGAGTCATCAATTGTATGGCAATCGCTGAGAAAGTGATGGCCGAAGCTTTGTCTCGCCGGATGGCTTGCAACCTTCCTAGGTCGTTTGATGTCAATCATGTGTTGTAGAACCTAGTTATCGTTTCTTCGATTTCGAGCTTTGCACGTAGGAGTACCTGACCGTCGGACCACAGAGTGTGCTTCAATGTTCCGGCCTAGCCGTGGGGGTCGCTCGACTCTACACGTTCTTCCTTGGTGATAGAAACGATTCCTCGTCTCGCTGCGATTATCTTCAACTCTGGTGGCAGTGGTGGTGGTGCCAACAGTATCGGAAAGAGGTAAGAAGGTGAGGAGGCAGAGGAGCAGCAGCAGTAAGGTAGAGGTAGTAATGGCGATAGGAGTAGAAAGCCGTAGTCCGCAGAGATGCTTTGGCAGCAAGAACCACGACAGATGGACCATGCGTGCGAAAATTGCTTGAAAGCCCTGAGCCCTGAATCCAAAAAATTTGAGGGGTAGTCCTGAAACCGTTAACGCGAAGCCCCATACATGGACCCCAGAACCCTCGACCTACAGCCGAACACCAGGCTCCTGAGCTCGCATCAGCCTCCGCCAAGGACTCCTTGATTGGTTTGGCTGTTTCGCTCGTTTAGTTTTACTTTTGGCGTGTTGTCATAAGCCGAGGATTTCGGATGGAAAGTGTTAGTAGTGGTGAAGCCACGGCCACATGTAGATGTCCGGCGGAGAATATCAAAACGCTCACATTGCGGCAGGCTCCAGAATTTCATTGTGGTTTCGGGCTCCAGGGGTTCACGACTGAGGTATGTTTGGGTTTAGGAACTGTCGCGGCAGTAGATCACAACTGAAGGGTCTGCCGAGCGAGCTTCTGCAGGTTGAAGTTTAGACAGCAAGCTGATAGTGCAATACTTCGGTGGGGCAGTACTACAAGCATGCAGTGCGAAAAAAAAATACTTCCATTACCTAGTTGTAGAGTGCCGAAAAAAAAGCAGTCAAGTAATGTGCTGACACAAGATTATGGCAGTACAGTACATTGTGAAATTTTCATCACATAGAGCAGGATAGTAATACACTACTTTGACTTTGGTGTACTAACACGATAACGATGTGGCAATGCAATAATAATGATTTCGTGCAATCCCACACGAGTTTTCTTCACAAAGCAGTAGTATAATCATTTTCATATATGAGCACAATAAATTCTATTTTAATAGCTTTCAAGTGTGACACAATGACACAACGACCGAAAAAGAAAGTAACATTGCAACATACTGGTCTCGGAATGTAAGACTTTATTGCAGAAGCAGTTTATGTATATGAGGACAAAAGTCCAGAGTATAACATCGCCGTCATACTAAGTTCTGGATGCACTAAGTTTGTATTTAGCTGCGCCGTTATGGTAGCCTAATGACATACTGCTGTAAAGAAGAACTGCCAAGTTGTCGGAAGTCGAATCGATAACAGATACATATTCCACAAACGCGCGCACACACACACACACATACACCCACACCCACAACCATACACACACAGAGAGGTATATATTTATATATATATATAGATAGATAGATAGATAGTATACATACTAATATGCTGACAAAGGAGGGTTACAATGCGACATACAAGACTATATGGATGTTAATACCAGGGTATGATACTCCAATACCATACTCCTCAATACCAAAGACAATCGAAATAATGCAAGCGTTTGAAGTTTTGAAATTGGTCAATGCACCATCCGCCGGTGTATGATGAGTGTTTGCAATGAAACAATACATCTGTAATGCCGTTACCAGTTGCAGTAGAACAACACCGCATTAGAGCCACATAGCGATATCATAAGACATTATGGCAGCAACATCGTAATATAGTCGTATAGTAGCATATAGCAATGTCATATTACAGTAAGAGTGAAGAGCCACATGAGGACGCAATGCTAGCTGCTAGCTTTGGACGGACTCTGACTTTTAAAACTTGTGACCGCTTGCCACCTGAAGCTGGTTCATCTGCCTGCTCTGTTGCTGCGCACGTCCACACCGTGAAGTCTCACTGTAAAGTTCCAGTTTGCCAGAGATCCCTAAGTCTACGCAACAACCAGAACGATGCTACACCAGACCCGAGGTGTGCATGTAGCTTATTTCGACAGACCTTCGTGAAGCCTAAGCCGTGGCTACAGCTGTATGCTGGCGCAGGCACCGTCTCTGGTCCCACCACGTGTTGTGGCTCCGCCATCCCGGCCCCAGGCCGGGGTAGAGGATAATGAGGCAATGAGACTGATGAAAGCATGTGCTTAATGATGGGGGTGTTTGAAACCTTTTGAAGGTTGTTTAGACACTCTGCTTGCAGTGTCTTCTGTTGGGGATGCCTGTTTAGATTTAAGGTTCGGGTGTAAGGGTCTAGGCTTTCTGTTTCAGGGAGGGGGCGTCGTCTGGCTAGGAACACAAAGGAATTAGAAAGCACCTTTACGAAGACTGCCGAAGCACCGCTTATGGGATAAATACTCCCCAAAGCTTTTCATCGAGTGCAGCACACGTCAGGGATCGGTCGTCCCTGGCATGAGCAGACTACAACAGGCGTGGGCCGTCGAGCACTCTTGTGTGCCCTTGGGGCTTTCGGGTTTCCGGTCATTTTTGAAGTTTTGAGGTTGATGTGCTAGGACATTGGAGTGCGGTCAGAATCTGTAAAATGGCGCCAGCTGGGTGCGTGGTATGGAATAAAGATGCGTGGGACAGGGCAATAGCCCGCAAATCGTTAACGCGGGTGTCGTTGAGGCTCTGACGCTTGGAACATTCCTAATTGCCTCAATCTCAGACTCGGCACTTGCTGAGATGGAACAAAACCACCTTTGACAGTCCACCGGCCGAATAGCGACCCATATCTGCTCCTCAACTCAGAGTCAAGAGTTTAGTCTTTGTTCCACTGAAGACAAGAAGGCCAAAAGCATGTGAGATGGAAAGGCAAGCCGCCGTTTCGAAGCTTAGGTGATGTTGAGTTCTCTTGAGCTTGGGTGAGCCTCGAAAAGGAAACCTTGCGAAAGCAGATGAGGATTGTCCTGAGCTGGATCAGAGGACTTCTGAGCTGTAGTTCAGAGCGAGGGCTGAAAATAGGGTACTCGTAGGTTGTTTGTTGCCGTCCCCAAGAACAGCTTACCAAGTCCCGGGTTAGGAGTCTTTGATGCCGGCACACAGAGAGTCTGAGAATCACAAAGTGCCTTCGTGCAGCAGCGTCAGCAGCCTCGAAGAATGAGCGGAATCGAATCTCGCCGAATCCATTTTTCACAGCTCAACCCCGCAACCTTGCGACCTCACCCTGCAGGTTCCAGCAGCCTTCCAGCAGGAGGCCGGGAAGCTCTGCTAGCCTGGTTCTTCGGCGCTGGCTGATTCTTACGACCATCCTTTTCGGGTCTTGGTTTGGTGGAGTGGGATAGGTGGGGGTGGCGTTCTTCGCAGGGATTTTGGGGGCTTGCTAAGACAACCTGCAGCTTTGGATCGTGAAGTTAGTGTTGGGGCAGTGGCCTACACCCCTGAACCCTTATCACCTATGCCAGATGGCTGATACTCCCTTCAGAATTGCTGGGGCGTTGTGAGTTTGACGTCTTGGAGATGGCGGTCTTTCCGCCTCCTTGCAAAGTAAAGGCGTTAAGTTCAGGGATCAGTTGTTGCTGAGCGTTCGCGGCGTTGCGCCGTCGAGCTGTCAGCGACCAGCCATAGCATAAGTAAGATCTGGGGTCAAAGGGCCCGCAGAAAGCGTGCGTGCAGGTTCGGCCGGCCGAGACAGGCGGCTGGACCCGAGCAACTCGGCAGTACAGGGGGCTTCGTTTCTATGGTGTTGCAGTTTTGCGCCATCAGTTGTGAAGCCTTCTGTCTTCGGGGCTGGGACAGGCCAAGGCATGGTAATGCTATCAATTGGACAGGGAGCAAGATGCAAGCCCACGCCATACAAAGACCGACCTGGGCCCTGTGCTTCCATCGGCATTTTCTCCTCGAAGCTGGATCCAGATTTTAAGGCTTTTTATCCCAAACATTGTGAATAGAATTTGCTAAAGTAGCTTGGCAACAACACACCTTGGCGAGGCTAGGGAGAGGCACAACAGGATCGGGTGTAAAAGAGGTCGAAACGCGAGGCTCAAATTAAAAACTAACATCACCCAAGAAACCCAGCTGACTGGGGTTCAGATCGTATTTGGGTTGACGATTTCGGGTTGGGCGTGGTAGTTAGGAACACGCTGAGGCTTTCGTTGTCGGGTTGATCTTTTTGAGCGTTACGTTCTTTTGCTTGTGCATTTCGGTAGCTTGAACCCCGGCAATCCTGGTTTCAGAAAAGGGTTCGCTTTGTTCCGAAAAAATTTCTCAGCAGCCCCGAAACACATGTTTCATGTCATGTGTGCCTCCTATATCTATATAGAGAACACGAACGCCTTCCGAAAATGATCATGGCTGTGATCGGACAAACCCTTTGGACATATGTGGACTGTTGCATGCAGACTGCTGCTGCTGCTGCTGCTGCTGCTGCAGCTGATATTCTATTGCTACTACTCCTCTTACCGCTACTACTACTACTACTACTACTACTACTACTACTACTACTACTACTACTACTACTACTACTACTACTACTACTACTACTACTACTACTACTATACTACTACTACTACTACTACTACTACTACTACTACTACTACTACTACTACTACTACTACTACTACTACTACTACTACTACTACTACTACTACTACTACTACTACTACTACTACTACTACTACTACTACTACTACTACTACTACTACTACTACTACTACTACTACTACTACTACTACTACTACTACTACTACTACTACTACTACTACTACTACTACTACTACTACTACTACTACTACTACTACTACTACTACTGCTACTACTACTGCTACTACTACTGCTACTACTACTACTGCTACTACCCCTACTGTTATACTACTACTACTACCACTACTACTACTACTACTACTACTGCTGCTGCTGCTGCTGCTGCTACTGCTACTGCTACTGCTACTGCTACTGCTACTGCTACTGCTACTGCTACTGCTACTGCTACTACTACTCCTACTGCTATGCCGCCTACTAGCCACCCCCCTACCAACATACTCTTGTGACCCACATCCGTTTTACTCGGTATTTACAGCACTTTCGTCATGTAGCAACATCTTAGAAAGCCTGAAACTGCACCTGCGAGTTTTCAAACTCCAGCATCCGATTCTGGACTTTTCTTCAGAGGGGGTGGGGGGTTGTGCGGGAAGAATGATGACGACATTGTTACGCCGACACTCCGAACAACATCTCCGGAAGAGCCATTTTACTCGGTATTTACAGTACTTTAGTGACGTGATCCATCTTAAAAAGTCGCCAAGCCTACTTCTGGAATTGGCTACGTTGTCTTATTGCCTTTGCGAGGGCTTTCAGCGAAAACTCGAAATTGGTCGGGGGAAAGCTTTTGTTCTACTGGGTCTTTAAGGTACTTTGCTCATGTCACACTCCATTGCCAACAACGAGTTTTCCAACTCCAGCATCCGATTCTGGACTTGCTTTTGGGGGGATAGGGGGGTGCGGGAGGAATGATGACGACATTGTTACGCCGACACCCCCGAACAACATCTCCGAAGAGCCATTTTACTCGGTATTTACAGCACTTTCGTGACGTGATCCATCTTATATAGTCGCCAAGCCTACCTCTGGACTTTGCTACGCAGCGAAAACTCGAAATTGGGTGGTCATAACTGTTCGAGGCTGCCTGTACGTTATCAGCCCCCCCCCCCGCCCCCCGCCCCCCGCAACGTATGCAAAAGGTGTATTTGGTAGGGGGGGCCGCCTACTGCTACTACTACTACTACTACTGCTGCTACTACTACTACTACTACTGCTACTGCTACTGTTACTGCACTAGTACTAGTTCTGGTACTAGTACTAGTACCAGTACTAGAATCACGATTACTACTACTACTACTACTACTACTACTACTATTACTACTACTACTACTACTACTACTACTACTACTACTACTACTACTGCTACTGCTACTGCTACTGCTACTGCTACTGCTACTACTGCTACGACTACTACTACGACTACGACTGCGACTACGACTACGACTACGACGACGACGACGACTACTACTACTACTGCTACGACCACCACTACTACTGCTGTTACTACTACGACTACTACTACTACTACTACTACTACTCCTACTACTCCTACTACTACTACTACTACTACTACTACTACTACTATTACTACTACTACTACTACTACTACTACTACTACGACGACGGCCACGACGACGAGGACGACGACGACGACGACGACTACTACTACTACAACTACAACTACTGCTACTACGACGACAGCGACGACGACGACTGCTACTACTACTACTACTACTACTACTACTACTACCACTACTACTACTACTACTACGACGACGACTTCTGCTACTCGACTACTGCTGCTGCTGCTGCGGCCACTACGACGACAGCAGCTGCAAAAACTACCATTACCTGGTCAGTGGTAAGTAGTAAGCCATATTGAAGGCTCTACCATAGTCCGCTATAGGATACCATGGTATACTACGAGAAAACAACTCTGACTCTGAGGCCGGATTTCGGCAGCTCTTCGGCGATGCCCAGGACAAGGAGGAAGAGGAAGAGGAGCGTCTTCACTAGAGCTTTCAAGCTAGGCTCATATTCCTCCAGCGGGTTGCTCCTTAATCCCTAGGCGTCCCTTTCGTAGGACGAAAATGGTTGGATCCTTCAAAGTTTCAGTTGCCAAAATAACTAAACAACCAATGCCAAACAGCCAACATCTTCAAAACTCGATCGCCAGCCATAGAGTTTCAAACTCCAGCCACACCAGCCACACCAGCCGCAACTCCAAGCCCAGCCAAGCCCTGTCATGTAGATCACTGTATAATCTGGTAGAACTGCCAGCACCAACCATTGCTGAACACTTAACAAAGCCGCAAGAGCAACCTTGCAGCCCTCGTATCGTGATAGAACCATGCCGCGCCATGCAATGCTCCGACCAGTCTCATTGAAGATGAGATCCTTGTAAATAGTTGTGCCATGTGATACTGCACTTCTGCTGCCCTTGAGAGTGCTGTTCAAATCCGGAGATCCGAAGTACCGAACCCGAACTCCCCAGTCCTGATTTCATAAGCGTCAGCCATAGGAGTACGCTGCCCCCGCCGGCCGCTCCGAAAAATGGCAGGACGACGAAAGCTTCAATGTGCACACACATGGACTGCATAGAGTCTAGATCTCTGAGAGTGTCGGGAACTGCCAAAAGGAGTTATGTTCTTCGCATGTTTGGGGTTTGGAAGTTTTTTTGGTGGATTATCGCGACCAGGGCCGAGCGTCTTATGATGCTCTTCATTTATTCGGCAGTTCACCATTCTATGATGTTTTCTATCACGAGGTTTTGGGTGGTATGTGCTTCTCGAAGTCTCTATGGTGACCCGGGGAACTGTTCCCCGCTCCCGCCGTTCGGGCCATAGGCCTTCACGTCCCCATGAGGAGCCTCTGAGACCCCATTACTAAATGATCTGCAGTCTAGATCCCTACTATGATTCGAGGGTTTTCCTTAGAAGTTGACTTTTGCAGTCTCTGGAGACTTGTGCTTCTCTTTAGTGTCTGGGCTGCAGCGCCCGGGCGGTTGTGTTGCTTTGAGCAAAGCTTTGAATCCTCACTTTACAGCACCTTGTTGCAGGACTGGTGGGGCAATGACAAGGAGGAAAAGTGGGAGGAGCAGGAGTGGGTGAGTCACTGGATCTTAAACTCTACCCGCCATGAGGGAGCCCCTGAAACATGTCGTTAGACTCTTCAAGCAGAGAGCCGAATGCTCTTAACTCCTGCACTTGCCTGCGCTTGTAGACCCAGGCGATTGGAGCCTTTAGGGTGTTCGCGGCTTCAGCCTCCTTTCCACTAAAACCGTTTCCCCTAGTCCTAAACCCCTAAACCCAAACCCCACACCCGAATTCCAGGCTCCCATGCAAAGCGAGCACCCGAAGCCGCCTCCGTAACCACGAAACCAAAAGGCAGTATAGAAGCCCGAACAATCAGGGTTGCTATTCAACTCTACAAAAACATCCCGAAGCAAAATCGAAGCGTTCAGGGCCCCTATATTATCCTGCGCAGGACTGGTGGCAAAACGACCAGAAGGACAAGGAGGAGACCTCGGCATCGCCCTCATTTTACACTGCGACTCCCAACAACAGCAGCGACCATCACTTTTCCAGTAGAGTAGTTGCAACTGTTAGCTTACAGTAAGTGCTCTTGTTCGTATGAGGTAGTGTTGTTCTTGGAAGCTGGCCATTTTGCTTGTAACGGTGCAACGACAACTACTACGAGTACTACGGCTACCACCGCCACCGCATTGCCGTTCCACTTCCAGTGCCAGTCCACCGCCAGCGCCGCCGCCACCACCACCACCACCACCACCGCTGCTGCCGCTACGACGACGACTAGTGACTAGTGACTGGCACTACTAGTATTGTTACTGATATGATTGAATCTTGCTTTGAAGTTCCTAAGAAACCAGCCAGGAGTAGTGTCACCACTAGTCTCAAGTCCCAAATTACAGCATGTTTCTGATTTCTGTACCCCCCAAATCCCCAAATACACCGACCCCTCCAGCCCATTGCCAAAGCTTCGACATCAGCAGGACTGGGGTTGGCAGAAGCAGGATGACTGGCATCAGGACCGCCTTCTTTGCAGGCTTCGAGTCGGGGTTGTGTCGTTTTGGGTGTGCTGCATAGGGTCTCGGGTATCTGTGACCACGGGCAAGACATATAAGGGGGTTCAGAGACCACGACTACATCCAACAGCCCTGAACCCTGAAGCCACAAGCCGAAGCCCAAACTCGTCACTCAAACATTTTTCGCCCGCAGTCTTAGTGCGCTTTAGCTCACACACACTAGTGTGTCGACCGGCCATTGCTAGCGTGACTTGTTTAGCCTCGCTCGGCAGCCTTCCAGGTTTCGAGTTTCGAGCTTCAGGCTTAGGCTCTCGAGAGAAAGATTGAGGACGCTTGATTCGAGGATTAATCTTAGGATTTCGAGCTCGAGGTTGACTCTTCTGATCTCGGCCTGAAGACATGTAAACTTGCAGACTTGCCCGTAAGGGTTCAGTGCCAGAGGCGCGATCGCTCACTAGCCGTGGCACCAACCCGAAACTCCTATACTAAACCCTGCGCCCTCAAACCTTGAACCCTCAAAGCTGCAACCGAAAACCACAGAGGAATGGCACGCTGGATCCGAGGCCGTGGACTCAGGCGCTTGCAGATGGGTTGCTAAGCTGTGGCTTAGTGTTCAGGGTTTCAAGAAGGTTGGGTGTTTAGGAGAAGAGGGTTTTGGCCCAACAGTTTGGGGTCGTGAAGACAGTGACACATGCACACGCACACTTACACACGTCTTTCTGTTCAGTCTCAATCTCGGGAAGGGTTACGCTTGAGGGTTCAGGAGTTTTGGGGGCACTGCAAAACCCATGTCCTAAATAGAATCCCAACGCCGCCTGCCAAACCGCAGGCGAATCAAAATTGTCAACACGAGTTCAGGTTTAGGGGGTCCTTGCCCCAAAGGCTTTGAGTTCCGGCTTTTTTGTAGGCAAAACCACGAAAGCCAATGATTTTGGGCATGCCGACTGAAACAATGAGTTCTGTCGAATTCGGTGACTTTTTGGGTTAGGTAGGACATCTAACGAGCAAGTCAAAGATGACGACTTGGGGTTTCGAAATTTAGGTTTAGGGTTGTGGTTTGCGGTTGATTATATCGTTAGCAATGACGTCTGCTCTGGTGTCAACGGTTTGCAGACTTTAAGAGTTTATGACGTAGGGTTACCGAGAGGGATGGAGGGTTAGGCGTTTCACTTCAATAGTTTCGGTTTTACTGTAGGTCGTGATGGTGGTGGGCAGACTGACCTGCTAGGTTGAGGGTTTAGTCGCGGGTGGTTGTGAAGACCAAACCGTTAATTAATCCCGAATACTTAGAGCCAGAGCACCTGAATCCGTGCAACCCTCAACTGTATCTACGAGCTAGCTTCAACGTCTTCAAGCTTGACGGTCTCAGTGTTGTGGGTTTCAGTTTAGTGATGTGCTTATCCATACTTTCGTTTGTTGATTCAGGGCTTTATGGGTCGAGGCTTGAAGGCTGAAGATTTCCGAGACTCCGAAGATCTTGCTCCAAGGACCAGTGGCACTCGCAAGCGAAGGACGACTTGGCGGGAAGTCCGGCACACACGGTTAGAGCAACAGTAGCTGCAACACGGCATGATGGCAACATAGTAGCAATATCGGTTCCAAACATCATGCTCTTCTTCATAGCCGTTGGACAGGAGCAGCAGCGTCGGTAGTACTATAGTGCTACCATGATCATGACGACTTTCAGCAGAAGCATCGTTCCCGCACCACCACCAGCACCAGCACCACCACCACCCCACCACCACCACCACCGCCGCCGCCACCGCCGCCGCCGCCGCCGCCGCCGCCACCGCCACCGCCACCCCCACCACCACCACCACCACCACCACCACCACCACCACCACCACCACCACCACCACCACCACCACCACCACCACCACCACCACCACCACCGCCTTCATCATCGCCATCCTCACCATCCTCGCCATCGTCGCCATCGTCGCCGTCGTCACGGTCGTCGGCGTCGTCACTGCCATCGTCCGAAGCAACGCCATCGCCGTCGTCATCTTCGCAGACCCTGGCAAAACATCGTGTAAAACGTCGAGATGGTCATCATCATGATGAACGCTGACGATGCTGCGGCTGCCGCAGATGATGATTAGACTATGACGGTGATGATCGTAGTGGTGGAGACGGCGATGACAGTGTAGATATGTCATGTGTTGATCGTATATCGTGACGGCTTTGAATGGAAGGGCAAGAAGGCCGTGACGATGCTGATATGAGTAATGAAAACTGCTCATGGCGACCGACGATTGTGATGGTGTCGGGAATGACTGTGATGCTAACGATGATGCGCTCGCCATGAGGATCATCGCCATTCGGCACCGCAAACCTCTGGCTACCGCTCCAAAGCCAAAGGCTGCAGCTGCGATGTGGAACCCTTTCCCTCATATCTGAACTGCTTCATGGAGCCCTTTCCCTACACCCCGAAGCACACCCGCTGGAAATGTAACGCCCTCGGCTTCAGCTGCAGGACACATGGAACTCACAAGCGGAGGACAGACGGAGAATGGTGGTAAAGATGTTGATCCAAAACGTGCCATCTCCTTTGGCAAAGCCTGTTGATGGTGAATGGTGCTCAAGGGCTGCAAAAAGTCGCCAACTGTTCAGAGATGCCACAGGGCAAAGAATTGTCGCGAGGCAGGTGCAGGTTTCCTTCTCTTTTCTGGGATTCTAGTTGAAGGCCGCGGCAAGACGCAGTTTGTAAATGTTCGGTGCAAGAAGACATGTACCACTAAGGAAGAGAAGATTGTACACGGGGATAGACTGCCAAGTCGGAATGCATGAAGATGGTACAGACTCTAGTAAAAGACAAGTAGTACAATATGAATATGGTCGTCGAGCAAAGTTTCGCGAAGACTGAGACCCGATCTGGCAAGAACTGCAATTGCTGTTGGTTCGAGACCCCGTTTGAAAATGGATTGCTTTAGGACCAGCTTCAAAGATGCCTGAACAGTCTGAAACTCGTTTTATTGAACTGCAGGGCTTAGAGCTGAAAACCGTAGATCCTGAACATCCTAAACCTTGTTTCCACGGAGGACGAGGATGAGGGAGGAGACTGGCCGACCGCAGAGGACGTGAGTTGTATGGTAAGTCGTTTAGGTTCGGTTTGGGGCTCAAGGGTTCGCCGTTCGATTGTGCATGGATGTAGGCGTCTTCATGGTGCGATATCTGTACGAGTTTGTGGGTTTTCGCACTGAAGTTTTGCTAGCTTTGGGTTCCCGACCCGTGCAAATCGGGTGTGAGCTACACAGCTGGGTCCTCTGGCTCCTCGAACGCTCTACACATGGCGGCGCGCCTCAAGATAGGGGGTGTAGCCTATGCTTTGGGCGATTCAGGGCTGTCGGTGGGCCGGTGGCTTTGCTTTCGTTGTTTTGGGGCAGTCAGTTGGATTTGGCGCTCAGGGCAAGACAATCCACCGTTCAACAAGTTTGCTCCCGAACTTCGAGCAAACCAGGAAGGAGGCTGCAGTGCAGGCTTAAAGCTCCTTTCGTCAGGAGACGCGTGTGCCCAGCCCCACCGGAATGCCACGAAATCTTCAGACCACTGCAAAGGCCTCGGTGCTTGCCGCAGACCACTGAACCACACAGGTGACTAGGGGATTGGAATAGGGATCGCACTAGTCGCTAGTTGCTTCTTGAGGGGGTGTACTTGTTGTTTTAGTTCGGGTTTGGGGTTAGGTTTGTAGGCTGTTGCAGGCTGTGGCAAGGGATCGAGTTTTGTTCTTCACGTTCTTGAGGTTTGAGTGTTGTATGTGTTTGGCTGAGGGTGTGGACTGCGAGCGTGCATGATTGAGGGCCGCGTATCTTCGCGGCACACCAGACAACATCCTTAGCGGATGACGGTCATGTTGCGGAGAAGAAAGCCAGCCTGGGAGTGGCCTGAAGGCCCTTCTCCAAGAACTTGTTTAGCACCATACCATCGAGTGAATGCTGCGATCGAGCCATCTCCTCCTAACGCTTGTACTTATAAAGCCTGCAGGCAAAGGCTCGGCCAAAAGCCCGCCCGCCGCAACCCGGTCTGGACTTCTGGTTTCATTCTTTGACGCTTTTTGGATAAAGGCCCTAGAGAATCAAGGTTCCGGGTTCGCAGAGAAGGGCTTGGGGGTGCCTCTAGACTAAGGTCTGGTTCCAGGTTTTCGGATTTGTATGGCAGCGCTTCTCCCTTTCGGGGTTTTTGGGATCCACTAGATTGGAGGAGAAGGATTGGGAAGCTCGTCTTCTGTCCCGATCTGATGTTTTAGGTGCCGCTTTTCATTGAGCCTTTAACCCCCCCATTCAAAAAAATATTGCAGGCTGCTTAAGTTAGAATGCAGGTTTGTGACGTAAATCTCAGGTGTTGATACATTGAATTGTTCAGGGTTTCATGGATTTAGGCATGCTCGAGGCCAAAAGCAAGGTTTAGAGTTTTTGCCATCTGGATAGACTCGTGAACCTGAAACCCTAAGCTCTGAACCCGAAACACACTACAAGGCACCCAGCTGCGACGGGACCTCGCGGCTTGGCTGACTGTAGAGGGCTTTGGGACGTCCTCGTGGGGGCAGGGGGGTGGAGGTTTCAAGCGCTAGGTTCGAACAAGATGTGGGTTGATAAATCCATGAGTGTACGTCACGGGCTGTTGACACATGAGGCACCCCAGATCTACATGTCTGATCCTGGTAGCCATACAATGCAGACCGATGGCAACGTTTCAGCTGCAATGGTGTGCTGGTTCGGGGGACCTGGGCCTTTGAGCTGGAGTTGAAGGTCGGCCCTTACGGCTAGGGGGCAAGACTTTGGACAAAGGTTCTTGCAGGATGTCGCCAAAGGATTTACAGGGTGCCAGGACCGAGATGATTCTCTTCGATTTTCAAAAAAACGAGTATACCATGCTATACTTATGAATGTAGGAAGATATTAGTGCAGCTTTGTTTCCGAAACAAAGCCTACTTGCAAGACTATTTGTAAACATGCCATTAGCCCACGAGCCACGGAACACAAGCAAACATCCTTGCCATGTCTTCAGGACTTTTTTGACGGTTTTTCAGGGCTGGGAATTCAACAGTTCTTTGTGAATCGCTTCAAGGTTCGTTGTCGAAGTTTAAGATTTCAAGAGTTGACAGGATTCGGGTGAATCATCCTGACCGAGTCGAAGGCCGCAACTTCTTCAATCCACATAGACGCATAGAGCCCAAACCCTAACCCTTATCGAAACCCTCCACCCTCAACTCTCAACCCCTAAACCCTGCAAACCCTACACGGCCCTACACCCATCCTAAACCCCAAAACCTTGAACCCTAAGTCTAAACCTTCAACCTTCAAAGTCTGCCACCCTGAAACTCTCAATGCCAAGGTCCCCCTGCCGGACCTCCACCCGCCGAAATCCTGAACAAGCAGCGGGTGTTCATGCCACCGACACTGGGACGGAGTTTTTGCTTGAACCGACAAAGCTTTAAGCCCTGGGCTGAGTGCGCGGCAGGTTTAACATCAGGTCTACAAAGTCTTGGATCTGTAATCCCTAAGCCCTGCAGGTCTGGAAAGGAACCCCCCTAAGCTGGTAGGACTACTACCTGTAGGGGGGACAGTTTCAGCTCAGGCATTGTAGTGGATTTAGGACATAATTTAGGGTGGTATAGCCTTTTGGGTCATGGGTAAGCACCGAACCCTTCACAACCTGGGCCGAGACACGTATTTACCAGAGCTCCGCGCTACTTCTGTCGTCCTTCCGCTTTCCCGACTTGCCTCTGAAAATGCCGCTTGCCCCATTCTCCTCACTGTCCTCACTCGTCCCTTTTGCCCAGATAAAAGCAAGTGGGCACAGCACCCCCTCCACCGCGGAGGGTATGCCTTCGCGGTAAGCGGAGCAAGTGGCGAATGCGCATAGCGGTCTAGACGAGGTCAACTGGCACAAGTGAGGCAAGTGACAAAAATAGATGCTGCTTCGAACCTGGACCAATCGGGCAAGCCGCAGAAATCAGTTAGCTGTAGGGTGTAGCCGCAGAGTTTGACTGAGGCTGGTAACTTGACCACTAGAAGTGAGCATTTGAACGTTCGTCGCAAGATCTTTGGCTTCAGCTTATGGGGCCCCGGGGATCGAGTGGTTCTGGTTTGCTTTGGAAGGGCTTAGCTCTAACCTTTGGGGTTTTCGCTGTCCCATCTACTGCTCCCAACCGGACCTCCCTCTCCTTGCCTTGGTCTACCTTCTGGGTCTCCTTTCTGGGGTTGGAATCTCCCTTTGGATTTTCTTCACCCGGAGACCAACCGTTGTCCTGCCTGTTGCGCCCCAGGGGCCCACCACTTCTGCTTCCAGCCGTCGGCTGTCCTTGTATGGGCAGTGAGGACCCTGCTATCACACAGATCTCCCTTCAGTTGGAAGGCCTCTGCATCTCCATCACAACCTCCCGCGCTCCGCCGAGCTTAGGCAACCCTAATCCCGAACCCCCGCACACCGAGCCTGGAGTTGGCTCGACGCCTGCCCCTAAGGCTAGTTGCTCGGCTAGGACCCTAAGCCCCGACCCAGTGCGCCTGGCTTCTTCTGAGCCGCTCCCTTCTGCTACCTCCAGCCGTGCTTCGGCCCTTTCTGGTGCCTCCTCCTCAGCTCCGGTCAGCCGTGATCCTTACGATCTGATCGAGGCTTCTTTCCCTGAGCTGCCTAGTGCTTGGGCGTCTGCCTCTCGGGCCCTACGTGCAACGGGCCCCCCTGGCTTGGAACGAGCAAAGCGTGCTTGGGTTGCTGGACTTTGGGTTCGCGAGGTCTTAGCCGGTCGCGTTGCGACCCCTCGCCCGACTCCCAAGATTTCCGTTGCGAATCGCTTCTACGCCGTTGCCAGGTCTGCCAACGGGTCTCCTCCCGAGATCTACTCCTCGAAGAGGGATTACTTTATCGCTGTCGATCACCTCCGCCAAAGGACCACCCTCTCCCAGGCCTTTCCCTCGGAGCTCGAGTGTCGGATCTACTTTGACGCAGCTGGGGTAACTACTTACTTGCCCGGCCTTTGACCCAATGAACTACGAGAGCCTTATCCCTGCCGAGGCCGGTGAAGTCGACCTCCTTTTGCTTGATCCTACTGGGGATCCCTCCTTGGAGGAATGCTTCTCCTCCCCTTGTGCCTGCTACTGTGTGTTCAAAAGACCGGGTGGATTTCTGCTGGCCGTGCCGGCCCCTTCTATCGACGAGGCTGCCGTGACAGCTGCGGAAGTCGCGGAATTCCCTGGCACCCTGGGACCCTGCACTCAGGTCACTTGTCGTGGCGTCTCCCTTACCGAGGCGGGCGAATGGGCCCAGGTCTACCCGGCAAAGCAAGTGCCCGCTCGTGTCGTCGACTTGGATGCAGCAGCAGCCAGCTGCCTCTCTCCTTTGGCCGCGGCTCTTGTGGACTACACTGCTTTCGACGAGAGCGACCCGTCTTTGTACCCTCTCGCTGTCGAGCTCACTGCCGCCGCCCTCGCTTGGGTTCGTACTCGTCCTGGGGCACGGGGTGCCAATGGCTACGTGACAGCCGCCGAGGATGCACCAGCTCCTGGTCCCCCTGCTGGAGACCCTCTGCAAAGGCAGAACAAAGCAAAGGCGCAAGGTGCAAAGCGACCCACTTTGGCTGGACTGGCCGCGCAGCAAGCCACCATGCAGGAGCTTATGGTGTCCCTTGTCGACCGTGTGCAGGCCCTAGCCGATCAGGCAAAGGCCCCCGCAGCAGCGCCGCAGGCCGAGCCGGCCCCGACTGTTCATGTGGCGGCCCTTCCGCCAGCCCGGGCCTCCCTTGCAAGCCCTCTCTTCCAGACTCTGCCGGGGCCCCTTGCTCAACCCAAGCGTCTTGCAGACATTCTAGGTCCCCCGCCTCCGGTGCGCCAGCCTCTCCAGCCACGTGTTTTGGAGGATGGGGACGGCCAGGACGAGGTCCTGCCTGGCATTACAAAAGAAGAGCTGAAAGGCGGGCCCTCGGATCCTCTTGCGCAGGCCATGCTTCTTCAAGCGAAGGCCCTGACAAGCCTGGTGGGCCAGTTGGCATCAAGTTCTGCAGACCCGCTCTTGGAGAGCCCCGCCGGAAGCAGCGGCCTCTCCACCCGGGGTACCAACGGCCGCTTGAAGATCCAGGCGGAGCTGGGGCAGCGGGACGGAAGCTTCTTCGAAAGGACACTGACGGCGGCTTCCCGGCGCATGGACCCCTCGAGTTTGCCGAGCGCCAGCCTCAGCCCAGGCCTTCCTTCCGGCTCGGGGATCATGACGCAGTACCTAGAGAGGTACGGGGGATACTCGAAGGACCGCGTGCTGGGTCTTGCGCAGTGGCAGTGCGGCCTCGCTCTAGACTTGATGGCAAAGGGCGAGGCAAAGGGGGCAGCAGATACGATTGCCTTGATGATGGTGTTTCTCGAACAGTGCTCCCTCGACAAAGCGCCCGACTTTGCCTGGCTTCTGACTCATCTGCCAGATCCTCCAAATGGCCTGTTCCAGGACAGGGTCGCGACTCCGACCACTTCGCTGCGGCCTTTTGCTCCTCTGGCCGACCAGAGGCTCGTGGCCACGACCCTCGCTTACGTGAAGGAGCTCGACTCCCTGAGCTTGAAAAGGGCCGACCTTCCGAAAGGAAAGCCCCCTCCGAAGCTTCCGCCCAAGGCCGACGCGTCTGGCGACCAAGGCGACACCGCTCTGAGCCGAAAGCAGCTTCGAGCAAAGCTTTGGGCCGCCAAGAAGGGCGACGGAAGCTGACAGCCAATGACACTGCATGCCCTCCTCCAGACGTTCCCGGTGCCGCCTCTCGTGCCGATGTTTTCCTGGAGAAATTAAGTTTTATCAAGTGGGCGGCCTCGCTGCCTCGGCTTTTGCTTCGGTGCCGGACTGCGTTCAGCCGGCTGCTTCGCTTGTCTTTTTCTGTTCGCTTCCACGAGGGGGAGCCGCCTCCTCATACCGCCTTTTTCCCTTTGCCAGTCCCCCATCCGGGGGCCTTCGCCAAGGATGCCCCGCAGCCCGACCAGCACTCTTCAAGGAAGGCTCGTTTGTTTAGCCGGCTTGTTGATCGCTGTGTGCACGTTGCCGTGATGGCCCTTAATCATGTGCACGCTGCTGGTCGCGAGATCCCTCTCGCTGAGCTACGGAGGCCGCCCAACCCTGCCCAAAGCAAAGTCTATGCCAGGTTTAGGCTGCTCATAGAGGCGAGTGCCCACTTCGGTGGAGATTTTCCCCTTGCTGGGGGCCGCCGTGGCGCCCATTTGCTTGCACGCCTCGACGACCTCCACCACTACCTTGACCAGTGTGGCATCTCCACTGACGCCTACCCTGGCTGCCCAAAACCGCTTGGGCGTGTGCCCCGTGATGACTCAGGTGCTCCGGCGCTTGAGCCTTACCGCGATGCACTTGCGAGCCGTCTCCTCATCACTGGGGAGGGCCACTGGGATATCACTCCCTACCTTGGGCATGAGCTTCTCATGCCTTTTCGCGAGCCTAAGGTCCTCCATGGGATCCCCGGCAATGCGCTCCCGTACCCAGACACCACCCGGGAAAACCGAGAGGAGTTGCTGAAGGTTTTTGCTGTCTGGGACCAGCTTGGCCTGCTGACCATAACCCCTGCTCCTTCCGAGCCCCGGGCGCTCTGCAGGGTTTTTGGCTCCTTTAAGACCGCGACGCGGGATAGGATGATAGGGGACCGTAGAGGGCCAAATAGCTTAGAGGGCCGGGTGATAGGAGTGTCGCCCGAGCTGCCGCAGGGATCCCTCCTCTGCCTTTACTCCGTCGCTCCACGTTCCGTACTTTGCGGCGCAAGCACCGATCGTTCTGATTTTTATCATCAAATCAAGGTGACCGCCAGCCGAGCTTCTTCGAACGCCGTGGGACCTCCCGCCCGGCTGTCGACCCTCAGCACGACCTCTGCCTATAGGGATTTCCTTAAGCTTGGGGTTGATAGGCTAGGCTCCCCTAGGAACAGCCTTCTTGGTCGGTCTGGCCACAGAGCTTTCAACCTGCCGCCTGGGGACCCCCTTGTCTGTGGAGCGTTCACCTCACTGTTTCAAGGCGACCACGCAGGCGTGGAGTTCGCCACAAGTGCGCACGAGGGCCTCTTGAAGACTGCCGGCCTCCTGGAGCCGTCCTCCCGCATCACAGCCGGTGCGCCTCCTCCGCTCGGACCCGTCGCCGATGCCCTCGTCATCGATGACTTCTTCTCTGTTTGCCAGGTCCCTGCTGCCTCGCTGTCCGGGCTCCCTGATCACGTAGGGGATGGCAATGTTGGATGCGACTAATGGAGCACAAGCAGCCAGGAGGGAGAGCTCGCACGCAGCTTTCCTGGTGAGTGGGATGGCAGGGCTGCTCTCGCCGGTAGGCTCCTTTGCAGCAAAGCCAAAGGCAGAGTCCAGGAAGCAGGAGAAGGGCCGGCGGTACTGGATGAAGGAGACCCAGCTCCCCAAGATCGTTGAGATCAGGGCTTCGGAGGTGGCAGGAAGGGCAGCAGCCTTGAGGCATACATACGACAGAGCAAGCCTCCGGCACGAGGGCGCGCCGACAACAACAGCACCTTTCTCAGCGAGCTCGACGGGCGAGCAGACCTCAGCCCCTGCAACAGTGAAGTGGAGGGAGCCCCAAACATCCTTGTGGTCGGAACCGGCAAGCCGAACCTCAGAGTAGGCCTCCTTCGCCTTTGCGATGCGGTCGGCAGCAGCGCTTGTGGTCAGTAGCTCCTGCACTGATGCCTCCCTCGGAGCCATCTGCTATGCCGAAGCTTCTCCCGAGCTGTCCGAGGCTGTTTGGCACTGCGCACCTAGGAAGCCCGCTTTTGTGCCGCTCTCACGTGAGCCAGCCTCCGGTTTGTCCAGCCAGACTGCCGCCGCCTCCAATGAAGAAGAGCGCCTTGATGACCCAGCCTCCCCATGCGAGGATGGCACGAAATCCAGGCCGATTGGGGTCGACTATGACTTTCTTGAGGTTTTTAGTGCCTCGGGGGGCGTTAGCCGTGCAGCTCTCGACTTTGGCCTTCGGGTCGGGCCTTGTCTCTCGCCCGCCTTTAGTCCCGAGTTTGACTTGCTCTGCCCTCACGTCCTTGAGTGGGTTCTCTACTTGCTTCCGCGCAGGAGGGTCCGAAGCCTCTTCTTGTGCCTCCCTACTGGCACTTTTGCTCCTTCGAGCAAACCTAGAGTGAGATCACGTGCTGAACCTCTCGGCTTCCGCCCGCGACCCAAGAAGGTTCGACTTGAGAACAGGCTTGTTGGCCGTGCCTTTGTGCTCCTCGAAGCCTGCCGGCGACTCGGGGTTCCCTGCGCGCTTCGCCAAAGCACCGGCTCTCTTCTGTTTTCCCTTCCTTGGGTCGAGCGTTTTCTTCAGCGGCCTTCTGCGGCAAAGCTCCCCGCCTCTCGGTTCCTCGATGGCCACGGGACGCACCTTGAGTTCCTTACCTGCCACTTCCCTGTGAAGACTCCTGACCCCAAGGTCTCCCGCTTGGGCCGCCCTGAAAAGGACCCCGAGGTTCTCATTGCCAAGGCCTTCGCCTCTAGGCTCTCCTATGTCGAGCCCGATCCGCCCGAGCCTGGGCCCGGCTTGGAATCCGTTCTCATCGACGACTCTTTGCTGACCCTGGACTGGGCCACCCTCTCTGCATGGACCTGGGGCTCGCGGAAGCACATAAATGTCTTTGAGAGTGATTCTGTGCTAGCTCTCTACAAGAGGCTCGCCCTCGACGGAGGGGACCGTCGGAGCACTATTGTGACTGACTCCTCTGTCACTCTTGGCGCTCACAAGAAAGGCAGGTCCTCTGCCAAGCTCCTGAAGAGGTCGCTGCAACGATCCAGTTGCACTGTGATTGCAGGGGGTCTCTACCCTAGTGTGCCTTTCGGACCCACCAGGTGGAACCCAGCCGATGACCCAAGTCGTGATGTTGCTGTGCGTGCTCCCGCGGGGGTCCCCCTCACTGCTGGCCTCTCTCGTGAGGAGCTTCGGGACCTTGGCTCCCTCGGTGGCCTTTCGCGCTCACGCGCCAACTGGGTTAGGCTTGCCCTTGTCGCCTACAGTTCTACTTTTGGGTCTCCGTCTGGACTTGTGCAGGCCCTCCGGGCATTCCCTTCGGGTTCGAGGTTTTTAGCCCTCACCGATCTTTCTCCTTACTGCCACCATGGCGCCATGGATTTCGACCGTACCCTCGGCTTTCCTGGAGAGGGTCCTTCTCTTGCTCCCACCTGCTTTGTCCTCTGCCTCACCTACCAGCTTGCCTGGGCTGTCCTCACCCCTAGGAATGCTGATGACTTTCGTCGCCTTGACCGCCGCTCGCTTCCTCTGCCTCAGGGTCGTCCGGTTCAGTGCTCTACTTCTAATCGAAGGGTTGTTCTGGTTTCTTCTTTTGAGCAATGGCTCCTTGAAGTTGTGGGCCGTTCTCTTGGCTCCCTACTGGATGAGAAGCCCTTTGATATTGAAAGGTTCGTCGACTACCTCGTCGTTTTTGGGCGAGACCTTTACAACAGCGGCCGCCCCTATTGGCATTTCTCAACGCTCTGACGGCTCTGAAGCCTGTTCTCCGTCGGAGCTGCCAAGCGGCCTGGGACCTTGCTTTTTCTTGGCTTGCGAACGAACCCTCCTCGCATCACGTTGCACTTCCCCCCATCCTGCTGATGGCGATATTGGGAGTCTGTCTTACCTGGGGCTGGTTACGAGAAGCTGGTGTCTTCTCGCTGGCCTGGGGCGCTTTGCTTCGAATCTCGGAAGCCACCTCAGCCACGCGGAGGCATCTGGTACTGCCGAGCGACGCTCTCTGGATGCAAAGCTTTGTGTTGGTCTGTATCGACCAGCCAAAGACCCGTGGCAGGGCGGCAAAACACCAGGCGGCAAAACTTGAAGCCAGCGACCTCGTTGACATCGTGACGCTTGCTTTTGGACGACTTGAACGACATCAAAGGATCTGGCCTTACACCAACCAAACTTTACGACGCAGGCTGGACTCTGTTTTGGAAAGGCTCGGGGTGCCGAGATCCGACAAGCAGCACCGTTCTGTCGATCTCGGCTCTCTGCGGCCCGGCGGTGCGACATATCTTTTACAGGCCACTGAGGACTCCGAGCTGGTGAGGAGGCGTGGGCGCTGGGTATCTCATAAAGTGATGGAGGTGTACCTCCAGGAAGTTGCTTCCTCTACTTTCATTGCGGACTTGGACCCCAGCTGCCGTGACAAGGTCCTCTTCATGGCCCAGTCCTACCCCTTCATTTTGGGAAAGGCCAAACAATGGGTTGCAAGCAAGGTGCCATGCTCTGCCTGGTACCACCTCTGGCCATAGGCTCTACCGTGCGCAGTTTTTGGTGGGAACGGGTCGATGTACATTCCGGCCGGACTCTCACCTGCAGCTTGGCTCTTCGCTGTCAGCTGCGCACGGATAGATGCAGGCGGTGGAAGAAAAGTGGTGTGCGAACTTCTGACCACTAGAAGTGAGCATTTGAACGTTCGTCGCAAGATCTTTGGCTTCCCACCCGCCCACCCATGGTACAGACGGTCTTTTCTTTCTGGTGAGTGGGTCGATGTACATTCCGGCCGGACTCTCACCTGCAGCTTGGCTCTTCGCTGTCAGCTGCGCACGGATAGATGCAGGCGGTGGAAGAAAAGTGGTGTGCGAACTTCTATCTAATTACGGTGGTGGGTGCGCTAAACCTTAATCGGAACCTTGCATTTCTTCGACTTTCTGCGTTAGGCTCTGTTGCTAACCATACTTGCCACCGAGAAGACAGCCAAGACTTGTGGGTTTGTTTTGCGGTTTTGCGTTGCAGCTCAGAGTTTAAGTGTCAGGGTTGGTGGTTCCCACCTTGGTGACTCGCGGTTGGGTTGCCGGTTGAAAGCTTACACGTGGAGGTTCCGGACACAAGCAGGTTCCAACTAAGCTAAAGGACACCAAAACGCCGAGAGTGTCGGACACAGTATGGACAGTATGACTCCAGAGAACCTGGTAGACACTCTACATAACCCAGCACACCTTATGGAAGCCAGAGGAGCATCCCTGGACAAGCAGGCCATGTAATGAAATGCTGCTACACGTTGCAACCCTTGAACCCCAGGGCCCGCCCCTCTCAGGAAGCCAAAGTTGCCGAGCATGCCTCCACCCGGAGTGACTCGGTTCTGCAGGGCTGATGCCAAATGCGCGGAGTTAGTTCTCGTCTGTTACGGATTTGGCATCTTGAGGGCTCACGGTTTTGGGGTTCTTAGGCCCTGACACTTAGCCGCAAAAGCTGTCATCTCGCGGTTGAGAGGAAGGTCTTCAGTCCGTGTCTGACTTCGTAGCTACTTTCATCGGTTGCGGAGACGAATCGAACAGAGTTGTCGCCTAACACATCGCGGCTCCGTAGAGCATTGCTCAGACTAGCCTCGGGAATCTACGTGCTTGAGAAGCCAGATCTCGGCCATCTGATGTCGCTACTGTAAGAGAACCAGCCTTCGCAGGCTGTCTGCTGTCGTTCTTTAGGGGACACTGAGACGGAATCATGCGAACCGCAAGAGGTTCTGTTTTCGGCTTTCGGCCTGCCCCAACCTCAGGCAGCCAAGGTCACTCAAAACATTGCAGTAGGATGCTCTTTCCCGAAGCGGCTTGAGCTTCAAACGCGAAATTCTAAATTGCTGTCGCAAACAATCCTCGGTCGGTACCAAGCCCGCAACTGGCCCACAGGAGGAAACATTCAGCCTAGACGGCCTGGGGCCCAGACTGTCACTGCCCAGGGACGACCGCCTGTTCCCAACAAATGGGCCGCTCTCAACGAGGACAGGGCTTGCGAGGGGCAAGATGTGCCTGTCCCGAACACGTTAGGTACTTGTAGCAACCGAGGCCCGAAGCGGTGCCGTGTGATGAGTGACGGTGTTTGTGTTGGTGGCGGCGGCGGCGGCGGCGGCGGCGGTGGTGGTGTTGCTGCTGCTGCTGTTGCTACTGCTGATGGGGTTACGGTGATGGTCATCAGGCCGTTCGCGTTTTCGATGCGAGCAATGTCATGAGGGCTACTATCGTAGTCGTCAGCACGATAATCATGATGCTGTTGTAGATGGTGATGCTGACACTGATGACGATCATTGTGATGCAGATACTGGTCCTGCCGATGCTGTTTATGTTGGTCATGATAATGATGACGATGATGATGATGATGATGACGGCATGGGTGAAAACGTCCCAAGCAAGACCAAGCATCATGTCGGAAGTCTGCGCACAAGATGGCCATGGTGTTAATCCCGCTGGTGATGTTGATGTGGAGATTGAGCAGATGGCGATGATGATGTCAATCACGGTGGCAATAGTAAGTCTTGACGAAGAAGAAGATGATGATGCTGATGACGATGGTGACGACCATGACGGTGATGATGATGACGAAGATGATGCTGATGATGATGATGATGACGATGACGGTGATGGTTGCACTACAAACAATGGTGCAACATTGCCCGAGGACGAGGATGACGACGAAGAGCCGCATGGGACTCTGAGTGTACTCTCCGCCTGCTGTTTATGAGGGGGCTGTGCAGTCGTGTAGTTGGCTTTTGAGAGTTGGAGTTTGGGTTTTATTAGGCCCACAAGCTGTAAACCTGGAGCCCAACTCAAATCCCACCAGGTTTAGGTAGCCGACCAGGTTTAGGGTTTGCTTTTTGGGATTTAAATTCATGCTTCGGTGACAAGCTGGGGAAGTTGAAGGTGTGAGGTTTGACCCATGAGAAGGACAGCAGCGGCAGGGCCAAATCCTGAAAACCCCGAGCTCAAGGACCCCGAAAACACTTCGGACGAATGCACTGAGGCCGCCAGCCACCGAAAAGGACCGGGCAGTCCGGAAGGATTCGCATAGGTTTGGGCCTATGGCCTAGGGCTTTTGGTTTGGGACTTATGGTTTGGGCCGCATCCGAACCCTAAGCCGAAGCCCGAAGCTCCACCGGGTTTGAAGAAGTTACAGGCTTGGGAGAGTCGAATTCGAACTCTCGTTGCATGAGGCTCTTGAGGGCTTCGGATGTTCATTGGGGTTTCCGAAGCATAAAGCTAAACCCCGGCTTTGAAGCCGCCCCTTGCAGTACTCAGGTCGACTCGAGGTTTGTACGGCATGTGAGGTGTTTTCTGATATTTCGGCTTTGGGGAGGTCTTCTGCGGAGTTTCTATGCACATCTTTGGCACAGCAAGTTGTGTTGCAACGGCTGTTCCAATTCATTGCTCTTAAACTAAACACGGCTTAGGTCATAAACGGAGAGGCTGTCGCTGGCTGATCTTGTTGTGATGTTGATTTAGGCTGCATCCTCGTTTCTCCCGCGATTTCTTCAAGCTCCAAATTCCTGGAATCTTCCCATCCCAACAAACAGCTCATGGCCGCCAACATTCAAAAGACACAGAACTTATAGTATCAATCACAGCCACGATTCAAAGAGGCAGCCAGCCGTAAGAGTAAGGCCGGCAATTTCACCCCTTGAAATCCGAACATGATGTATACTATAATCTGTCGCACAACCCTATTCTAATTACGAAGGCTTCTACACCTTAAATAGCAATCCTTAAAAGTAACCCTCAAGTGAACCGTGCGTATTGTCTCAAACCTGCGAACTTCCGCATGCCAAGTAGACGCAAGCCCTAGATCCAAGCCGCACCCCGAAGTTTAGTATGGAAGCTCCAAGGTATGAACGCTCAAAGGTTTGGGAAGACGGGATGCAGGTTGCTCTGCGTGTGGTGTTTGGCTCCTCCTTGGCTTTAGTTTTTGGTTTTAGACTTTGGTGTTCAGGGTTTCCGAAGCAAAGCTTCATGTCGAATATCCGAGAGCAACCATGTGGAACGTTAATTCGAACACCTGCACACAAAGCGTACGAAGCCGTCTTGAAATCGGAGGAGACCAGCGGCGGATGGACTGATGAGGAGTGGCGCGAATGGAAAAAACAGCCGCATGGAAAGCATTACTTCATTGTCATGTAGGGCCTATGGGAGTTGTTTTTCGCAGTGCAACGACGAGACACAACCGGCTTCGAGTCAGGGTTTTTGCTTCGCTGTACCCTGCCAGGTCTTAGATCGCGGCAAATTAGACTTGTGAAAGCTTCAGTTGGTCTGAGCCTTGAGTAGGGGTTTGTGTATCAGACACAGAAGACTGGGATAATCGTGTCTGTCGTGCTTCATCATTCAGAAACTTGGGGGGGCTTCGGTTCACCTGCAAATTCTCCGACTTGTCCGTCAGGCCGTGGAAGGACAAGCATTGGAAGGATGAGAAGTGGCAGGACTCGGGAACGCTTTCGCTTTTGAACAACGTAGGTCAGGATCCAAGGTCTAGTTGCTCAGCACCGAACACCAAAAACCAAACCGCAGGTTTATCACACCAACAATGCTAAAACCCTCACGAGAGCATTCTACACTGCACCTCGGAGACAGTGCCCAACATTGACTCTCTTCTTCGGATTTGCCGACCTCCCAACACCCAAGCTCTGCATCTCAGCCTCATGCACTGCCGGTTTCGGCCTGGTTTTACAGCAGGCCGCGGTGTTGGGACACCGAGGTGCCGGAGTTCGGCGCTGCTGAAACGACATACATACTCCGAAGCCTCGCCAACCGCAGAGTAAACTCCTTAGTCACTAGCCTGGTGCAAGGCCAGCTTACGATCCAAAAAGTATGGGTTCAAGACATCCGACCGCAAATCAGGTTACTCTCGTTTACTGCCCCTGCATCGCGATTAAGTACGCGGGCCTTGAAGGGGACCGCCCAGATGCATCCAGGACGATGACTGGAAGACTTCTTCTTCCTGGAAGGCTCGCCGGCAAATGGTCCTTATGCCCCTATCCCCCACAGGCTAGGCTTGAAGTTTGTGTGCCCCGCCGTTCGACCCAACGTCCATCCCAAAAGCTCTGAAACCCTGCGAACCCTCAGTTCGAAAGCCCGCCTAATCCCGAACTCATAAACGTGAAACCTCGAGTAAACCCTGAACACAAAGATCCCAAAGGGTCCCAAACCCGAAACTCCCTACAACCCCCAAGCCTTTATAAACACCTCGAAGCTCAGCACGCGAAAGGAGAAGTGGTGGGAAAAGGATTGGGGTCGCGGGATACCCAGCAGCCTCGAATTTCGCTTGGCTGTAGATAGAGATTACGGTACAGGCTTTGCAGGTTGAGGGTTTAGGGTACAGGGTTTTGGGGCTCAGAGCGTCGGGTTTCGGATGTTGAGAAAAAGCTTTCTGGATTCTTGGTTGGTTCTTCTGTGCGCTGCTGGTTTCAGGGATAATGATAATCTTCAGTCTAAGCGATAGGACATGCAGCGTGGATTGACGCTGGATTCAGAAAGAGTTCACAACTTCTTGCGGAGCTTCATGCAATCATCCCTGCTGCTGTAGGTAATTCTAAATGGCGAAAGGACCGGAAGGGGTCGAACAAAGATAAAGTCATTTGTGGCGTTGTGGAGCCGTGGCAAGATGTATCTGCACTTGAGCCGCTTGAAAAACTCCTTTGTTTAGAACTCTTATATTCCGGCTTCATGCCAGGCATCGATTCTAAAAGCACATCCTGCACGGCGGAACACAATCTGAACGACCTAAGCCGTCGACCACGATCAAGCCCGACAGCCCGACAGTCAGAGCCGCACGCACCCACAACCAGACCCACAGAGCCTTGCGTTTTACAATGTAGGGCGGCCCAGTCTCGGAAGATTGCCTGTATCATCAACCTCGAATTCGAATCCTCAAGTGTCGCTAATTCTTCGCTCCAAACTCTGAAGCAGCTAAAGGACAGGAATGAGGAGTACCTGTGGTGGTCGTTGTATCACCATCATCAACATCATCATCATCACCACTATCATCACTCCGAGGCCTTTGTCGTGCTGGTGGCAGTGGTGGTAATTGAATGATCTTCGATATTCTGTTTTGAAGGCTTGACATACCTGGATTCTGCAACCGGCCTAGAACACGTCGTTCATAGTGTTCATGAGGAAGTGTGTGCACCAACCAATCTTCCGATCAATCTAACTATCCATTTGTCCAACCTCTAGCTCTTGGTATGCATCTATATAAATGCACACACATATCACTATACAGGCTCTCCATACTTTCGCCGATTTCTGCGCAAATGCATGGTTTAACTTGGTCGGTGTAGGAAATATGTCAAGCCCTTCTCCGATATATTGGCACGAATGATAGAATCCGTGGCTGCTCCCACCAGGTGGGGAAGACGAAGAGGCACATTGATGCGAACCTGGGTATGTCGTTTGTGGTATGTAATACAGTACGTACATATTCAAGGCGTGCTGTGCACCACGACAGCATTCAACAGCCCAAGCAACTGGAACAGTATTTACAAATCATGCCCCTTGTACCCCGAGATTCCGAAAGAACAACTGAAGAGAACGTGGTGTCACGGATTGCAGAAAGGTTCTCCCGCATAGATACTGCGTAGATATATCGGTGAGTTTTGAGAGGGTTTCAGACGTTTTGGGGTCTTGGGTTGAAGATGAAGGAACAGTTGAGATCGGTTTCAGCTGGAACTTCAGAATCCTGACTGGCATCAATTTTGGACCAAAACCTATGACATGCTTGCTTAGGTCCTTCTCACTCTAAGCCGGAACAGCGCCCACTAGAGCACGGTTGCGGCGTTGCTGCACCCCCCAAAACCGAGCCTGAATTCATGACTACAGTTGAGCCTAAAGCCTAAAATGCCCGCACTCCGAACGGTAAGCCTTGGAGCCTTAGAATCTTAGAGGACTTTGTAGGAGCTTCACACAATACCTCTGTCTTGTTTTGCTGTACGGTTTTCTGGTGTGCTATACCGGCTATACCCATAGGTCTGCGCTAAGTAAGCTTTATGGAGCCTTGAAAGGCCAAGCAAGGACCCTTTATAGGGGCACGAAAACCCTCTTAAGCAAGCCTTTAAAACATGCGTGGTGGGCCCCTTCCAGCCCTAAACACATGCGCCCTTGTCTTGTCCCAAACCCCGCCTAAGTCCCCCAGAGCTCGCCAGGACGGATCCGGCTCGGGCACAAGGCGCTGGAGCGATGCGAAGGAGAAAGGCAAAGGCTCCGTCTACAAACAAGCATTATGTCATGTATTGCCATTGATTGGGATTTGGGTCGTGGTGGTTTGGGGTGTAGAGTGGTTGTGGGTGTCGATAGTACTAGTCCTTGAAGTTTACGCGAGAAAATGAGTACGCTGCTTGACTGGGAGCTTGAGGGGTTTAGGTTGTTCCGGATTGAGGAATCTCCGCCATACGTGTGTTCAGGTGTTTGATTTGGGAGTCCTTTGGGCCGTTTGGGAGGCCTCAATTCGGGGCGCTGGGGTGCGCCCCCCCTGACGGGATCCACCCTGCCTCAAGCTCAAATCCAGGCACTAACACTTCAACATTTCTGCTCCAGGTTGATTCCCGTACGCCTCGTGATAAGTGTTTGGGGCTAATCCTGGAACGATGGCACCTCCTTGTTGTGCACAAATCTCTTCGCCGAGCAACTGCGCGAAGGCGGCACGAATGGTCGCTGGGAGTGGCAGGAGGCCAGGCTACAGCCGTAGCATTGGCAGTAGCCCCCCGATGCCCTAAATCCAATGCCTCGCCACCCCAGGACGACTCACCAGAGCGATGTGGCGACACATGGGAGCATTCTCGCGAGGAGAACGGTTTTGGAAGTGATTTTAAAGAAGTACGGGTTCAGGGTTGAAAGGTTGTTTAGACTCTATGTGGAACTGCCCCGCGCGAGGGTTCTACAAATGTTGTTTAGGTGTGCTTGAGGCCGAGGTTTATAGGCGTTGTGGCTGAGGGCTTCGAGTTCTTTCCGTGGCTGCATGAGGTCTGGACAGGTGCATATTCATGATTCCGCTTACTCGGTGTCATTGATAATGGAAGTCCGAACAATCGCGACCATCGTACTGGTTGTTGCAGTCGTCGTCACCGACATCGTCGCCGCAGCCATCACCAACATGCTCGTTCCCACCATCTTGACCACCAGTGTATCCATCACCCGTGCCATCTGTGTTTGCCATAGTCAGCCTTCCTCATGTCCACCAACATCGTACAAGCTGCCATTGTCGTCATCGCTCCAATCCTTGAAACTCGTGCTAGTGAGACTGTTGACCAAGTCTCGAACAACTAGCAACATGCTTGAAAATGGACCCAAGTCTTCAACACACGGAAACCTTTTTTCAGGCCAATCAACCCGGCGCCACACCTTGAAGTCAGGAGACAGGCCTCCAGCTGATTGGTGAGATCGCACCGGAAGATGCAGGTTGGAAACCCTGAGCCTTAAAATCGAAGCCATTCGGGAAACGACTGTTGCCACACCCAAGATCAGGCTGGTCTTTTTGATGTCTGGCTTTGCAAGGCTAACTGGCTTTACTAACGCCTTCTTGGTCTCTTGGTAGTCAAGATGACAAACGAGCACTTGGCGATGTTGACATGTAAGGCTACTCTCCGGAATACCAAAGCTGAAGCTGGCTTGCATTCGATATAGCAGCTAAGCAGGAACGTCGAGCAGTACTCAATTTGCAATGCAAGCCCCTTCGTCATGTACTAGTGAAGTAAGGTCTTTGCTTTGCAACGTTTGGACGACATGCGCTTGCAGAGGGCACGGGGGGCAAGCTTGCCCCTCCAATAAAATGCGCTGACTAACCAACAAACTCTGGCCTAGAATTCTTCAGGCTCCCAAGCCCTAACTTGGTCAGAATGGGAGTACATCCTCCTGGATGAATCGCGTCGCTCCTACGCGGCCTTCCTGCCGTCACTCGCCCGCAGGGCTCGGTTACGGTTTGGGGTCAGAGTTTGCAGGTTTCGTGCTCTGCAAGGCCTTCTGGAATTTTAGATCGTTCGCAGGGCTTTGCGGCCATGATCTGAGCAAGGCTTGAGGCCATGAAGGGACCCGGAAGCCTTCTCGCATATGCCCCGTGAGTAATCGCACCTGCAAACTTCCGGGTACCTGCCGACCTCGATATGGGCTCATGACTTCAGCTCCGCGGGATCTTGTGCAAGGCTTTGAGTTTCGGTTTGGGTTATCACGTCTACAGAGTTGACATATCCACGCACGTTCGTTTATGCAAATTTTGTGTATAGCCCAAAGCAAACCTCAAAAATAAATCCTAACGTTCGAGCAAGTCCCTTCATCTGGCTGCCTAGGTGCCCCTTCGATGAAGCTCAATGCGCAAGCTTCTTCCAAAGAGTGAAGGACGGGAGCTCGTTTGCAGAATAGAGTACTAAAGGCCGTGCAAGGTCCGCAGTATCAGCCGCAGTAAGACGAATCAGAAGTAGAGCTAAGATTCTTTACGACAAGCTGAGCAAGGGCAAGAATCATGACCGGTTGAAATTAGCAGGAAATTTCCTCTTCCTCAAAATGGTCTTAATAGCAGTGGGAACTGTGATTGCCGTATCCTGTCGACCAATTGGTTTGCGTGTTTGGGTTCAGGGCGCGCCAGCCATGCAGTAGGTTAAGGACTTCGGATACAATTTCAGATTCAGCTTGAGATGCGAAAAGCTAAGCAGTGATAAAATATGTGCAAGCCCGAACCCAGCAACTCTGTGGTGTATGACTTGATCAGCGGCGGGAGGGTTTCTCCATGTCTGATAAAGAGACAGGAGACGCCCGTTTGATCAGAATCTTGCGGTTTAATCATGAGGGTCTGGAGTTCTTACTCTCGCTAGCAAACTAACCAAAGCCCTTTCACTGTTATTTCGTGCGCTAAGCGAATCACTTTTCGTCTTATCAAGAGACGGAGAAGTTGTCATGCTGCGTAGAGGAGCTTCCGTAGGGTTGGTGAGGGATGAAGGAGCTTCTTCGTGTCTCTTCGACAACGTAGCGACAGATATTGTAGCTCATGTTGAAGAAGACAGCACCCCGACTAGTGCTTGAAAAAGAGATAAGGGAGCATTCTTGTTTTTTCAGCGAGGGGACAGGGGTTTTCATGCTTCTTATGGACAAGTGCCTGAGGTCTCATAATCTGACCTTCTCATTTACAAACGCCTTCCTAGCTTCCTTCTCAAACATGGGACACAGAGGGCCTAAAGCTCTTGTGTGTCAAGAGATAGATGAGGTCTGCTGTTTCATGTTCTGAGAAACAGGGTTATTGCGGCCAGTTTCGTTACCCTCGATCTATGCACCTCATCAGACAAGAGCATATTCGTTAAGAAGATCAGTTGTGTTGAAAAGAGAAGTATGGAAGTGCTCCCGCTTTGTCCATCAGAAGATACGATGTTTCTTATTATCAGCGTGTTTAGAGAGTGTGAGCCGCAACCCCATGACCCTCGCAGCTGAGCTCTGACGCTCGGCAGGAAGGAACGGAGTGGAAGCAACCCGAGAACGTTTTCGGAAAGCTGGTCCCGCGACAGACGGCAGCCTGGCATGAGAAGATTAAGCTTTGCGGACTTCGGCTAGCAAATGATACAGAGGTGGCTCTCCAGCAGGATTTCCTGTCAGCTGAACTTTGTTATGGGTGTTTCCTTCTAAAGAAGCACCGACAGCATCCTCAGGACGGATTTCAACATGGGTGACAGGGCGACAGTTCAGTCCGTGGGGTTGAGGGCTTTGGGCCAGTTTTGACCATGAGTTGAAGGTTACGGTTTCTTTTGAGAGGGCGTGTTAGCTAGGATCCAGGATAATTCTCAGACTTCGGAGCCTGCTTCTGGCTAGTTTCGAGTGCACAGGATTATCCTGCTCCTGAGAGGGGACCCGTGTTTGTGATCTTGTTTCTGCATGGCTTGGCACATCCAGTTCTTGCATGGCTCGAGGCCTTAATCTGAAAACGGGCTAAACCCAACCCCTAATCTCTGATACAGGAAACTTGAAAGGTCCAAGCCTCCATGGGCTTGGGAGGTGCACGGACGTCAAGACAGGAATGAGTGTGAGTAGTGGGAACACAAGCCTTGTTCTCAGGCTTGGATGACGAAGAGAGGCCGGACCGCATTTAGAGGATCTCGGGTTCAGTTAGTCTGAGAGTTTTCCGAGAGAGGTTCCCCTAAACACCAAATGCCACCCCCTGCTTAGGAACATCCGAGATGCAACTTCGGCTGGTGTTGGCCTTTTATTGTTTGTCATGCAGCCAGTAAGTGTCATTTCACCTCTCTAAAGCAAGTTCGAATCTCTAAGAAAACAGCAGACAGTCCGTCGGCCAACCCCTGCCTCTTCCAACTCCCGGAAGCCTTATGGCCTGAAACCCCCTGCAGCCCCCCTGTAAACCTAGACCCTCTGAACCCTGAACCCTCAATTGTAAAACACAGATACCCTCGATTGTAAGCCCTAGACAGCCTAGACCCTAAACTGTAAACCATAAACCCGCCACCTCCGTGGAGAGGCTGCAAGTGCACCTACCGCTACGGAGGCATCGAGGTCGAAGCCCAGGAGTTTCCTCCGCAGCTCGGTCTGCGTGTAGGATTCCCGTTGTCGGCTCTTACGGCGTTATGGTTCAGGGTCTGGGCTTTTTTGTTTTTTTTGCGGTGTCAGGGTTTGGGCTATGGCTCTTGGGTTCGTTCCAGTGGTTGTCCTAGCTTTATTGAATTCATGAAAGCCACCTGTGGGGAGGTTCGAGAGGCGTGCGGGCTGGGCTTGCAAGCTTTCTTCAACAGGAGGTGTCGATGAAGCGTAGGGCTCGAAACCACACGGCTTGTATCGTAGTCTAAACTGAGTCTAAACACCATCCTAGGCAAGCCAGAGCATGTGGACCTTGAGCAGTCAGCCCTCAAAGCCTAGACTCTCACACCAAAAATGGGAAGCACAGTTCACACCTTCGGGTCGCGCAAGGTTCATGATGGAGCTCCTACGAGCTTCCATGTGCCTGGGAGTGCTCAATGTTCAGAGGTTCAGGAGTTTTCATCCAGGAGGTAAGTTACTTGAGGCTTGCTTTATGTTTTGGGTGCTTTGCTGTGCGTCAAGGATTTGCCCCAGTTTGACAGGGCATTCCGTTGCGGATTGATTGGCTTCGAGTTGCTAAGTTGTGCAAAGAACCCTGGCCCGTGCTACACTTACCATCGAAGGGTGCTCGAGGCTTTGTGTGACACATGACATGAGTTTGTGCTATCGTTTTTGAATGGCTAATGGGCTAGTGCAGTCGCTGTTAGTTTGTTTCTGGCGGTTGCGGGATCGAGAAGCCCTTCCGACCCGACAAGCTAGGAGGAAAAGAACCCGCACAAACCCTAACGGTGAAACCCACAAGCGCAACCGCAAAGTGCCGAAATCCAAACCCTTCACAGTAAATTCCTGGTATGGAAAATCCAGCATCCTGAAAGACAAAGCCCCTCTACATTCCCGCCCCTAGTTACCAGCTGCCTCTAGAACCAGCTGGGCTTCTGGGACTTTTTCTTTGCTCGGGTTTTGTGTCTTTGGTGCAAATGCCCGCATGCCTCATGAGGCACTACTGCGGCATCACCAACGAAAGAGACTGGCCTGACTCCTGCAATCTCAACTACTACGAGGTGGAACTTCAGGGTCTAGCGGTGTGGGCATGTCCCACTTCCAGGATTGTGGGTTCGGTTAGCGGTTTGGGGGATATCTCCGGATTGAGAGGCTTCTTCGGACGAAGATGAACTTGTAAAACTCGTGGAAACCGCGCAGCGTATATATGTCACATCAAATGCATGGTCCTGCATTGTTTTTAGAGATTTCGGGTGCTGTGGGGTTGTAGAAAATAGGAGTTTTGCAGTATATGTTTCCATCGGCTGTGCTCCTAAGCGTGGGATGATTGAGTCAGTCAGATTTAGTCAGGATTACGCCTTCTGGTTTGCGTGGATGGCAGCAGATTGTCGTTTCGGGACATGACAGCGCATACTAGACGAAAGCTCCGGGTCAAAGCGGTAGGTAAAGCGAAAGCCAACCTGAACCACAAACTCTCTTAGCCTATAACCCTAGACATCATGCAGGCGAACCCAGAACCGGAAATCTTAATCCTAAACCATACAGTCCAGTACCCGATACCTGAAGGCACGTACGTTAACTTTACTCATCCGAGGACCTTCAGCTAGTGACACCGAAATCGCGGTGCCAGGGCTTTGGAATATATAGACCGCTGCCCACTGCAGACTTTCCCTGGCTCCGAGGCATGCTTAACCCTCCTCAACCCTGCCCTTCTCAAAGGACGGTGGAGCTTCCGTCGGCTGGCACGCAGACGACGAGTCTCTCTTCCAAGGGAAGCACCAGGATATCCGCGACCTGGAGAAGTTTAGTTCAAGGGTTTATTGCTGCTCCAAGCAGATTAGGGTTCAGATTAAGATCGTTTTGCACTACGTGCTATTGCAGATTCATTGCGGACGGTTGAGGATCCTTTCATAGGTTTCAACTTATCCGAGATAACAGATGCATAAGCTGCAACCTGAGGAGGCCCCAAGCCAGCTCCGAGACACTACTGTATAGTGTCAATCCTGAACCCTGAAACGCCCCACACCTTGAAAAGCTAAACCATCGATTCTGGATTTTGTTATAGAGAGTCGAGTATCCAGATTTCGAGTTTTCGCGGTTTCAAGATTCAGACTGTGAGTTCAGCTTTTGGCGCTCAGCTTTGTTTGCACACCTATCAGAAACTCACGACCAACATTAACCCTGCAAGACTTTCGCAAAGGTGACGACCTCATAGAATGTCGTACAACCTGAACAGACTGACTGGGCTGCCAGTCCGTGTACGAAACCCCGCAAAGCATCCCAAGGCATCGTTTCACTCTCCTTTGGGCAATCCCGGACCTTTGAGCTCCGCAGGAACTGGCCAGAGGCATTTGGGGTTTCAGCGGTAATGGTGATTCTCCAACCAAGGGGCATCAAGGCTTTGAAACCCATAGAATGTGTTTATAGGTTCGTGTCCTGAGGGCTGTAAGGATTGCTCCCGAAAGGGTTCCGAGGTTGCGGATGTGAAGGGCTTCGGGCTTGCTGGTTAAGGGTGCTTAAGGATTAAGAGATGAGTTTTTTCCGAAAGCATTGCAAAGTTTTTTTCCGTGGAGATGGTTTGGATGTGATGTGATGATGTTGATGTGATGATGATGTTGACGTGTGTTCTCCTGGACCGTCGTGAGGTTGCATGGTATTGCGGAGGTTTGCCCTTAGGTTGGCGTAAGCTTGGTTGGCTTTGAGGTGGTTGTGAGGTGGTCTGGCCCCTTACCTCTTCATCTCGCTTAAATGTGAGGATCCTTTATCTAGCGGGATTTGCCGTCCAACGTTTTTTGTCGCTGCTCGTGTGGTCCCGGTGTTGCGTTAATCTGTCATGCGAAATGACGTTGCGCATGTGGTGCCGTGATTACTCGCCTCTCGGTGGATGGAGCGTGTCCGAGCCTTTCGGGAAGTGCGATCCGACGTAATGTCCAATTCATTGACTTGGCTTGATTGCTTGATGTTGGTTTGAAAATGACAACCTCTTGGTAGACCCAGCGTGTCCGGGCGCTGCGCAAGTAGCGCTCCGTTGAATTCGGCTCGACATGGCTGAATTCCGGTCGCCCTTGGGGGCAGCATGTTGGTCAGGTATGTGAAAACCGCTGGTACATGGCAGGATGCATGTTGGCCGTGCTCTGAAACTCACCAGTACTTCGGAAGCACTGTGGTCATGTCTGTGAGTTCCGACAGTACATGTGGAGAAGCGAGAAGGGCTTAATAGAAAGGTATAGACAGATATGACATGATTTATAGAGGGGTCCATAGAAGGGGTGTTTTCAGAAAGGCAGGCTTTGCAGAAGCATTCTTTGACGAGTTTATCGAAGTTGTTGGATGGACGGACGGACGGACGGCCGGGCGGATGGACGGACGGATGGATGCATGCATGCGATGGAGGGATGGATGGAGGGATGAATGAATGGAGAAAGAATGGACGGACGAGATGATGTTAGGTTGTACCACACGCTTTCGGGACACTCACTCTCTAGTTCTTTGCCCAAGTTCCTCGACGCAGACTGTAGTTATTAAGACGTTTGGAGACACTTAGCTTGTTGGGTGCTTTCCTTGCTGCTAGCTGCAACGATGGAGCACGTCGTTACAGTTGATGCTCTCTTTGCCTGCGGTCCCGTGATTTGACATGTATGGTCGTTGCAAAACGCCGCAAACAGAAATTCAGACTTGTAATGACATGAGATCTAAGAATCGGGGAGGGAGCAGTTTCAGATTGGAAAAAATGAAGTCGACAACTCATGATTAAACCTTACCTTGTACCCCCCACATATGTCCTCTTCAGCATTCGTCGCTGTAGTGGTACGAAAAAGAAGAAGTAGCAATAGTAGCAGCGGCAGTAGAAGTGGTAGTGGTGGTGGTGGTGGCAGTAGCAGCAGTAGGAGAGGAGCAGAAGTAGGAGTAGGAGTAGGGGCAAGGATAGGAATAGGCGAAGGCGTAGGCGTAGGCGTAGGCGTAGGCGTAGGCGTAGGAGTAGGAGTAGGAGTAGTAGTAGTAGTAGCAGTAGTAGTAGCAGTAGCAGCAGCAGCAGCAGCAGCAGCAGCAGCAGAAGCAGTAGTAGTAGTAGTAGTAGTAGTAGTAGTAGTAGTAGTAGTAGTAGTAGTAGTAGTAGTAGTAGTAGTAGTAGTAGTAGTGGTAGCAGTGGTAGTAGTAGCAGCGGTAGTCGCAGTCGTAGTTGCAGTCGTAGTGATAGTAGTAGCAGGAAGTAGTCGTTGTCGCCGTCGTAGTAAGTAGCACTCGTAGCAGCAGTAGGTGTATTGACAGCATCATCATCAGCAGCAGTAGCAGAAGTAGCAGCAGCAGTAACAGCCAGTGCCATCTGTAGCAGCAACAACAGTAGCAGAAGCGGAATAAGAAACAATAGCCACGCAGTAACTTGCAGTGTACCAGGGCGATGAGCTGGGTGTGGAGAGGATCGTGCTACCAGATCTGCATTGAGAAGCAGAACCGACATGACGAGATTGTCTTTTGTAGTGTTGAGGATGGAATATGCCGACATGCCAACTCCAGTTTTGGCGTGCCCCAGGTGAAAGCTAGGTGGCAGGATAACAGTGAATAGTGTGGACGGCTTGTCTCCAAGAGCTTCAGCTTAGGCAGGCTTCCGAAGCTTCAGGAACTAGCATGTCGAGTGGTGGCGCTGCAAGCAAGGGGAATTCGCCACGCCTGGACTGAAGCAAATCTATAGGACGAAACGAATAGCAGCAACATGTCTCTGGTTCTACTGTCGTTTGTCCAACGAGAGAAGCTGCGGCAATACTATAGCATTCCTGCATGGACAGACGTACTGCAGCCAGCAATACCGATGTTAATCAGAGAGTCTACGGGCCTTGGACTCTCTACCAAAACCCTAGCCAGCTGCAAAACCTCAGGTCAGCAAACCCTTTCCAAATCCCTAACTTCAGCCCTATGTACCAACTCTAGACTCCAGACCAAGACTCCGTGTTGTGCAAGACCCTAGTCGTGTACTAGCCAGAAACCCCCCCCAATCCTGGTTGAAGCCCTCATCGATTCTAGATGCGAGACCTTTCCACGCCATGGAGAAACGAGTTGCTCCACACCCAAACCACTGCCCACCGAGGTTAAGCAATGGCGACCTGATGACCATGGAAGGCCCGGCCGGTTATGGATTCAGGGTTGATTCAGGGTTCAGGATGATGGGTTCAGCAGTTCAGGGTCTAAGTTTGGGGTTGGGAATCTCGAGTATAGATGGAGCTTTCTGTTTGGGAAGGCTTGGGATGGTATGACCTTTTGAACGTCGGATTGGGCCGGCGATCAGGTCTAGTGTTCAGAGCTCCAGGGTTTGTGGACTTTGGGGCTTCTTGCTTCGGACCTTTCTGCCTCAACCTTTCTTCCCGGAGTCATTCGCAATGTTGGGAGTCCCCAACCTTCAACTCAATGGCCCTTACCCGACACGAAGCTTCCCACCCTAAGCCTCATTAACCCCATTCCTGAATCAGCTCATCTTGTTCGTGTTTCGGGTTGCGGACTCGGGGTGTAGCTTCAGCCCGGCACTGTATTGCCCTCGAGACCCTGCACCCTAAAGCCTATGCGACCCCACATCCAATTCTCTACAGCCCGAGGCCCTAGGCCCATTCAACACCACGGAGCACTAAATGCCTGATTCCCTAGACCCTGAAGCCCTAGCGCTCAACAGGCATGACGCAGAAGCACTTCCAGCACCGGGTGCCCAAAGAGCGCTGTGAAGGGCCGAGGATAAATCTCACGTGGTGCCTGGCCTCGAAATACTTAGCTTTCAGGGTCTGAGGATTGGGTGTTCAGATTCGGGTGATTAAGCTGTAGGACCCTAGGCAGGATTTGACCCGGCTTTTTTGATGTGATGCTCTTTGAGATATTGTCTCAAGGCTGAGGGCTGTGGGTTCATGTGCTTAAGCTGGGTTGAAAGTTTGGGGTTTTGTTTTTCCAGTTTGGTGTCGACGGTCTGGAGTCTGGGATGTATGGCCGGTTTAGTCAGGGAGGGTTCCCAAGCCCTTGTTTGGAGATATGCCTGGTTCGAGTCTGAGAAGGTTAGTCGTGATGTCACCAGCTGTTTGAATGGGTTGAGGCTTTGGAAGGCTTCACAGACATTGGCAGAAGGCTTTTTACAGGCGGATGGCAGGGTTCGGCACCTTTCGGATCCAGAATGTGCCTCTATGTCCTCCGGAGCTGGAGCTGTGCTTGGCCTATTGTTCGGCAGTATTTAAGGGGTGAATCCTCAGCGCTAGACCGCTAGACTATGTTCTTCAAGTCTCGTCTCACTCAGACTGACGGATCTTCCAGTTTGAGTTCTTCCCTGAGGCATGCCTCCGAAGCAGCAGAACTAAGCCCAACACCCGTGAACTCCTAAGCCCACCAACCAACACCCTAGGAGATGGGTCCGCAAGCATCACCCCAAGTGTCCACTTGCTCGCAATCGGCGATAGGCCGGGGCGGGCCGGGGGGGGGATCAATCGGGGGGGGGGGCAGCCTTGGCCCGAAGCCCAAAACACCAGGCTCCACGGCAAAAAGACTCTGAAGCCCAAACAGTAACCCCAGGCACCTTGGTTTGAGGTGCACGATTTGTTTTAAAGGGTATGTCAGTTTCTGGTTTCAGAAAAGTGCATGCGTCTTTGGAAATTGGTGGTCTGGAACATGATTGAGGATTGCTGGCATGGGGCACGGGCAATGTGAATCTATGTACCGTTCATTCTCTTCGCTTCCTGGATAGAATGTTCACGCAAAGGACCACTGGAAACTATGTATTTACGTACAGTAGACGCCGGCTTTAAAAGACGAAAAGTGCTATTCGAATGAATCCTATAGCCAGAACAACCTTGAGGCCAAAACCCCTTTATTCCTAAATCCTATGGATATTGAATCCCCGAGCCGGTTGGACAGCCACACTCCTGGACGTGTGATTTTCAGAGTCCGCACAATCAAATAAACCCAGCACCTCACCCAAACACATTCTCCTAAGCCTGGAAGTGAAGAGGGGTTCAGGTTCTAAGAGCTAACCAGTAGATCATATGCGTAGGAAGACATGCCGTGATCTCTAAAAAAGGCACTTAGATGATTTTGGACGTCTGAACGAAGCCGCCTTCTGGAGGTGGCCAGGGCTCCTACGTGGCGGTGTGATGAGTTCCTGTCAGGCTACACTTCGGATACATACTGTTCTACAACCCCCAGTCCTGAGACCTACAACTCCAGTTGTCCTTGCTTGGAGTACCCTTACCGAGATCAGCATTGACGGGATCTCGTGCGACGAACTTGCCGATGTGCGGCGAGAGCTTGTTTAGATAAAAACATCGGCTGTCGCAGAGTTCGGGCCTCACAGAAGCAACCCGTAACTCCAAGTTAAAGATCCCGAACGCCTAAATTTCAAGCTCTAAGAGACCAGCTCAGAAAAAGCTTGTTCTACCCGGAAATTGAAGCTGCTAAACCTCGACCCCGGGCTGTTTCAAGCAGCTCGCGGGCGCCATAAACACGAAGCCCTGCGAATCCGAAGTTGAATCCTGAATACCAAAGGCATCAAGTCCAGACGTAAAGAGCCCTTACTCTGAAAGACATCCGTCTAGGAGGAGGGTTCCCGCTTCAGAGATGCGAGTGGAACAGTTCGGGGCGTCTAGGCTTCATCCTAGGGTATGGGTCCTTTGGGGTTGCTAGGATTTGAGATTCGCTGTTCGTGCTCAGTTTTGGGGTTTCGGATTTCAATCTGCCAGCTTCGGAGCTACTCATATGGCATCACGTCTTGGTAACGATGAGTTCGGGGCTTGTGTGTGTGTGTGTGTTGGCGAACCAAGGTGCCTACACGATTTCAACAGGGTTTTTGGGGCATGTGAAACTGCAGCTAGCTACAGTACTGGTTGTGAGGGATGGCACATCCCGAGTTCGAAGCAAAGCAGGGTAGCCGTAGCCGTGTTTGGGCTCCAGGGTTTGCGGCTTGAGAGCCAGTGTGTACTGCGATCCCTTAACCGAGGGTTTGTGGTTGAGGCATAGTATAGAGCTGTCTTGTTGCGGTCGAGACTGTCGTGATTTGAGAAGCATCCCTTTGTTTAATCCCTTGTTGAGAGTTGCACTGAGCAGGGTTTGGGGTTGTGGGTGCAGGGTTTACACTTGAGGGATATATTCAAGGTGTCGTAAGGGTTTCGTCCCGGAGAAGTTGCGGGAACCCTCCTGTTCAACTCTTTGAGACGTGGGTTCAAGTGCGCGCTCGGCACTGCTTCCGAGACTCTATGCATGTTGACAGTCCTGAGCTCCGAACCGTCAAGCCATATAATGAAGCCTGACTCCAAAAGCCTAAAGAGCCATCGCCCCAAAACCTCAACGTCCCGTCACCGCCACCCCGCAACCCTAAAATGTTAGAACTCTACACCGTAAAGGCCTAAACCCTTGCGCCGGAACCCCGAAGACAGAAAGCCGGACTCCCTGCAACCAACAGCCCTCAATAAATCACACAAACCCTAAACTGAGAGCCCATCTCTGCTGGGACGTCGACATAGACCCAAACCTGTACCACATGTCCTTAGCCACAAAGCATCACTGCCGAAGCACGCAGCGCCTTCCGACGTAGCAGATCGTGCTCGGCCCGTTTCGTCGGAAAACTGTGGTGCGAGCATGCATCAGTCAAGTGTTGGCATTTAACACGGCGATTCCAGTTGACGATCCTCTACAGGTCGAAATCATTAGCAGTATCGAAAAGGGGTCCACAGCGTAGAACCGCCCCATGTGGGGTTTGGGCTGCTTCATCTTGACCCTTGAAGGGTTTCAGTCTTGGGATTTGTTTGATTTCTCGTACATGAATTGTTTAGGGCTCATCGGCTATCTGCAGGCCAAGCCCGGACGGATCCATGGCTAGAGCAGTTAGACTGTAGGATGTCAGCCTGAAGCGAGAACACCTGAATCCCAGGAAACAGGGAGTTGGAGTAACAGTAGCCCGAATTACCTCCTAATGAAATTCCACGGATCCTTGCAGGCATTCGTCACTTCTAAGCTAGATCCGGAAACTCCTTGAAAGCCATAAACGTTTGCGCTTCAACGGGTACAGCTGGTCTAGAGTCTAGTGCAATGCTTAGGGCTTTGTTTAGGGGTACATGCTGGCAGCAAAGCACACAGCGTCATGTTGGGGGCTCAGATCTATGTTTAGGGTTGCCTCTTATCTCGCCAAGTTCTCGCAAACACATCGCAGGCTTCAAGCTTGACGGAGAATCGAGGATTGAGAGTTTAGAGGTTCCATTGCTGAGTCTTAGCCCTAAGCCCGGTCCTAAACACATTTAAGCCCTGCAAGCCCTAAACCCTGAATCAGAAAGCTGAGAGGGTCAAATGTCAAACGCCCCATGCACCGCCCCTCAGCACTGACCTGGGAGCCTAATGCTGGTGAATGGTTTGGGGCCTTTAGGTGTTTGGGTCTTAGGGCCGAGGATTCGATTCTTCCGAGCTTAGCCGAGCCATGGCCCTACCCTGGCTGTGCACCTGGCTGCTCCCCTTCCTGCTGGCAACAGCACCAGGGCTCCGCGCCTGTTAAATGCGTAAGGCCTCCTACGGGTTTGATTGCAGGCTTTGTGGTTAAAAAGGCTTTCGGGTCAGGGTATGGTTCATGGCCTCAGGCCTTCGGGTTCCGAGCTTCGACAAAGAGCAAGGATCTTAACAGGCTGCGGAGTCGAGCTTCATCCTTAATTACACACATCGCCGCCTCACTACGAAGGTTTAGGACTCAGGCCGTCGGACCGCGACATTTTGGGGTACTCTAGTAGCGTTGACGCTTTGTTTCCCATGCTGTAATCCGGCCAAGAACCTAAGATCACCCGGTAGTGTGCAATTCGAAGCCATGCGAAAATCCCGAACCTCAAGCCCGAAATTACTCAACCCAAGACGTTCTGCTGTTTTTGTTTTTGCTACTGACTTAAGTCCGGTTAGTGTACACCCAGCCGCCAGACCGTAAACCTTAAACTCTAAATCCTAAGCCTTTCCAATCTCGCGTTTCGTCTTCCAGGACAGCTGCCGATGTGGAGGATGCCCCAGAGGCCAAGTTGGGGTTATGTGGTCCTTATGGGTTGCGGATTCTGTTGAGTTGGGGGTTTGGGCTCCGGTGTTGGCTTTCTTGTGGGTTTGCGTTGAGTTTCTATTGGGTTCCTCTTGGGTTCTCTGGACACCTGGCATGGGGCATATTTTGATACAAGGGCTTGGAGTGGAGTGGTCAAGGTATTCTACCCGAAAACCTCCAACCACCTGCAAACCCCAGTCTTGAAATATACCCAAATCATGAAGGCTAGCCGCTGCGCGCTAGCGGAGTTGCCTGCCCAAATTGTTTGCTTCCAGCAGCGGTCTAAGGGGGGGGGCAATCGGAGCTCTCTGAGTGTTCGCAATTCAAGCGAGAAGCGAGGAGCCAATGATGCTGATGATTCTCGGTGTTTCGAGAGAGCCACAGAGGGGGCTTGTCAGGCTGCAGGGGTGCATCCCGGACATGTGCTCAATGCTGCGGCACGCTCTGGCTGAAGCAATGAACCCGTGACAGCAGCCAGCACGAGAGTTGCTCGCATCGTGGTTCCTCTAGTTCCGGCTTTGTGGCAACAGTGCAGTGCATCTTGCAGAAGCCATGATTGTCTTGCGATTCAACTCACCTTCGAACGGCCAGATGCCTCAACAAATTCGCCCAACATGCAGTTCATGAGTTTGTTGGTTCTTTGCCGGTGATTTCCCAACAAGTTGTTGCTGTACGTGCACTCAGATCCCAGCAGAGCGAGCAAGTCGTATCTGCGTTTTTGCTCCCTGCTGGCCACTCTCTGTGCATGAGCATGACATTCAGAGGTCGTTTGGTGCCGCTGCAGTAGCTGTCCTCCCCTTCCCCCACCCCCAAATCCGGAGTCACACTAGGTAAGCAAGGATTCTGACTTCGCAGGCCCGTGAAGCCACATAACGTTTCTGAACCTTGTCCTGCACACAACAGCATTTAAAGGCTTGCCGTTCCTGGGTATAGAAGATGCTTCTCGCAGCCCCACCGTGAAAAAGCTTCTTGTCCTGCAGTGTATGCCTGGCGCTCCAACGCAAACCCTAGACCGAAGTCCGAAAAGCTCTATAAGCGTGAGTCCCAATGCAAGTCCCCAGACCCAGAGTTCCGAACACGGCCAATCCTCAACCTCAAAGTTCAGACCCCAGGGAGGACCTGAACGACAGAACATTTAACAACAGTCTTTTTGGAACCCTTATGATGGTAGGATACCTGTTTTTTTTTTTTTTTTGGGGGGGGTCTGTTGCGTCGAACCTTAAAGGGGGGTCTGGGAACCCGAGCGCGTAAACTCTCCGGAGGCCTGCGCCGGGGCCGAAAGCCCAGAGCTTTCCTTGCGGCAGCTCAGGGCGAGGCCCGGCAGCGGGTTCTGTTGATCCAAAAGGTAGTTCGGGCTTTACGCAAAGAAGGCTGTGGGAGTTGTTCTTGTGTTGGGTTCGTTTGTAAGTTTGCGAGTCTTGGAGTTTTGCGATCTCATGTTTCATGATGTTGTGTAAATGATCTGGTGGCAACATGTTGGTGTTCAGGATTTAGGTTCTTGCGGTTCGGCGGGTTTGTTAGGGCTTGAGGCTTGCCTTGCTGGGTTTTGTTGAAGGCAGTTTAAGGTTTCTATACAGGGTTGCAGCTTTGGGCGTGTGGCCCAGGATGTGTTTCTTGTCTATGGAACCTGCCTCTGGGCTTAGTTGTTTGTGGACAAGCTTCCTTCTGCGAGTTTTTTTTGGTTGCTTCGTGCGTGGCCGTGGGCTTTAGCGGGGTCAAGGAGGGTGGCTTCGAATTAAATCGTTATGCAGGTGCCTGTGAGTTGGGGCATAAGGCTTGTTCAGAGGGCGGGATTCGTCTGGGAGTTGCGCTTGCACGGTTTGGCTCTCGGGGCTTTGGCTTCAGCAGCTCAGAGTGGTGGGTTAAGGCGGTTGAGCTTCGGAGTTCACGATTTGCGAAAGTCTGAACTTGAGAGTGGAGTGAACCTTAAGATGCTTCACCCTCAGCCAGAAACGATACACCGGATACCCTTCAGCTCAAATCCGAAACCCTACATGCCAAATTGCAGCTTCGGTTTTGGGGAACGTGGTTGCATCCTCCCTGGCATGCGGATTCGTCTGCTCTCATGATCGCTGCGCAGGTCTGCACACTCCACAGTTGAGATTCCAAGAAAAAGCAGCCTCGGAGGGTCTGCCATGCGGTGTCGCTACGCCTGCCAAAGCAAGCTTGCCAAGACCGTCTGCCGAGAAGGCGAAGGAGCTGGTGAGCACCTGACCAAACGTTTCATGAGATCCCCCTGGTCTGCTGTGGTTCGGTGCGCTACTAGCCGAGAAGAGATCAGGTGTTGGGGCTTAAGTTGGTTTTGCTGGGGCTCCGGGCTGTGAGCTTGGGCATTGCGGGCATCGGTGCTGAAGTTGTCCTCACCGACTAAACCTGAAAGCTTACAGGTTAATCTCGAGACAGTAAGTCTTGAAGAGTAAACTCGAAGTCGTGACGCAGCAACCAGCACCTCAGAGATCGAATCTAGGGCTTGCCGGAACCCACGTCCCAACTGAATCACATAGCAAACGCCGAACAGCTTCCGAAGTGCATAGCGAGAGTTTGCGGCGTAGGTTCTCCATGCAGAGAACCTTCCTCAAGATCAGCAACTTAAATTCAAACCGAGGGCCAAAGTAGCGGTCTGTAACACCTCAGCGATTGTGTGGCAGGCGACTGAACGGCACGGAGTCTGCCTCTGTGGATGGCTTCTTCAAGGACAGCACTAAGAAGGCCTAGGGTCTCATGCGCAGGAGTAATTTAGGCTTGTGGTAGTCGTGGTTGTGCCGTAAAGCTCGAGAAACCCGTGGTGCATCAAGATCCTCGAAGTCCCCATAAGATTGTCAGGGGTAGCTTCTCGGTCTGGACAATCCTCAACTCTGAAACTCTAAACCGGAGGACCTGAGCCCAGATGCTTGCATGAATCAGTCTGCGAGTTTTGTTTGAATAGGTGTTTCCTGTAGGATACAGTCAGAAACTTCAAGATCAGTTCACAATCATAAGAACATCAAGCGGGAGGAGAAGCTGAAATTTTAACAAATCCTACGAGTCATTAGCTGCATAAAAGAACCGCATGCCATGTCCCTCCATCCTATCACCAGAGCCGTTCTGAAACCTATGCCGACGAAAGCCGGGGGACTTTACAGCCCAGACTGCGAGGGTTGGGATGCGACACCCCTGGACAACACCAGCTCAAACCTGCAGTGATACGACCTGATCTGACAAACCCTTAACCCTTTACCCTAAACTCCCTATACCTTCCTTCACACTCACGAATGACCCCCTGCCTGAAAACCAAAGCCGAAACTCTGAAGGGATTCTGTTGCCTTTTCAACTTGTCAGTGCTAAGCAGGACGGCATGCGCTGCGCCAGCATCACGGCCCCGGACGCTGGCCTCAAGAGCATCATGCGCCAAAGCACAAACTCAGGCCTTCACACCTCAACCCTATACAAGTCCAAAACCTGTGACTTTTCCAAGCACCTAGTGACCGCGAAGCTGTGCATCCTATATTCACAGCTCACACACACACAGACCCACCTAATGTGTGCATATATATATATATATATGTATATCTATATATGTATATATCTGCACAAATATGTAGATGTATACACATATGTTTCATCTATCTATTTGCGAGGTTCCCCATACTACCGTGCGGCATGTCGTTTCAATCTCAGACAGCACAAGTCGAAGCCCGGCAGCTTCCTCAAATCCTTTTGTGATTTGACTTTTCGAAACCCAACGTCTGACAGTCTCCTGCGGTGTAAAAAGTTTGAGGATTAAAGGGGTCGCGTGTTTAGGGTTTGGAGCTTGGGGTGTTGGGCTTCAGCGTTGTGGTGTATGTGCTTGGGCATTTTTTCAAATACTGCCTGCCTGAAATGGTATGCCTTGGATAATTCTGTGGTTTGGACAGGTTTGTTGACAATGCTTCTCATTGATCACTCGTTTACGTATCTGATTTTGCATGTATGTATATATGCATATACATAGATAGATATCAACCTGTTCATATACAGGTTGGCCCTATACAAAGCAGACATTTCTTTGGCTGGATTCCCATCTGCTTCTTGCAAGATCGGGGGTTTGGCAAGGCCCAACAGTCAAGTTCAGTTTTGGTTGGGTTGCAATCAATAGTCGGAGTACTTCGGAACAAGGCCGTAGGCCAACTCGTAATCAGTGGATGCTTTCAATAACCATTAGCTGGTCCCAGATCCGGGATTTTGGGTTGTAAGTTTTCTCCCTTGTGTGGGGTTTACGTTTACTCACTCCACAGAAGCCTGAATCCCGAACCCACAGGAAGATTTTCCTCGTGACGGGGATAGTGCATGAAGCTGATACTTGACAAGAGAATGTATACCTCGCGATTTTTGCCAATACGGTCGCATGCAGGAATTTTTGAGAGGCACAACTCGCCAGATCCAGAGCCTGGCACCAGCGATCTGCACGATTAATCAGGATCTCGCGAAACCCACTTCAACCCAATGTTGCCTGACGAGTTGAGAGTCTACGTTTTCAGAATCAACAGGGTGGAGCAATTCTGCATCAACAGCGAAGCACTGAAATGGGTCAGGCACCAACCATTCTCAACATCAGCTCAGGAGTCTTGAGTGCGTAGTCAACAGTTTCTACTACGCTGAATTTACATCTAACTTGTCGAACCCCAAGATTATATATAGGTTTCAGTCAAAGGTCTTTCGTCGGCGAGTGATTGACCCCTTTCTCTGCCACATCCCAGGAGAACGAACTTTGCCGGGAGTCAGTGGAATGGGTGACACGGCCCATTAACTACAACTAAACGTGGGCTGCAGACTTTGTGGGTTTTCTCTTGCATGTTCGTGCATTGGTTGCCAACATATTGTGAGGATACTGCAGAGGTCTAGTTATTTCCATGTTCCATTCCACAAGAGACTTTTGATGAGGTTCCAGAGGCAAGGGACCTCCATAGCCATCTCAAGCCCTGAGCTCGAAGCCCCGAGCCCTTGACCTAACCGAACCCAAAGCGGACTTCCCAGGCCGGACAAACCCCGCAGTTACCCTAATGCCACAAGTCTCAGGCATTCGAGGTGGGCCTGAAAAAGCACCCAGGTGGACCATTGAAGCTGTCAGTCACACAGGGTTTGGGATTTTCCAAGATGGTATCGCGTCTTGAGCTCGCCTTGGGGTCTTCAGCTTAAAGCCAACGAAGTGGGATCTCAGGAAGTTCTGTGAGAGCGTCTGGAGGTGCGCCCACAGCTTTCGGAACTGTAGACTGTCTGGAGAAAGCTGATGGAGCAAACCGTCGAACACACGGGTGTTGCGACACGTTGTAAGTCTTTCGAGCCCTCACGGCAATGGAGCTTTAGACCCACCCCCAGCTTGAAGTAAGCATGCTTGTTGTGATGTTCCATTTGTTCCTAGCTTAGGTGAGCTGGTTGTTCTGCTTTGACTGTTCCGTTTATTTGAGGCTGAGGCCTCAAGCCTTATCAGGCTTGAAGGGTTTTCAGAGGCTTTAGGTTCATGGGTCATAAACGAGGGTTGAGGTTAGCCACGGCGTGAGTTCTATCAGTGTCGGCACAGATATGCACAGCCGGTTAGCATCATTCTAGCAAGACTCAGATCGGTGACTCACACCCGAGACCCTCAGCGCATTTCCACTCTGTGGGGCAGATTGGTACTTTGTGCCGCTGGGAACAACGAGCCATGTGCCCTTGCACATGGCATCGCTTGATGACATGCAGCCCCCTGGATCGCACCTTGCACTCCTGCGCGAATAACGTTGTGTTGTCATGTTTTACGAGTCGAGGGGTTGGTTACGTCTACGTCTAACTTTAATCGCCATTGTTGCTATGCCTGTCACGGCAGCAGTTCTGTCATGAGTAACATCCGTCCCGCAGGCCTGCATTGAACTCCCGGGATAGCAAGTGCCTGCTGCTTGCTAGGCGACTTTTCTTTTGTGGCCGTGCCGGCGACACAGCGACCAGGCGGGCCGGTTGTGGCTGTTAGGGATGTGGAAGACGGGTTCGCCTCCAAGAAAGCCGAGCGTTTACTGGGGAATGGTGCAGGTCGACCTGGCTGGTCTTAGCTACCCGGTAACTTGCAGCTGGGAGGATCCCGGCAAATGCCTATGTTTGAAACCAAGCTCCCAAACCCTGGATCGGGTCTTTTCAGGGCCAATTTTGGGGCTCTTACATCCCTTTGGTTCTGGCAATGGTTTCGCGAAGCGAGCCTCCGCGATGGTGCGCGGACTATCGCGTGGATTCCGGAGTATGGGAGGTTTGAACAAGTGGCCCGCCGATCCTCTTCGTTCAGCGCGCGACGCTGCACATCAAGAGGCGCTTGGGCATTCGCGCAGAAACCAAAGCTCGCGCAGCCACCGACATGCTGCCAGACATGTTTGGCATGATGAGTCTTGGGCTTCATGTCTATGGGGAGGTGGCTTGTGCAATTCGACTGCCACGGGTAGATGGAACACGGTCAGACCTCGAGCCCAGAATTTTCCTGCCCGAACTTGATTGCGCAGCAATCCACAGACCGTAGACCCCGTAGATCCCAAACTGTTGGGTTTTTGTTTCACCTTCGAAACTTTTCCTAGGGATTTCGGGAACTTTGCACTTAGCTAGGTCCAGCTCGGTCGGCGCACTGCGAAAAACTTTGGGTTAATTTAAGGTTAAAGGGACAGGATTTCGGGTTGAGGCCCTAAGATTCAGCTTCACTGCTTGTAGGGCCCCTTTCAGCTATGATCCTCTTCAACACCACATGGGTGTAAGTACCCTTCTTTTAGTAGCAGCTAGCAGGCTTTGACGAGGTCCGCTCGTCTGTTTGTAGATCTCGCATGCCTTGTATCGAAATGCCGAAGTCCTCGATTCTAGATCGAGCAGCAGTTCCTCCAGGTGCGGGCTTCCTCCATGCCACTGTTCTACGCCCCCGTGCGATCGCTGCGGAGGGGCGCCGCCTCCGCCACAACTGGCACCAGGGCCACCCATATTGGATGAGTGCTACAGAGAGTCCAGCGAACGTTTAGGTGTAGGTACACGGCTTCGCAAGTGGAGTCATGGCAGAATCCTCTGGGGCACCCGGTGATGAACTCCAGAAGTGTATGTGTGTTTCAATGAGGGAGAAGGGCGCATGTGTTTTGAGCGCACGAGCACCGGGGTTGTACACTGGCTACTTCGCAAGGTGGGGTTTGTGCAGACCGGGGCCTTAACATACCCCAAAGTGCCGTTGCGAAGCTGCTGGCAGTGTGTCAGTACTAAGGCCAGGGGCCCAATGTAGATCGTTTCAAGATGAGGACCCTTTGAAGAGGAGATCTCCAACTCAGAGAGGCTCCATGTCTTCCCAGAAGCTTGAAACGTAAGGGCAGGGATGAGGGATGATGGGGGGAGCCGGTGTTGACTAAGGCGAAGCCTTTCACGCGCATCAAGCGCTTCAACGTCGCAGGCAGTGACCTCGGCCCAAGCCCAGATCGTTGAAACCCTAGAAGTACCCGAAGCCCTCCGAATCTGTGTCAGAAAGCTTTACTGCCGGGTTTTTGGGACCTGCGAGAAGCCCAAAGCTCTCTGCATCCCTGAAGCTTAACGCGTTGTAGTCCTGCCTCGGTTTCACGCGTCGGATTGGGGATTCGGGCTCCGGGTCTACCAGCAGTGATGACTGGGTGCGTTTCAGGCTCGGGGGGCTTCTTGAGGCTGCCAGGTTATGGAGACTGACTGAAGCTATGCCAACAAAGCTAAGCCAGCCCCCAGCTCCTGCTGAACACTTAAACTCTTAAACCATCTGAAACCTTAACCCGTAAATCCGAAACCCCTGAAGCCTAACAACCCCTCAAGCTCACAGCCTCGGATTCCGGGTGGTCGCCTCCAGGAGATCCAAAGAACGAATTTGATGTCGTGCAGTCGGCGCCTCAATGTGAGAGAAATCCTAGATTAATTCTATCGCTACGCGGCCCGCCTTGGCTGGCGGCTCCAGTAGTGCCAGCAGCGGCGCACCGCAAGCAGCAGCAGCAGGCACAGAAGGAGCACAAAAAATGAGAACAGGGCTGGAAGTGGAAAGGAGAACCGAAGGAGAAGAGCAATGGAAAAAACACGCGAGCGAAAGCAGCGGGGAGATGGAAAAGGCAGGAAGATGGAAAAGTGGCGGGGGAAGATGGAAAAGTGGTAAACTGGTAAAAGATGGACAAAGAAAAGAAGCAAGTGGGGCAGAAGGAAGTGGAGCAAGGGGAAGGAGGGAGCCTGGGGCAGGAAAGCAGCGGGAAGGTGGAAAAAGGAGAAAAGGGGGGCTGGGGGGTGGCGGGAACAGGGCAAGGAGCAGCGGGAAGATGGAAAAGGCGGGAAGATGGAAAAGTAGTGGGGGAAGAAGGAAAGGGGGAAAAAATGAACAAAGAAAAGAAGGAAGTGGGGCAGAAGGAAAAGGAGGAAAGAGAAGGATGGAGCTTGGGACCGGAAAGCAGCGGACAGGTGGAAAAAGAAGAAAAAGCCAAGAACGTGGAAGAGGAAGAAGGAACGCTTGGAAGAAGAAAGGACAGGGTAGAACGAAAAACAAGTCAAGAGAAGTGGGGCGGGAAGTAAGCAATCGCGAGCGAAGGACAGGAAGGAAAGGTGGGAGATGGGCAGCAGCGGGAAAATAGAAGTAACAAAAGATGGAAAAAAAGGAAGTGGGAAGGGACGGCGGGGGTTGGGGGGGTCAAATTGAGGGGAGGAGAGGGGGGAAGGTGGGAAATTGTGACGGAAGCCGGGCAAGGGGGTCGAAAACAGGCGCGAAAAGCGGGTGGAAGTTTGTGTCTGGGCTGCAGGGAGAAGGATTAGGTAGAGGGTTGGTGAGTATTAACCATCAAGACACCAGAGGCCTTTGGCCTCGGCGGATTCCAAACACAGCCTTCGACTCCCGGAAGAGTCCTGAAACACTGCAAGGCAATGCCCTGAGTCCTGAGTCTTGGGCAAAAAGCCTAACACCTTCTGCCTCTTGAAGCAGGCTCTAGTATCGAAGCCTTACTATATAGGGTTTGGCGGGGATGTTGCGTACTATTGTATGAACATGTATGGACTGTACGGGGCCCGTAGTATGTGCAAGTATACAGGCCTCTATAGGGGGGGAGGTCAGGATTTTGGGCGGCTTGCAGTTCAGGGTGTTCGGCTTGAGAGCCCCGGTCGCTGGGGCCGCACTTTAGGGATGGGTTTTCGGGTCATGGGCCCGATTCGTTTCAGGCTTCTGCTGCCATCAGGTTGCTTGCAGATGGTAACTAGTATAGTGAGCTTTCATGGAAACCTACAAACTTCTGATAACTCCTGTCTCTCTGAAAGACCAAACCCGAAAATGCCGTGCCCAGGATCCCGGACCAGAACATGACGCACTCTTGCTCCAATTACGTGTCGCGGCATGAATTTGAGCCGAGGATTCAACTCGGCGTAGCTACAGAAAGCTTAACTCAACTTGAAACCCTGCATCTGGGTATTGAGTCCAACGTCATGCTGAGCTTCAACATTGAAATGCGTTGGTGGCATAGGGCTCACTTGCCAATCATGTCCCTCAGACGCTTTTGAGGATTCGGTTAGACCCGAAAGCCTGAAACTTTTTATTCCCCAAGCCAACAAGACCCAGCCAGATAGTCCTGCTTGCGGGCTCGTGGATGGCTACCGACACGAAGAATCGAGTAAGCCTTTACGGCCATTTGTAATTTGTAATGCTTTTAGTCTACGACGCTTTTGAAGAACCTGCCTCCACATGGCCCTAACGCCACAGCCCGACCCAACAACAGTGGTATGATGATTGTCTATCATAATGCAGGCCTCGGAACTCGAAGTCGAAAGCTTGAAGCCCTCGCTCGTTTAGGGCTGGGACTTTAACAGGTGGTGTTTGCTAAACCAATGAAGTGGCACTTGGCTTGGGCTTGACCTGCGCAATGGGGTGCGAGGTTGATCCACAATTCACAATGCTGATATGTGTAGAACGGGGTTGGACGCAAAGGAGCAGAGCTATGTCAAGATAAACACGCGATCGGAAGACCATCGGCAGCAATCCTGCTCTTGGCAGCCATCAAATCCTTTTGGTTCCCGCCGCTCTCGCGCAGGTGGACGATGGGACCACAGTTTTCAGCGAAGATGGCAAGCTTGTCCTGAAAGTGTCCTCAGCCTGCGCCGATGGGCGCTGCCTCAATTCCGGTCGGGTTCTCAGGGCAACGTTGTGGTCAAGCTTTCTTTGCCATGGTACATCAAGTTCACCCGCGATTTGATCTTACGAGATCGTATCAGCAGCTTGAGGCTTTGGTCTTGGGTCTCGAGGGCTTCGATTTTGAATTTTGTATTCCCAAACCCGCGACCCTCTGACTCGGCCGGTGTGCAGTGTGGCTGAGGAAAAATAAAAAGGCACACATTCAGGGTCTATGGGTTCGTATTCGGGGTTGGTGTCGTTCGCATGGCAACGCTTGCATGTGTCCTTCATTTTGCATTCATGGCATCCGATGTAGTAGATGCCTGCGGCAAGAGAGCAGCCAGTGTTGTTATGTTTTCGACAGACATCTCAAGAAGCACTAACTGTCGATCCTCACAAATTGCAGAGCTTTAGGATCCTCGAGCCAGCAGGCTTCCACGGCGGTAGGGGAGCGGACAGTTGTCTCTTCTCAGTAAGACTCAACATCAGCTTGGCGGCCAGAGCTTACCATCCTTCCGTTCCTCCCAGAGAATGATGCGACTTCCCGCTCGCCTACACAAGTCCTGGTACCACTGCCTCTTGAGCTTCTTTCGGATCTACTTGACTTACTGGTTTGTCGAGCAACTTGACGTCCGCAGACCAACCAGACCGAAGCCTCAACAAGTTGTTCAGCCTTGAACCGAAGCCGGCGTTAGCCTTCAACTGCGAGCCTGCCAGTAACTGTCTGCGCAGCGAATGCCTTGGGACGTCGTCAGGTCGCGTCATGAGCAAAGATGCTTTCACCTATGGTAGCTTGGGCTGCAAACTGTCATCCTGGGACTATCAGTGGTGTTCGCAGTAAGATGAGTGGGAAGTAGTTGTAAGAAGAAGGTGAGAAGACGAGACGAGCATTGAACTCAAAGGTCGTGGAAATGGGGGGCTTGATGTTTCGGAGTCCGGAGACCACCTCTTCGCCCCAGAGCCCTGTAGACGAGGGTTAGAGAATCCAGAAGGTTATGATGCTTCAGGCCCGGTACGTTTTCGGATCCAGGCTGGTTCTGTTCGGGCTTGAACAGCTCAATTCTTAGTCTGGGGAAGGCTACAGGCTGCAAGGATGATTCAGGCCGCTGTATCTTCGACGCCTGGAAGCCATCGGAACACCCGATATGTGTATGCATATACATATCTATATTTCTTTATAACTTCATATATGTAAATGATGCACATGTGTACACACATGCATGTGCAAACACAGCACAAGTAAATTCACACTACCATAGCCCGAAGCAGACACCTTTACGCTGGCGCGCGGCCGATAGTTCACACTACGCCGAAGAGCAAGTCAGAGTCAGGGGTGCAATAACAAGGCCCGGCGCTGAAGCAGAAGCATTGGGTTGTAGTGGGTTCAGTAGGACAGTTGCCAGCCAAGTGACTTGTGTAAAGCTTCAACAGCTACCCTGCCGTTCAACGGAAGCCCCCTGAACCCCGAGTCCCAGCAGGCATCTTCACCTTCTCCGCCAAAGTTCCGAAATGCCACAGCGTGTGGCCTGCCTTGCGACTTGGCTGCTCTGCAGCGAAGGCGAACATATTTCCTGGTTCAAGCTTGAGTCAGAACTTGTGCTTTTGTTTCGAGGAGGAGGAGGGGGAGGAGCGAGGAGAATTTTTGGCAGCAGCCGCCAGAGAATTTCTTTTTCGAAGTCGACGTAGCAGTACCTGTCTTCTAGCTGGATACAGACACGCGCAAACCCTCAACATGCTGAGCAGAGGTTGACAGGTGTCAGGCTTCGAGCTTCGGATGAAAGGTTTCTCGTGCAGCTGTGGACACAAACCCAGTCGGCTTGAAATGCAGGATGCCGGGCTAGGCATGGCCTCGCCCCCCTACGCTCTAGGCCCTCCAAGCTCGAAGCAGAATTCGCAGATCGTGAGAAACCATAACTCCCCACATGTAAAGGCTAAAAGCGAGCATTGCAAGAGGAGGCATAGAGGAAACCGTGTGTTCCGTCTCTACCGAGGTGGCTGCTGCCCGGCAGCTCGAAAGGCAAGCTTTTCAGGGTTCAGGGCAGTTTAGGTTTGGGTTGGTGGGCATCGTATTGAGGGATTGGCAGGGCTGTCAGTTCTGCTTGTTGCGCAGCTTTCTCAAGGTTGCAGCAAGAAGGACTTGCACTTGACAGTCCGGGTACTCTATAATGACTTCAGATTTTTTGGGGTCAAGTTTTGGTGTTGCCGCGCTGGGGTGTTTCTGGATCGCTGCATGCAGAAAATCATGGTTTTCGAAGAGTTTGGCAGAGTGTCATTCTAGAAAAAACTTCGCCTGAAAAAGCGACAGCAACGGATGCGAAGGCTGATTGTTCACACAAGGGTACGAGGTCTCGCTCCACGAAGACGAACAGTTGTGGTCCAGGAGAAGCTTTGAGCAAAAGCCAACATACTGCTACTTGGCGATATACAAGAACATAGGTTCTACAAGTTTGCAAAACAGCAGTGTCCTAAACCCCAAGCAGCACTCTCATAAGCTGTCATTCCTCAGCAGCAATAACCCAGTGCAACGCTTTCATAGAACCGTATGACCATATTATCACTACTTTGATATACTCTCGCCGCCACGACCCTGCTTGTGTACAGAATTGAGCAAAGTCGCAAATTAATGCCGCGGCCTCAAGTTCACTTCCCAGCTCTGGAGTGCTCTAAACCTCAGGTGTTGTCAAGACTTCGGGGTCCCTTTCCATTTCCCTTTAAGGCGCCTATTTTATCGAAGTTTATCAAAGCTAAAACAGGGAAGAGAAAGCGCCAGGTGATGGCCGATATGGACCCTGGCCATGCAGCGGAGAGATCGATGTCCTGGTGCTTTGCTGCAGTGTGGGGGAAGTGTGATAGGAATTTGTCAAATGGTAAAGTTTTCGAGAGAGCGACCTGCTGCCTTCATTGTAAGATTGCAAGTTCGGCCGCCCCTATTTCTGTTTTGGGTCAAACAAGAGACGAAGGGTCGCATAAACCCTACAAAACCTGTGTACACAGCGATATATAGGGGGCGGACTTCAAGACAACTTGCCTAATTCCTTTCTACCCTCTCATGGCAGACCTTGAGTGAGATGGTTCGTAGCAGTCATGGCAGTACCCAACAAAAACAAGTAGAGCCCACAGCCACAACACAACTCTGAACATTAGACCCTATGCGAGCTCGAGGGTTGAAATTGCAGAAAGACTCTACAGCCCCAAATATACTGGGAGGCAACATGACAGTACGAGGCATGTCGAAACAAGTGTAAGCAGCCCAAGTGTTCGGCAATCTCAGCTCTCGGAGCAGTGTTGACCTTGTCGGCTTTGGGTTCCGAGGTTTCATGTAGGGGTCCCAACAAGTACAGGGCCTGAAGAAGAAGAGGTCTTTTGGATATGTTGTATTAATCTTTCGTACATTCACTGTAAGTGTGGGGCTTCGAGGTCAGAGTTTGGGATTTAGATCGTCTCCCCGCAACTACCCTCACAGGGATTATGGCTAATGGGAATCTGTTGAGGCATAGTTTCGAAGTTGCTGCTATACCGTTGAACTCTACGCTTCGATGCCCAAGCCCTGTAGCCCGCTCCAGTCTCTGGGGAGGGGAAGCCCAGATGTGGGCAGAAAAAGTTCAGAAGGCCCAATGGCGCTAAAACGAACCCTCAAGGTTGAACGTGCTTTCGATCCACACCAAGATCTAACACAGCAGGGTTTGTTGGGGACGAAGATTCCAAGGCCCAACTCCGACCGACGACGGGAATCTCTAGGTTAAGCGTCGCAGTTGCTACATGATTTCGCATGTTACTTTCTCCAAAGTCGAAGCAAAACGGAGCCTTGCCAGGAGACCGTGAATGGTGATCCCCACGGTGCCTTCAACTTGGTCGCTGGCTTACTTTTCAGGGGGGTACTTCCAGGGTTTGGTACGTTCAGTGCTTTAAATGAGATTCGTTGGCTCCAGAGGTGCCTCAGGGCTCCTGCGTTCGTGCTTGGGGCAGGACCGCAGGGTTACTGCCCCAGCCTGGACTCCAACTAGACCCTGGCTCGAGCTTTCGGCCTTGCATTGGTATAGCCGGTATACTATAATTGCTTGAACCGTTGTATGGTTGTTCATGGTCACATGTTCTGTGTATGTATTCAAACGAAATGAAAAACTCTGTGAAGGAGGAGAATGTGAAATTTGAGTATACAGATATGTACACACATGTATATATTCGACGGCTTCTTCGTGATTATATATATATATATGATTTCAGAAAGCTTCATGTTTAGATATTCTGAGATTTGCATGTGTACTCAGCCCGAAATGTGAAATGTGAAATGTGAATACGTCGATCTTTTGGTTGTGTATACATACGTACCCACGAGTACATAAGCAAACATAATCACATAACTGCATACATGATCGTAAATCGCCATATAGAGTTATATCAATCTGTTTGTAATGCGTAGTTGAAGTCTGTGCATACATATCTAGAACTACGATTGGTACTTCGCGTTTAGAAGTGAGTATATGTTGTTGATGATCTACATGTTCATGCGCGTGTACACGTCATTTGTGATATATTCATACAATTTCATACACATATATGGCTGCATAAAATATATACCATGACGTTTCATTACCATACCCCCCCACACACACACACACACCCACACAACCACACACTCACAGACACACACGCATACGTGCGCATGCACACACACAGATGTATATATATATATATATATATGTATATATATATACGTATATATATATATATATACATATATATATATATACATATATATAGATAGATCGACATATAGAAATGTGTAGGTATATGTACATGTATATGTACTAGTAGGGGTTCATGTAAATGTAAATGTTTATGTACACGTACATGTACACGTATATGTACATGCATATGTATATGTATATGTAATTGTCTGTCTGTCTGTATGTATGTATGTACATATGTATTTTCACATTCTTCTTCGGTTATTTCTGGCCCTGGTAGGCAGCACTGATGGGGCCGACGTCTTCATAGTCGGCGGAGATTTTGCTAGGAGAAGAGTACAACCTACAGCAGGTCGCAGGCTTCGGGAGCACCACCGGCAGCTGCTTCGACCCCTCCGCTGTGTCCTGCAACGCCTGCGCGCTCCTGGGCCGGAAGCTGGAAATGCAGGGTTAAGGTTGCTGGGGTTTCGAGTTGGGGGCTGAGGCTTCACCTCTGATTCTTGGGCTTGCGGCTGTGCAATTTGTGAGCCCTAACACCGGAAACTTTTCAGCCCAGACACTTTGAAGTCATGCACGCCCTAAAGCCTCCGACCAGAAGAGCCGTCGAAATCTGAGCAGTGTAATCCGAACACCGCTACGAGCACCGGCCTGAAGTTTGAAGCATGAGGATTCAAATTGAAATATACGACATCTAACTTGTGCAACATACCGTGATCTATCATGTGCGCTTTCTCTACTGCGGGTCTACAATGGTGAATATTGAGGATTTTTGCGGTGTGGCATTTCGGTACTTTTGGAGTAGGTCTTCGTGGTTCAAGCCAAAAGGCGAACATGTAGGGTTTGGGGTTTGGTGCAAGGAGCCGTGGTCTCTACAGACAAACTCCAGCAATCACTCCAAGCTGCGCCTGGTACCCCAGCGCAAAACATCGGTAAAATCATCAGCCGTTTCGAGGCCACCCCAGTACTGCACAAGCACAACTCTTGCGGATGCCGCAGCTTCTCATTACTTTGTGGAGGACAACCTGCATCAAGGCTACTGAAGCTATTTCTCACAGGGATACCCAGAAAGCCTAAACAGGGATGTTGTGGCTGTCGGGGGAGTTCGAGATTTTGGTGATTCGCTTCCATGCCTCGTTGCTTAGGCGGTGTATACCAACATCTGGCTTGGGCTTTTGGGCGCTTGCACTTCAGAGGGGTGGGGCTTGGCTTCCTTCATTGATGCTCAAAGCTTAATACGGTTTGGGTTTTGCCTGACACCGATACTACAGGCAAAACTGTTTTGATTGCAAAGGCACTCTGTCTCTTTTTTTTGGGGGAGGGGGGTGGGGTGGGGTCGTGCTGGATGCTTGTGAACTTGATGACTTTAAAGAGCATACTAGATTTCTAGATCACTAGAAGCGGTATTCAACCAATGATCATGGTTTGGAATGCTCCACCATATAGATCACAAGTTTCGGCGTTGTTTTTGATCCGAAGCGTTTTCAAGTGCCAGAGACTATTTCACACACCCGAAGGCAGCACATTTCACTGTGTTAGTGCACGAGGCTCCAGAATCCCGAAATCCGAAAAGCTAAACACCGCACTTCCACGATGGATTATAGGCGTGTGTGTACATACATGTATATAGGCTTTGCAAAGGGTCGAGGCATCTTTCACCTTTCGGGTGCAGGACGTAAACTGCGATGCCAATCAAAACTCATGGCGGGAACACCTCTTTGCAGCACGGCACAAATGGCACCTGAAGGTTGATGGAGGCTGATGGGTAGTCATAAGTAGGGTCAGACTTGTTATTGCAGTCCAGGTCTACCTATGAACCTCTACGCGAGACTGTAGGTTTGAGGGTTTATGTCCCACGAAGCCTGGCAAAGCCGCAAACCCTAAAAGGGCAATGTTTGAACCGTAACAAATCGTAAATGCAATTCCCGTTTAGTATGATTGTACCGAAGCACTGGCTGGATAGGCTTGTTGGCCGCACCCTCGCATATTCTTGCAGGGATGCTTTCCTGCATTTGTAGCTTTGAGGGGTTGAGATTTCTTTGTCCAGGTTTCCAAGAGGCTCAGGGTTCGGGCGTCTTGGGCTTCGGGATAGGAAAAGCTTGCACCCGTCTCGCGCTCCAGCGCGCAATCGGTTTGCGTCCGAACATCTTCAATGCTGGAACCTCCGAAACTCCAAATTTGATGTATCTCAAATCTTGCAGTTTCGTATTGAATCTAGATTGGAGGAAAGCATCCAGCCAGTAGGCCAGCGATCGCGGGGTATCCATTTTGCGGCGCAAGACATCACAAGACAAGGATTTTTTGGGATTCAGGGGTTCTTTCTTGTAACTGCAGGATTCCGTTTAAGGTTTCCGGTTCTGGGCTTGAGGAAGCTGCGCCACAGGGTGCAAGGCCGTTCGGATTTGTTTCGTGCTTCGCAAGGAGGAGTCTTGGTATTTTTTCAAGGGAATTGGCAACGGAGAACCAAAGGCCTTGCGGTTCCCCAAACCCCAACGCTTCAATCCCAGGAAACCCTGAAACATTTACCGTAGTTCTGTCCCAAACCGACCGCACTGGTCGCAGAAGCCGTCCCTGGGCTTCTGGGCCCTTCACTGGTAAGCCTGAAGATGATGCCGTACTGTTCCTGTGGAGCTCACATACCGCAGAGCTTTCTTCGTATTTTTGGGGGCTATTTGCATTCTGCTGAGCCGAACCCTAAACCCTATGCTGGAAAGGCTCCAGACTGAGGTCCTCTACTGGCAGCCGGAGGTTATTGCCGCGTTTCCCGGATTGAATGGAGGATCCTTTCGCTCCGTTCGGTCCTAAGGGTTGTGATGAGTAAGACAGGGTTTTGGGTCATACCATGTGATAAAACATGTCTCGGGGTGACAAGTTCATCATGCTAAACTACGAGGTGTTCAACTCTCCGAGGGTCTCAAGTCCAAAGTCTCAAAACTACACCTGTGTTGGGGTCGTGATGCCTATCCCAAGCCCCAGGCCTCCCACGCTAGACCTGGGCCACAAGCAGGTTTGTAGATCCGGAGCTGACCTACGATGCGAGTGGGCACCTCACCGGGATTCAGGCCCAGGGGCCTGAGATCGAATAGAATTCTGAACAGTTGGACCCAGATTTTGAAAGGCTTTGTCTTGTGTTCTGGTTTTTACATACGAACACTGCGAACATATACGTTAGGGAGCCCCGAGCGAATATACAATGCTGTCGATTGTTCAGGCTTGTCTATTACAGCTGCTTCGTGCGAAGAAACCTAAAACGCTCCAGCCTAAACCTTCACCTGAAGCGCAAAAGCCAGAACCTGTAATGAGCCAGTCGTTTCAAGACTTTGGGGCTTGCAGGACGTGGGGAGTCAAAGGTGCTTGAAGTCTTCAGGATCCGTTCCTGCAACTCGCGAGCATTGCCAGGACAAGAGCAATTTTCACCTTGGAGCTGAAGAGCATTTGTAGCCATGAAGCCAGGAAACACGAGCCATCCGCTTTCAGGGCCTTAGCACACCGTTCCCGGCAAGGTAGTGTCTCTAAACATTTCTTGAAGTCTTTGGGATGGGGTGTAGGAGACGAGGGTCTGGACTGAGTTTGCGGCTAAGGGGTTTCGGACCCTGAAACTGCTAGACCATGCAGGACAGTCCACAACCTGGAGCCCGAACCCCCGGATGACTTCCGAATTTCAGCACATCCTCCTTGATGCAGGCCAAGAAGCATTCGAACGGCCAAGCATCCTACAAAACCTATCATCGTGGCTTGGTTGCGTCTGCCTTCGGGATTTCAGGACTTCGTCGTCCCCTAAGCCCCTATTAAACCCAGGTAGGAGTCGGGGGCCAGGGGCCCTGGGTCACATCTCTGTTGAGTCTTGTTCGGGTTCCCATCCCCGGCCACCTTGACAACCCAAACTATAGATTGCCTTATGTCTCCTTATCTAGTTTTGGTTAGACTTCAACACCCCCCAAGCCAAAGCAGCAGGTAAGAACCCCGTCGCTTGATAGCTCACCGCCGAGGCTTGCAATTTGGTGCCCGGGATGACTGAACCTCAAACCGAAGCGTTGGCGCATGAGTTTAGGCAGCAGGGTGACGAGATAGCTTCGTCTCAGCGAGCTTCCCACAGGGTGTTAGACTGCAGGGAGAAGGGTCTACAGATAGGTCTCTAAGTAGACTCTACGTCCAGAATCATGTCTTCTTGGGTCCCGGAAATGTTCTTAGCCATGAGTGTCACCACAACGAGCAATGCCAGGTAGCACGACGCCGACATGGTCCGCAGTGCAGGCCTTGCAGGGTGGGTCCGACACCCCAGCCAAGTTCCACAAAACTCCTAAAGCCGAGAATCCGATATACGCACCCCAGGCAACATGAACCTACTCCTAGATGGTAGCAGCCGAAGAGGACTACATGGGGAAGTGTTTCCCCGGCCGTCATTCTGCGGATGCGCCGTTTGACATTCCAATGCCGCTCGGCCCGTTCGTAAGGTCTCCGGAAATATGCCTACCGTTTTTGGAGCACTGAAAGCCTAGCAGTTTCTAGCAGGTTTGATTCCAAGAGCTTCGGGGGGAAGTCAGATTTTCGACTGATTCTTCGGGCCTTGTGGGTTCTGCATGTCGAGGTTTGCAGCTCTCAGGGGCCTTATACGCTTTACGTTGATCCGTTCAGTGTAACCGCGATCGAAAGCCCAGATACCCCTCAGACATTCAACTTCCAGACCCTCGCAAACTCCTGTCTGACCTGTTTTCAGGCAAGGGATCTGCGTGCGGAAACCATGAGCTTCTGAAGCATAAGACCCCAAGCCCGCAAATCTGTACCAAAACGACTTCCGAGGCTCCTACATTCCAAAGCTCCTGTATTCCGTAGATCCTGATTTGTGAAAGGCAGGCTCGCAGTACTTACCGCTTACGTCCCCAGCCTTGCTGCTTAGGAAGATTGTGCTCAACATTGCAGTGGGTGGCTATGGTGGTGCTCCGTGCTTCTGGGGCGGGGACGCCTGCCAGGCCGCATTCATACCCTACATATAGATCTCCTGGTTCATGTATGGTAAGGATCGCCAAGCTTCTTATTCAGATGGACTGACATGTGTCTGCAGAAGCCCACGACCGGGACCGAGACGAAGAGGTCCACATAGATCTAAAAGCCTTGCATTGAACATGTTGGGCTTCTCAACATGCTCACGGAAAGCCTCCGACCCCTTCAGAGAGATCGCCGTCCTTGACATAGTAGTGGCAACAAACGAAAAGCGATGGACTTCTGAAATCACTTTGGGTCCGAAGCCTGAAGCATAACATCAAGTCCTACACCGTAGGCCTTGTGGAACAACCTGCCGCTCCTGTCCGGCAGGCCCAGTGTGGTGGCGCCATCGGCTCCAAACTCATCCTCTCGGACATCAGCGTCTGGCAGTAGAGGCAGCTGGCTGCAGCAGAGAACTTCGGGTTTAGCCGGTTTAGGTTTCGTTGCTGTCAGCGTTTCGGGCTCTTGGGAAGTGGGCCTAGGGCTGTCGTACGAAAGGCACAAGTCAGGGTTTGCCTGTGTGCTTCAGGCTGCGGCGTCCGACTTATGTGATCTACGTATGTTGACATGCCGGCTCAGGGAGCAAGGCTTGCCGGCTTGCCCTCTATTTGTTGCAGGCAAAAATGCCGCCTCAATCTCAGTCTATTGCGGTCAGCCTGCCAGGCTTTGTCATTGCATTCGCCATCATCCGAAGGCCCTAACCTGCAATTCGTATCTTCATCTTAAATGCTCAAACAAAGCTTCCACTAGTGATTTTGCGACATTGCAGTATCGAGGCCTAGAGGTGTGGTTTCATCGCTTAGGGCTCTGTTTTTTTCAGTTGTTGAGCACAGGGTTTTGGCAGTGTAAAGTGTAAGGTGCAGGGCACCCCGATGATGTTTGAAACATTGTGATGTGATGTGCATACCATAAAAAGACCCTCAACCTTTAACACACACACACAAACCCCTGAAAGCCGGCGGCCCTTGATCCTTGCAAGCCGAATTGTCACAGAAAGCCCCGTGCCACAGGCCGCAGCCACAATGTCGCGCTTTAGTTTCACCGATGGCTGAAACGGCTTACTCGCTTGCGCCTCGAACCCGGTGCCGTCTGAGAAACCTTGAGCATTCAATCCTAAACATTGAAGCCTTGAGGGCCGTAGAGAGGCTTGAAACATTTTGTTGTTGTCTTGTCGTGCTGCTGCTGTTGCCATCGTGACTGTGACTGATTGTTATGAGTGTGATTGTGATTGCGGTTGTGATTGAGCACCTAAAGTTTAGATTGAGAGTGTAGGACATGTGAAATGCCAAGAATCAGTTCAAGGTGGCTTCGTGTATAGCCTGTCTCAGAGGGTTTTGGACAGCCAACAAATGGCCGCGAAGTGGTTCGTGGGCGCGGTGTGTATACAGTGCATGCAGCTTCGCTTCAGCTCCATTGAGGAGAAAAGGTGACGATAAACACCGGCGTCGAAACGCACGCACACACTCTCTCACACTGTCTCTCTTACAGACTCTGGTCCTGTTGACTCCTCCAAGTATTGTCGGCTTTTACAGGACATTCTAAAGCGACAGCCTCTTGTTTGTCGGAGACGTCTGGAGCGAGCTTGCTTGCAGCCAAACATGCGAGCTTTTGTTTTGACTTTGCCTCATCAGACGAGTCGTGCAGCAGCTTAGCTGCGTTGTGCAGCTGGATTTGTGTGCGATGCCTGGCAATGTCGGCTGCGTACTTCGGAACGGCACTGGCATTCCCTGCTGTGTCCGTGTGATCGGATCAGGTAGCACGGAAGGCTCCGAGGAACATAGCCTGACCGCCGATGGCGAGGTTTCTTGCAATTTGGATGCCGCCAGTCTGTCACACATTGCAGCTTGGTACACATCGCAGCCACCTCCAAATACTCATATCTTCCCAGCTGGCGCAAGCTCTGCCGTTGTAGAGCTGACCGCTTCATTGACTTCAAATGCTAGCGTCGGCACAGCAGGAACGGATGAGAAGCAAAAGCTAACATTTGTGAACCAGTGCTCCGTGGATGTTTGGTTCCGCTTGTTTCTCAACGATGACTACAAGGACCGGCTTGTCTTCGCCGGTCAGTCCGAAACCTATGAATTTGAAGAGCAGCACGTGACTTCTTTTGGCGCAAAGTTCCAATACCCTCCGAAGAACGGAGTGTCGGACTATCGATGGAATCCTGCACATGAAGCCAAAGTTGTGGGCAAAGAGGTGACCATCACGTTCCAGCCCACTATTGCCATGAACATGTCGGATTGCACGCCGTGCACAGGTAAAATATCGACGTGTGTGCTCCGGAATGGCACTAGCATTCCCTGCTGTGTCCGTGTGATCGGATCAGGTAGCACGGAAGGCTCCGAGGAACATAGCCTGACCGCCGATGGCGAGGTTTCTTGCAATTTGGATGCCGCCAGTCTGTCACACATTGCAGCTTGGTACACATCGCAGCCACCTCCAAATACTCATATCTTCCCAGCTGGCGCAAGCTCTGCCGTTGTAGAGCTGACCGCTTCATTGACTTCAAATGCTAGCGTCGGCACAGCAGGAACGGATGAGAAGCAAAAGCTAACATTTGTGAACCAGTGCTCCGTGGATGTTTGGTTCCGCTTGTTTCTCAACGATGACTACAAGGACCGGCTTGTCTTCGCCGGTCAGTCCGAAACCTATGAATTTGAAGAGCAGCACGTGACTTCTTTTGGCGCAAAGTTCCAATACCCTCCGAAGAACGGAGTGTCGGACTATCGATGGAATCCTGCACATGAAGCCAAAGTTGTGGGCAAAGAGGTGACCATCACGTTCCAGCCCACTGTCGCCTTCAAAATGACGGAGTTCAAGATGGGGCAGGCTAAACTGGTGCAAGACCTCTTCCATAAGTATGATACTTGGCGATGAGTTGCGTTTACGTCTGCAAGTATAAATGGCTACCTAAACATGCAATGCCTTGCCCCCGAAGGAAAGAAACTGTGGGTTGTTGCAACAGTAGCTATACGTGCGGTTGGCGAAAACTCGATTGTGAATCAAGAATGCACAGGCTTCGAGTGTGCACAAGCTCGTGCTTTCAGGGGCCAAACGGATAGACCAGGAATGCACAAGGGACCCGTAAGGCGAAGCGGTAGGGGGCTTTCAAGATGCAGACATGGAGCAGTCAAATAGAATATCCGTTTGAATGAACTGCTAGCTGCTAGCAATTCAGGTGTCAATGTTCCTGGGAGCAGTTTAGTTCCGAGGCGGGAGAAGCGTTTATGATCAACCTTGGTCTCGTTAACAGACAACCTACCTGCCGGTGGAGGGTGCGAGGGGTCAACAGCATGTGCACCCAAGCCCGACACCGAACTTATATAGTGGTTGAACTCAATGACTCCACAAATGGGAATGATGAGATTTGGCTTCGCCGTTGCAGTAAGCCTTAACTGGAGCAGAAGTCCCAAGCCTTTCAACCAACCAGGACAAGTCTGGTGACGGCATTCTATCAGAAGAGGAGATGCTGGGGATTTTCGAGGCACTGTCGGTTCCGAAGACCGAGGTGCAAGCGCTGCTGAGCAGTCCACGAAGTACAGTGTTTGGTGTTTACTCGGATCGAGCAAGTTGTGGTACACGTCCAAAACTAAAGATTTGCAGCAAGCTGAACAACTAAGGCTGTTTCAGCAAGCAGACGCCAATCGGGACGGCAAAATCCAAGTACAGGAGTTCATAGCTTGGCTTCTTGGCAGAATTACCTGCGATTGCAGCGGGAGTCTTGTGCGTCTCCAAGGATTCAGTTGACGAGAGGCCCCCTGAAGTTTAAAGGTTCCGATTTGAAACCTTAAGCCCTCAATCTCGCCGCGAGGCCGCACTTCATTTTTGGGCAGAGTGAATGGGGCCCCATGCTCTTTGCCTCGTCTCGTTCTTTATTTCTGAGTTCCTACGTGTGGAAATGCCGTTATATTTGGGTAAGGGCCGGTCAGGGTCAATGATGACTGAAAGGGAAGTGTAGTTGAGGGTCGCAGTAGTCTGTTAAGATTTTGATTGCCAGTCAAGGCTCATGACGGAGCCTGCAGCACCCAAAGGCGACTGAGGGTGGTGTGGCCTCCTGTTAGTGGGTGACTTGACAGAGAGGCCAAACGCAAGTCATGCTCTAAAATGTTTCACAGCTTCTCGCAGTCCATTTTCAGGCTGGAGTAGCGGTCGTGCCCGCAACAGGCGGCAGCCCCAAAGCGCCAACATCTCGGCAGGCTGCAAGAGAAAAATCGTTGCCAGGAGCCATTTGGTAGGCAAGCTCTGCGACGAAGTGGGTCATGTTCTCACTATCGGTTTCTGTGGGCTCGCACATGCATGGTGATTATGTTTGCTGCATGTGCAGGTGCCATATGTTACATGTGTCGTGATGACATTTCGGCCAGGTATAGCATGACATGCTCCGTGATGCTGGGGGCTCCTAAACCTTCCTTGCACCTTAAGCCTTGTAAGCCTAGATCTAAAGGGATCTTCTGAAGGGTGTCTCTACATCCTGCGCTTGCGAGTTCGGAACCGAGGACCGCGGGCTGAGAGTTCAGTGTTCGGATCGACTTGCGAGTGCTACGTGTTTGGGTCATTGATGCAGTTTGACTGAAGGTGCCGAGGAAGTCCAAGACTGCACAAACGCCGTGCCGAAGAGTTCACGCCCCAACCCGACAAGCAAGGGTCCGGACTCTCGGGCCTTGGGTGTAGTTACAAGCTACGAGCAATTTCTGTGGGATTCCAGAAAACCACCGGAAAACCCTAAACCCCACCACAGAGAACGCCTTCCTGAAACTCCAATCTTACCTGCATGAAAGGAGTCATGGCAGCGCCGGGGTGGATAACGACGTTTCTCGGATCCGTTTAGGGTCAAGGCTTCGGGGATGTGTCTTTTAATATTCTGGCGGTAGGAATTTAGGGTTTACATGGTTCGCTTAGGCTGGAGAAATTCGGACTTGGGATTCAAGGACTAGTGTTCAGTTAGCATAGAGGGTTCAGGATTTCGAATGCAGGGTTTCAAGGTTTTCTTGCGTTGAGGATCTTTATGGGTTTACAGTTGAGAAGGGATCACCTCGACTCCCTAGTAGCAGCAGTCCCTGCCGTGCAACCCAAATAAATAGTATGTGAGTTGGTGCTATTAAATGGTGTTTTGGGGGCGTAGGTTTGGGGCTCAGTGGCTCTGAAAAGCCTGGGCCTGTGCACGATGAACCTACATCCAGAAAGCCAAGTCCTGCCCCTAACTAAGACCTACACCCCGCAAGCCTGAAGTTAAACCATTCACGATGCAGCCCAGGCTCACGGCGGCCCAGATTGTGGAGGGTATGACAGAGGAATACGTGGTTCTGTGTATCTGCGCAAAGGTCGGTTCCGGTTGAGGACTCCTCAAGAGCAAAGGTTATAGCTTGTACAGGCCGGAGCCTTCAATACCACCAGATTATCCATTATTTCTCCTTCCGTGGGTGTTGTCTCAAGCCTTCATCCTCAGACTCAAAACTCCCGGCTCGACCAGCCAGGAGGGCAGGCAGTATCTCCTGGCTGCGCATCTTAGCTGCAACTTATTATGATTCGGTTCACGGATTTGTGGTTCATAACCTACAAGTGATGTCAGGCACAGGGTTTGCCAGAGTCGTTCGGGTTCGGTGCTTGGGATGCAGGGGTAGGTGCCATGTTGAGAGGTGGCTTTTCCGAATCGGTCTTTTAACGGTGCGAGCTGCTGAATTAGAGCGTGCGGTTGCTGGCAGCGACAACTCGTGCTGTTCTTGCAGTTGCCAACGGCTGGGGATGTGCAATTGGCATCGTCGTCGCCTGAATCAAGTCCTTGATATTCCTGAGCAACTCCTCAATGTGTCGTGGCAGTCAATGGGCCCCAGCCCCCTTGTGCGTTTTGGGGGATCTTTCCGAAGAGGGGCACCGGTTTGGAGGGTTGTCAAAACAAGAACAGAATCAACTAATTGTGTGGTCTTGATATTAGAGTTGCTTTTTTTTTCTGAAAGCTGCCATATTTACAGGGGCAATAGATTTACCTTACAGGGTTTTTTTCCAGGGCAAGGTATATTCTATTTGTGTACCGGGCTGTTTTACCAAGATCGGTTACAAAGAACGCTTTACACGCAACTCCAACCGAAACAGGCTTCTCGTCTCTGAACTTAAAGGGTCCGCATATTACTACCACTTGTGGCATTGGGTCCCAACGGTCGTTACCGAGATGGCATTTTGCGTCCGATGTCAGTTCCGGGGGGCTTACATGCAAAAATTGAGAAATGTTGGTCCTCTGGGTTTTCTGAATTTACCGCCATCTAATCGAAGCGTTTCACATGCGGAGCATTGTGCAGTGGCAATAGGGTGCTCGTAAGGATTATGTCTGGGGGATGGAAGCTTTTATCAGACAGCCGCCAGCTGCTAGCTAGGCCAGTGGGCCAGCCTCACAGCACGAACGGCACGGTTTGGGAGTGCCCCTGGAGCCCCGGCAGTGAAGAATGCAGGGCATAGAAGTCCCATCAGCAGGGTTTGGCAGTAGCGGCAACAGTAGTGGCAAGTAGAAGAATAAGATGTCGGCGTCGTAGCAAGAGCAGGAGCAGTAGTAGAAGTAGTAGAGTCGAAGCAGTGGTAGGTAGTACTATCCTTGTTCTTGGTAGTGGTAGTGGTGCTAGTAGTAGTATCAGCAGCAGCAGGGGTAGTAGTAGCAGTAGTAGCAGTAGTAGCAGTAGTAGCAGTAGTAGCAGTAGTAGCAGTAGTAGTAGTAGTAGTAGTAGTAGTAGTAGTAGTAGTAGTAGTAGTAGTAGTAGTAGTAGTAGTAGTAGTAGTGGTGGTAATCGCAGCAGTAGTAGTAGTCGGAGTAGGAGGTAGGAGGTCATGCAAAGGTGGGCTGTGAGATAGCGACTCAGCAACAGCCGTGTGTCGCAGAAGCCATATTTCAATGCTATGCCGACTTGTCACTTAGACTCGGCATTTCGACGGGACTTGACTACGGAAGCTTCGTTAAGTGTATGGGATCCTTCGTCCATATGGTCATTGACATAATAAGTTCTCGAAGCCGTCGAGTTCCATGCGGCCATGCGAACCTCATCTTTAGCCCAAAACCCCAAGGCCAGCAGCAGGTGGGTTCAACCCGTGCCAGGCCTCGAAAGTTTCGGCGACAACCCGGGCCCTAGCCTGAAGTTGATGGTATTTATCGCAGAACCCCCCAGAACCGCAGACCAAGGCAGATTATAGCCACAGTTTAAGGTTTGGGGAAGACATCTCAGGCTGCAGCGCCAACAGCAATGGCAGTACGGCATGGAGGGAAGTGTTTCTTGGAGCGGTTCAGCTTGTAGTAGCGAAGTAGGATCAGCAAAATGGTTGACACGTAAGTAGGCACCCCCCCTCCCCAAGATCTTGGATTGCATGATGAGCGTGCACCGTTGGGGCTTGGCAAACTCTCTTACGAGTTGACCCCTATGGTGCATCCCATCCACGTCGTATGCTTGCTTCCGAGCTTGCTTGTATTCTGCGATCCTTTTGACAGCCGTCATGGCCGTCCTGAAATGAAGCTTCGGGATTCAACCTCCACAACACATGGTCTCAGTCAGGTGCGCCTGGTGGAGCGCCTTCAGTGGGAACTGAAGATCCCGGATTTCACAGCTTGCAACTTGCCCGCAGATTCGATCACCATTGCACTGTCGAGTGGAACAGCCCAAAGACACAGGCGCACGACGATATCTATGTCTCTCGGGTGGCTTACAATAGTTCCAGTTCGAAGAGAAAGGCCGTTCACGATCGTACAAAGGCGATATCTGCGGTGGGGAGGCATCCTTCGCTGGACACCTAATCGGCAAGAAGCATCTCAACAAGCCTCTCGGCATGATGCTTGGAGTTTCGATGCTGCATTCCCCATATTCCCCCAACCCAAAGTCAAAACCTTTTGTCCGTCCTACTGCATCCAGGCCAGCGGGCGCGGCAGCATTTGAGGGCTGTCTTCGGTTCAAGGCAGAAGGTCCAATACAGCTGGGAAGCATTAGCATGGTGATCGTTCGCACTGACCCCGCGAACAAAGACAGTCCCAGACGCTGCCCTGGGAAATCTGCAACTTCGCCCACGTTTGCGTAGAAAAGCTTGCAGGAAATGCAGGGTAAGCACCCTTGCGACCAGTGGTACATGGCACTAGTGTCATTGTTCGGTGTCGGGTTCCCTGAAACTTCCTCAGGCTTTTCCACAGGTTGTCTGAAAAGCAGCCAATCGTCCCGATCTCAGTGGATTTCATGATTTCTATTGGGGCGTTTGAAGGGCTCATTTCGATCCTTACCTTGCAAATCAAGTTGCAAGAGCTGGTAATAGTAGCTTGCGTATCTTTAAGCTTTGGAGTTGAAGGCAGCCATGGCCATGGTGGATGTGACGAGCCTTTAGGCTTGGAGGGTCTAGGAGGTAAGGTTCGGAGCGACGGATTCGAAGATCCAGGCCCGAGGTATTTGGTTGAGAGGGCAACAGCTACTAGTTCGCGCAGCAGCGGCTCATCAACGGAAACTTCAAACTGCCGTTCAAATTTCGGCAGTTCAGACTCAGCGCAAGTTGCTTGAACGTGTCTACTTTTAGGGCGTTGGGGTTTTCGGGTTTGGCGTGTGGTGCTTCACAGCCTGCTGTGCGTTGCTGGGCCCGTGGGTTTTGGGGATCCGGGTTCAATGCACGAAGTATTGCGCCATGGGTTATGCTTCAGTCCACGGTGGCACTGAAGTAACAAAAACAGGACACAACTGGGGCCTACGAAGAGCCAGAACATCGAAGAAGCCAAGCCTACAGCTTCTTTCCTGTTCTCAGTAGCCAAGACGCCACATATGTCGAAGACTTTCTTGACAGCTTCAAATCATCGGAGCCCCGCCTTCAAGCACAAGCAACCTCGACACCGTAGGGCCGCGGCCTTCACCAGTGCGAGACGTCATCCAGCGGCTTTGGCCAAGGTGGAGCAGAAAGCGGGCTATTGGCAAATCTGGCCTTTTGTCAAGAACGGATGGAAAGGAATCTTGGCCGCTCTTGTGATCATTGCATGTATTGCATGTTCTTGAAATTTATGCTGCCGAAAACACGATTGTCAAAGGCCAGGCGGCTGGGGTTGACGACGAAGCAGCTACCGAGGGTTCGAAACTCATGCGAGGTTATAGAAGCGTTAACACGTGCGGAAAGGGTTCCTGGACAATGTTATCAGCTACGAAACTCAAAGTGTGTGGAAGCGTGGAGCTTCCTGTCTTTGTCGAGCGCTTGTCTCATGCGTGGCATTGCTTGCAATTCTCAGTCTTGGAGTTTTGGATGTGGTCTCCGGACGGGGCATGCAAGAGGGCCATTAAGCCTTACGACTGCTTGGCAACTGGGTGGTAACACTTAACTGATTTGCATAAATGCCGAACGGCGGATGGAAGGGCAGAGGTTGCTATTCCAATTATTCCAATGTGCAAACAGCATGCAAGATTTGCTTCAGCAACATGGTTGAGAAACGTGTTGGGGCAGAATTTTGCAAGGAGAGCTCCTCTTCAACCATGTGGATGGCGAGGTTGTGATACGACGTGGCACGCCAGCCAATGGCCCTCCAATCCGAGTAGAACTGCCACCCGCAACTCCTCTGAGGCCTCCCAGAGCCGAACCGCCAACTCCACCGGGCCCAGCTGCTTATCGACCCCCCGAGCCGCCAACTCCGCCCGGTCCGTGCTGTGGGTATCGGCCACCCCGTGAGTTTGACAACCTGTCCACGGCTGCCGTCTTTGACGGCCAGTTCTCAGACGCGCCTTCGGACAGGCCATCTTTAGGTTTCTTCTACTACAGCAACTTGACTGCATGGCTTGCTTCAGCATGAAAGAGAGAGTGAGCTGAGACTTTCAAGCAGTGGCGAACCCTCTGCATGTCCCCAAGAGCTGAAACGATGGCTCAGGCGAGTTTGCACGGGACAAGGCGCAGCTCCTTCAACAGCAACTGGAACGATATGTCGACAGTGTCACCTGCAGCTTCTCACCTCAAATTCATCATTTGGAAACATACTGTTCGCATCATACTGCTGTTGATTATTCCCAGTTAGTGCTGCTTATGCTGCTGCTGTTGCTGGTGCTTCGTCTGGGCTTACCTGAAGGGTGTAGGCAGATGAGCTGGATTTTCGAGAGAGGTCTAAGAGGATTCCCAAAAGATTTGTGGACTGTAGCCTGCCGGCGAGAAGACCGGTGTTGCTACAGACAGACTGCGAATCTCTGACAGGTTTTAAGCCACTTTTAAGCATAGCACATCCGGGCTGGCAGGTGTCACAAAGGTCGTCGCAGTCGTAGCAGCGATCCGAAGTTCATGCAACACTGGACCCTGCATTTCAGGCCAGAAACCCTGGATCCATACCCCTCCGCTCTCCCTTAGCCACCATACCCATGACTAGTATTCGTGGGTACCTATAAAGCATGTGTGAAGTCCCTGCAGCAGGGTGCTCGGCGAGTCCGCATACGGTATGTGTTGTCCACTCATGTCCAAGGCGCGTGCAATATCACGATCAATGTCAACGAGTTGAAGGATCACCTGGTTTCCAGAATCTTGATGACGTTTCAACACACTTCCAGAAATCAGGGTTTCAGGATCCACGGCTTTCTGCTTAGGGGTCTTGGTAAGCCCCAGCATGCTGCAATGATCAGGTGTCTTATCCGAGCACCCGCACCCCAGGGTCAAGAAACATGAAGATTCATCAAGGGATAGGATGGTTTACTGCAGACTGTTGCCAAATGACTATCCGCCCTCCGGAGATGATGAAGAATCGCCAGCCTGTAAAGTTTCAAACAACCATCCCTCATCTTTGCCACCCTGCCCGAACATGCACGGCGGGGCATGTGCCGCTGATTCTCCGCGTTTCGGCTTCGTGATTAGCTTCCAGGCTCTGGGTGTCGAGGGTCAGTGAGTTCAGCACATGGAGGGTTGTTAAATGGGCATCTCAGGCAGCCACTTCCGTTCGTTGGAGAAGCGGGTCGCCGGCCAACTGCAACCTGTCGTCAGCTGGACGCCCTCTGACTTGTTTTTCATCGCTTTCTTGATTTGTATGCTGAGGCTCGGAGATACTTGCTTAGTGTGGCCTGTTGCTGTCGTACCACTGATCACTACGGCGTTTTGCCTTTTGACCATATCGAGATTCTTTGCATTCCCTATACCATATTAAAAGACATGTCCATGTGTCGCTGTTACTTCTTCGAGGTGACATGTGCGGAAATCTTTGATTTTCCTTCGTCGTCTTGCGGTTGTGCATGGCCCTTAGGTTTACAGGCAGGAGAATGCACTAGAGTCTCTTCTCGAACGGTCACTGCTATTGCTACTTATACTGCGAGTCTCAACCGTTTTCGTGACTGTCAGTGCTAGCATCGCGGGGTTCCTTCTTGCTATGACGGTTAGTTATGATCAACGCCATGTTCCTGTCCGAGCTGGTGTGGCAGATTATTCCGGGTTCTGCAGGCACAACATTCCCACGCGTCCTCCCCCAGATGTGGCTGTGACGGACAGGGCTGTCCTCAATGCCAAATCCCGCCCTGTTACGAATCATTCGGCAGAGAGCAATGAACCGCCTCTGAACCTTTCTCCTGGCTAAGCGCCAACTCTCACACTGCTCGAATCTTGCAATATGATCCAAGGCCCGTTCTCAACCAGGCAGTGCCGACCACGGTCAAAGGCTCCGACTAGTGACTAGCGGTTTCGTTTTAGAACTGAACGGCCGAACCTGACTGAGGTGCTTAATCTTTAAGCTCTTGAAGATGCGGTCTACTTGCCCGACCTAGCCCGGAAAGTTTTGCGAGTCCTGACCCAAGATAAGTTGAAGTCAAGTTTGTCGACTGAAACACAAAGGCACAGTACAGATGCGGAATCCAGGGTTCGAGTTTTCCCGACGTATAGCTTCGATGAAGCGGCGAGTTGAATAGTTGAATGTCCTTGCCAGACTTCGCGGATGAGTTTTGGTCCTTCAGCGCAATCAACGCTAACGGCCGAACCGTCACATGGTACACATGGTGCTTTCATGCGTTTTGGTGGATTTGCAGTTGCGAAGTACTTCGAGAACAGGTATGTAAGAAGAAGCGAGTTTGGATAAAGGGCCATGTTGTCGTTAGAGCTGAGCACTCAGGATGTAAAGACTTAACAGTTTCTGACATGCCACAGGCTTACTCCTGACATTGAACCTGGTGCACGTCTCGCTGGAGGACGCTGGCTTAGTGGGTTTTGGGTGTGCAGGGTGTGGGTGATACCACCCAGAATTCCAAGCCCAGCTAGAGATACCAATTTGTGATCAAGTTTGTCTTTCAGCCGAAGCTGGGTGGGCGATAGAAGCAACGTGCACAACGAGTTTCCCTTCGAACTTTACAGGATTCGACAGCCACGCACTTGTCGACTTGTCTCTTGATTCCCACTGGTTGGAGTGATCTACAGGATGTCTGTAGCTAGGATGTGTGGTAAGGGCTTGCAGTGTGACTGCAAATTCAAGCTCCGCCACCGAGAATCTCAGCATGCAGGATGAAGCTGAGAAACAAGAGAACAAGAAGCAGTGTTCCTCTCTTCTCAATCCTAAACCCTTACCTTGTATTTATAATGTAAACCCTCAGCCCTCAATCCCAGACCCTAACCCTGGACTCTACACTCTGATGACCATAAACTGTGAAGTTCTGAAGCAATGTTCGTGCATCAGCGCAAGGAAGAGTGGCGGGCCTAAGGCGGGGCAACAAGAGTATAGAGTATGGCATCAAGTGCTGGCTGTCGGGTTCCAGGTTTTGTGCATGTGAGATTGGGGTTAAATTAGAGATGCAGTGGTATCATCCAACAGAGCTCGTAAATCGAATAAGCTGTTAATCTCTGTGTCTTCGCGTGCCGCGTGGTTTTGGCACCAGCTTCCACTGCATCAGAGCTTTCTGAGCGTCTTTGTGCCCACTGCAACATAGTATGTTGCTTGTGTCCACGTTAAGACGTAGGGAGAAAGCGCCGGAGCATCAGTCTGCTGGCGGCATCACTGTTGTTTTTGTTCGAGACATTCGTTGCAAGTCATGACATGGTTTATGCCGTTCATACCATTGAGATTTTGCAGATGCCTCCATCTCAACATGCTTTATGGTGCACTTTATGGCGCCGGGCTGTCACCCACATCTCGTTCATATCCCCAGCACGTAATTAGTATTCGTTCAGTACAGGTTGTTGACACCGACAAAAGCACAAGATCCAGTTTCCAGAAGAGTGCCTGGTACAGCACCCCGAATAATTTCACTTGCTGTGATCCTACGCGATCTAGTCGTTGCTGTTTGCAGTATTCACATTTGGGTTTTTCTACTTGTCACCTGTTGCGCACTCATCTTTTCGAGCGTAATTCCACATACATTCCACTGCGCTCTTGTGTTGAGAGCTAAGCGAACATGCATCCCGCTCAGGATTCACACACTAGGGCAAACCATTTTCGACATGCTGCATCCCAGATAAATTCGACATTGAATTTATGCATGGGTGTTTAAACCTGTCCAGCTATGGCTGGTTCTTGCAGGCCAAATCAAGAACTCTGTTGGCTGTTGGCCATCTCTTGCTTCGTAGCCTCTGTGTTTTGGGCTAGCAGCGTTTGTCATGTCCCAGAGTGCGGCACCGGAGGACTCGCACAACTTATAGCTGCCGTCCGGCATCTGAGCGTATGCGATGGTCCATGTCAGTTATTGCTGAAGTTGCTGCTAGTCCTCGAGGCTTCCATGGTGCCTACATGGTGGCAAGTGCCAACTGGCGGTGAAGAGGCTGGGGGTTGAGGAGTCCGGCTTCGGAGTTTAGGCTTTGAGATGCAACGGAGACAGCTTTAGAGGGTTTACCGCTTAAAACACTTTCATTTCCAGTTTTCCAGGGTTTGGTGTGGCTTCGAAGTGGTGCTGGAAGATGGTTTCCGGGCAGTGGAACACCTGTCGATCTGCAGGTCTGTGCTCTAATGCTCGAACAGTTTCTGAGCAAGATTCGCTCGTTGGTGCGTGCTGTTGGTGTAAGCATGTGCTTGAACTTGGACCACCTGCAGCAGCAGATCAAGGGAGGTTGATCTGGCTTCGCTAACTGATGGCCACATTTTCAATTTTCTTTGTTTCTCTACTCATCTTTAGGATCATCTGGATACGTAGTGTTGCTGTACAAGACGCTTCAGCCTACGTAATACTCTCTACCTGCAGCGTCCCGGCCCCTAGGGGGAAGCCACGACTTTGCGTGCATCTTCAGCTTCAGCTGTCGGTGAGGCCGGCATAGCAGTCTTGGGGCAGCAGGCTGTCCTGCCACAAGTGCAAATCCGGCTGCAATGGCGGTCGAAGGAACTGAAGTCATGCGAGCCTCACAGGCTGGACGTGTTGTCTTTCGAGGCTCCACGAGCTTCGATAACACGTTCTACAAAGCCTTGGCTCACTTGGGCAATCTCCTTGACGAGTCCAATCAGCGTTTGTGAGATTGAAGATTGCAGGGCCTGACAATGCTACAAATAATGAAACTCTTAGAAACCAAACCCCTCAATCTTAACGAAAGCCTGTGGCATATGCCACGAGATATGTCGTAGAACTTCACCCGGATGCTATAAGGTCTTGAGCAAAATGCGACCTCCGACGAGCTCAAGACACCGATGAAAAAGAGAGTCAGCTTCGTTCAGGGCTCAGGGTACGATTTTGGTGTTCAGGGTTGAGATTTTTGGGGTTTGGTGTTCAGGTTCCGGGTTTAGGTTCTAGGGTTCAGGGTTTATTTAGGGTACTGTAGCTTTCTGGAAGCGCTGCCGCGGCAATGGTTGAGGCTTCAGGGCTCAGGGTACAACTGCAGCACTGCAAGGCGTCAGCAAGAGTCTTGAGGGCACCCAGTCCCGGCAAGGGTCTAGCGCTTTGCGTTTCGAAGCCCATCTCCCCCAGGCTGTCCAAATCCCGAATCGCCAATCCCGTGCCTTGGACAGGCACCCCATAAGCCCCAGTCCTCAACCCAGCAGTTGTGGCATCAGTCTGACCGCAGCAACTGCGAAACCCCAAAGTTTAGTTATCTAGTTCATATTACCGGTTTACACTTCGCAGAGGATGTGGAAGTCTGCATCCACGATTGCAAACTGGCTCTCCAGGCAGGGGCTCCACATAGAAGCCTCAGGAATTGGTCCAGTCACACACTACACATGTATGTATGTATGTATGTATCTATACACATATATACGTATATATATATATATAGATATTATGTACATGCTATACAGACATATGTAGACATGCAGTGCAATGGACCCCGAGCCCAGCACTGTCGTCAGACGTTTCTTGCTTGGCATGACATTTTTGGCGGCGTCGGCTCACACACCGATTTGGAGCATCTTCTTCATCGCGGCAGGCTTCACATGACAAATATTCGCATTTCTCGTGAAATGTTTACTAGTGTATTGGTCTGGTATTTATCTATGTGTCTGTCTATTTGAAGCGCTTTTGGAAGAGCCCCTGATAGAAACCCTGCATAGAAGAGCACTTGTTTACCCTCGGAAGCTATCACAGAATTCCGAGCGCAATCGTGCATCCTATGTGTAGCCGTAAATCTAGCCAACCCTACACTCCGAACCCAACCTCAAACAGCCTTAATCGCTGAAAAGTAGAAGGCCTTAAAGAGGCCGGAGCCAAGCTGAAATCCTTTTTCGCATGCACGTGAACGGTGACGCTTCATGGCCTCCGTTTGCTGCTGCTGCCAGTCTGCATTGGTTGTGACGTGTGGTTCTGTAGGGCTTGGTGGCGGCTGCAAGCCGTATGCCCTTGAATTCTTGGAGACCAGGTGCCAGAACTCTGGCATTTCTAGGATGGGTTTGGCCGTTTGGGTCCATGGACCCTACACAAGCTAAGCTGCAGAGCCCTGAGAACGCGTCCAGAATGATTTCGACATCATGACATCCGTATTGCTACTGATGCGTAATTTTGCGCCTTGAGCTGTTAAGCTCCCTAGCTTGCTTGATGCCTGTCGTATCGTGGCTCAGCGGGCGTGTAAGGTTTTTCGGATTCCGGGGCTGTATTTCCTTTGGCTATTGATTTCAAGCTTTGGTGTTCATGCTTGCAGGGCTGCAAGATTACATGGGCTGGGTTACTTAAGGCCGGATGCGCGCAGTGGCGCGGCAAGCGCCCAGAGCATGCAGGCGGTGGGCAGTTTGCAACTCGTTTTGTTGTGCGACATCTTCGCACTTGCCTCGTGTATGTGATGCCGTGTCTTTGATTTGTTCAGTGTTGATCTGGCTTGAAGCATCAGGGCTTTCGAAGAGCCTGACATTCCTTGTCTGAATATGTACTCCACCACCCCACTCGGGCTGGCATTTCCTTAGAAGATCAGGGATGTCCTCTCAGGAGGCTCAGATCTCATATGCGGCTTTCGAGTCTCTTTCAGAAGAAACCGCGAAGCGCTCGAAACTTCTCAAGACTCGAACTGCATGCTCTCTATTTAGCATACTAAGTTTTGCTGAGTTACTGTTTTTGCCGAACGACCTGGCATTCGTAGCGGTGTCGAAATTGGAGCTCTTGAATGTATGCTGCTGCTGCTGCTGCTGCTGCTGCTGCTGCCATCTTCGTTCACTGCATGTCCAGGTTTCTTCACGGATGCTTCAATGAGAACATACATATACATAGTGTACATAATATACATATATATATATATACATATATACATATATATATATAATACATATCACACATCACACATTCAACCTCATATATGCTGGTAAACACAAACATATATGCAGCCAAATGCTGACACCTACACATACACTCATGCACGTGCGCATGTACACATACACACATACATATGTAGATATTTTCTGTATGTGTATGTACATATACATACATAAGCACAGGCATACACGCGGATGTGTACACAAATGCACGCAAAAGATGGGTTTTACTGTGCATCCAGGCTCTACAGAAACACTGATGATGCGAGTTTCATGAAGATGGTCATTGTACAACCCTCAGTACGGCAAACATGGACGATGATAATGCAGGGTTTTAGTGGCAAGCACCTCCAAGTATGAGGCCTTGATCAGGGGCTTCGGGTATGTCCCACGCCGTGCGAAGGCAATCTGTCACTTCACCGCCCGAGACCGGAGCAGGGCAAAATGAACGCGTTTAGGGCCGCATGCTTTGGTTGTTTCTCAACTTGGGAAATCTAAACAGCCCTCCTCGAAAATCCTGGTTCTGCTTCTGAACTTCGAGCATGGGCTAAGAACAATTCAGAACCTGCAGCAGACGAGTGCGCGACTGCAGGGCCATTGCCCTGCGTCCGTCGCGCATGGCACCCCAGTTGGCGGATGCTGCGAGAGGCCGCTTGATCTTCTACAGGGTTTGGGATCATGGGCCTAGGGCCTAGGGTGCTCTTATCAACATGCTTCTATTCTTCTCGATGTCTGAGTTCAGTGTTGTAGTTGATTAGTGTTAGTCTGATTCTGACTATGACCAACGCTGCCTTGGTGCGTGGCGACATCTGTGGTAGCACGATCCTGCGAACTTACGGGCTCGAGTGGCATCCCTTGTATGAGTCTGAGGAACCACCAACGCGGACTGGACAAGTTCCAATGTCGAGCCTATTGCAACCCGATGTGGGCATCCAAATCCGACGGACTCTCTTTCCAACCTATCATTGGCAATCCGAGGTTCTCAGAAGCTTAACTCCCACCTCCCAGAGTTTTGTTCCTCAGCCATCGATCTTCGGCTTGCTAGGTTT